CAAACTGTTTGGCATTATTTAACGTGGACAAGGGCCGCGAAAAATTTTAATATTTAAAAAGGGTCCGCGAGCTCAAAAGTTTGGGAAGCCCTGGTCTACATAATAATTCGTTTCGCCGGCTTGAAATTGAAAATTTAGGCCAGACAGAAAACATTCAAAACAAAACATCTTAACATATTCTATTTTTATTAAATAATATATTTGCAACAGAAATGGATGGAGTCCCGCGAAAAAATAACTCCAACCGATGTAAATCCTGCTAACTACCGAAACTGTATTCACGATCAAGAGTTTGTTTAATTTTGATGAAGCTAATTTGATGCTAATGAATGAATAACATGTATTCGCGCCATTTAAATGGTTTCCTCTGTTGAAAGTATTGGGCTACCACCATTGCATGTGCGTATTAAGCAGTAGCCAGGGCCTGATATATATAATGGAAGAACTTCATTCCCGGGGCCTCTTCTTGACAATGTTGGCTCAAAGAATCCATTTTGACATCATAGTAGGTTTTAGTATAAAAATGTATTATGGCGTCATAAATTTAACAAATATTTTCGTGGAATTTTACTTGCAGACAAGATACGTACGCTAGACACTGTATATTGTATAGTAAGTTTAATTTGAAAACATTTTAAGAAACCCATTCCGTATTGAAATTCACGGCACAACAGAAAACCCGACGTCATAATATCAGGTTTCTAGTCGCGAGAGGTTTGGGACGTTGACTAACTAATTTTACTAATAAATATAGTTATTAGTAAATTACTAGAATATTAAGAATTCATTAAAGTAAACTAATTTATTAACCTTTTTATAAGTTCATTGTGTAATAAGTGATGAAATGTATATCTATATATATATTTAATTGTGGATCACACCTTTATATTCCAGTCTTTTTCAAGTAAAAACTTTTTTATATCGTCAAACTCATTGTGTAACATGTGAACTGAATATTTAATTGTACATACCGGTATATATTTAATTTTGATCACATAGGCTACTGTATTGATACCCCATTTTTTTTCAAGCATGTATGAATACTTATGAATGTTGGTAGCAACTATACAATATTCAGTGATTATTACTTTTTTTTCATGCTTCCTTCCCGTGGACTAACTAAGCTGTCAAATGATACTTTTACGTCATGCGCTCTATTGCTGAATCTGTGATGATATTATTTTCTTGTCCCTATTTTTCCATTTTTGATTCTGTGTCCAATAAAAAATAATTTTTTTTGGAAATCTTTGATTGTTTTAAATTCTTCCATTGGATATGTTCGGCTTCAAACAATACATAATCTCTCAAAATCCTAAATTGCCATTAATGGCTTTTAATAATAACTTCAACTTGCCGACTCATTCACTCATTTCTTTATCGTATTTACATTTTATATATTTATATTTCATCTCTTTAGCTTTAACCTATGGTACTTTACTATGCCATGATGAGCCTATATACAGCGTATACACAAGGGTCGGGAATTGGGAGCTTATATGACTTGTATGGGTCCTGCACACTGACCCGCACAAAACAATATTCAATCACTTTTATCACTAATTACTGCTGAAATATTTTCTTTATTATATTATGTTTATAAAAGTGTTGACTTTGTTTTTGTGATAATAAATATCTCTCTCTCCTAATTACACTGAGACCCGAACAAATCCGTCATTAGATACCAGTACAGTGCCGTCCTACAACACACGGGTTTATCATATGTAAATCCTAAATCCTAAATCATGTACTGTAATTATCAAAATCTGGCATTCAAAAGCGGAATATATCCAAAGTCTTTATTCGTGTCAGAAAGGGAAAGGTTTGGAAAACTGGATTCGCAAATATAGATCGTTTTCATCGTATTGTATATCGCCGTGTTTTTCTCCTACGGTACGGAACCGGTATATACTATAACCATAAATATATACTAATACCTATAACGTAGTAGTATATATTTACGCTATACCGCAATGTGAGATTCTCATGTTTCAAACCTCACTTAAAGTTTGGCAAGTTTCCTGAATTTACGTTCTGTGTGTTTAGTCTTGTGTATTGTATTTTTTTTTTTGTACAGTGGCGGAGTTCAAAGTGAATTATCTCATATGTCCAACCCGCGGATAAAAGCAGAAATAAAAGAAATACGTCTGAAACCCATGACGTCATAACGACTAGATTTTTCTCTGTGGACATCTTGTGGTAAAGCCTAATTTATCATAAATTTTTCAATTCCAGTGTGGCGGCTCTTGCTGAGCTGGGTTTCCACCGATTTCATCAGTCCAGTGATATTATTTGTACCTTAGTATTGTTATAGCTTATTGCAGTATTGGTGTATGTCATATAAGCGTTAAAAATTAATTTAGAAACGAAGCATCCATACTTTTACTGACAGTCAGGAAGCTTATTATCTTAACTCACTGCAGTGCCGATACGGCACCGTTCGGTACGGTAACTTCAGAACTTAGATTTGTTAACTTTAGAACCCACAACAGTAGTCTACAGGCTGAAAGGCTTATGGGGATGGATATCATAGAACTATTCATAATTGAGATTTGTATAGACTGTCATTTAGTAATACTATACTATATGCTTTAGTAATACCAGTACCATAACCGGTATGTCTACCGCACTAAACTAAATTTTTGGATTTTATTTTGATTGAAAAAAATATAACTTTTGACATAACTTACCGGTACAGGTATGTACTTTCGACTTTATTTAAGATGAACCTCTATGACTGTATAATGAACTAATTCATATATACCGGTACTGATATTTCAGTCAACACTTGTATAGACTATAAATATGTGTTTTGAATGAATTTTGGCAAATTTTACTAGAACTGTAGAAAGCTTCAGTTACGGTACCGGTACCGGTACCGTGCCGTAGTACCAGTACCGATATGCTGGTATGGCTGTATCATATTGCAGTATTGTCTCCGTCCAGCAGTTTGGTTCTAAGATAGTGTTAGTTTACCAAAAAGTTTTAATATAGCGTACCAGTACCGGTACCTAGATAAGTTTTAGTGTTATATAGCATAGTTTGGTAATGAACTTGTGGGCAAAATTTTGGTACAGTACAGCAGTACTAATATATTCAATATAACTTCTCTACCATATTCTGATATTAGTTGTCCATATGTAATGCATTTGTGATACATATTTCTTGTTCAATATACTTCTTTTAGTTCTCAATTTTCTCATTACCTCTAGTTTATGTTGTACTTTTCTTACATCATTGAATTTGTGCACGAACGCAGCTGCTATGATTATAACTTACCAGTAATATCAACTATCTAATATTTATTTATTGTCCATCTTATTTTAGCTCAAGTACAATTCTGGCATGACATAATGCAGTAATGCAGTGTTTTTCCACCATTTACTATGGTTATACCTTTTCCAATTTTCTTCGTTTTTTTGTATAGGCTACGGTACCCATTAATAACAAAGGTTATTTAATAATAAATAGAAGAAAAAAGTTTTTTGGTTAAGTCATTACAGAAGTCTTACTAAGGTCACAAGATATTATGCATGCTGATTTAATAAAAAAAACGTATAAATTGATATGATTTTATGACTATAGCTTGTGTTCAGAAATTTGTTAATATCTTTGCCTTATCCTTTTCTTTTTATATCTCTGCAACTAAATATTTTCTTGCATGGGATGGGTTCCTACTCGCTCATATAATTCACCTCGCTAACTTTATGGAAAAACAAACACTGTACTTGCGAATTAGTGAATTGCAGTGTCGAATGAGAACTGCATCTGTTTTAAAAAGACAACTGGCTGTAGTGTACATTCAAATCAGACCATTGCTGTAAACACCCGTATACAATGAATTTTGTTGTATATCCGGGATCTGACTTGGTATACACTTGGATATACAGTATACCTGGTTGAATAACATGGAGTCATAATGCCATGCATGACATTTGATAAAAAGGAATTTTGCTAATAAATTCAATATACGAGATAAAAACTCGGATGTAAAGTCAGATCCTACTTTTGTTAGGCATTGATTTAAAATTTTAAGCATACCGTAAATGCACGTTTTAACGCCCAATCTTGATTAAGGGCCCGTTTGAATAGCCGCCCATGTGAACAAGACATAAAAATAAATAAGGGTCGGTGTTTGAATACCCGCCCGGTGTAAAAGTTTTTTTTTTTGCGGATTTGTACCTGCGGTGCGTAGAAAAAGTCAAAATTCTCATTATTCTCGTTTAAATCATACTTGAGAACTGGAAATCACAATATACGGTATTAATTATTGTAACGATCGATCTTATTTACCGGTATTTTTGTGTGTAATTTTACTTTAAAAACGCTGCTTGAATAAGGGCCCGGTTAGTGAGTATGTTTAAAAAAATAAGCGTCCGGGCTATTAAACGAGCAAATACGGTATTCCAATATTTCTTACACTTATTTCGCTCACCTTAGTAGAATTTTGGAATTGTAATTTGTCTTGGGCTACCTTATATAGGTGATTTATTCTCCCCCTATTCTGAGTCTAAGCTATGAAAAAAACTTATCAGATAATATTATAATTCTGCAAATGGGGTTTAATTTATTGTAGTTTGATCTCATCCTAACTATGAAATCATTATAGCATATAATACCACCTCTGGTAATTCCCTATTAAAATAAGATTATTGAATCAATCAATTTTATTTGTCAATACAATATGAATTTATCATGGCAATGGGGTCTCCGAGCAGCGTTACCCGAATCAGGCAGACAAGTGAAAAAAGTCAGTAAATGTAGGTGATATTAAAACCTTAAAATAAATCAAAACCTTGAATATTATTACCAAGATTATAGAAATCGAAGCACCAAAACATTGAGTATGTAATATTCGAAAATTTTTATGAGAGATAGTGTAAAATGTCAGATTAGTCACACTTGATGGATTCCTATTTGTTTGAGTGTCTGCCTTCTGCAAAGGCTAGTATTGTTAGCAATAATTATCTTATGATAATAAGTTACCAATGTGCTTATTTTTAACAAACATTTTTTTTACAGGTTTTGATATTTTATTTTTTTCTTATATTTATAAATGCATTCAAACGAGATGACTTCTCCAGTGAAACGTGAAAAACCTTTTCATTCAGCAACAAAGGTGAAGAATCGAATACTGCAATCATGTGAGCTGCCGGTGCTATTTTCTGATCCAATAGACTTGCTAAAATTTAAACCAAAAAAGCCCAACCCAAGTCCTTTAAAAGCCAGACCTACAAGTTCCAATGTATCAACAATGGACAGCAAGAAGCCACCTTTACCTTCTAGTGGAACCACCACAATTGTCAAACAGATGAAGCCTCACTTGAAGCATGTTTCAACAACAAAAATGGAATCTTCTCGACCACTCAACGATAAAACAAAAAACAGCAATATCAAAAAAAGTTCACTTGATAATACAATAAAAGCACACAAACAAAAAACAAAAGTGAAAAAAGAGAGTTTTAATGGACATTCACAGGGAGAAAATATAAAACATGAAAAAAGAAACGAAGAAGGAATCAAAATGAATACCCATAAAGTAGCAACTGAAAAAGATAAAAGGTCTTCTTCACCAGTCTTGAGAATGACACCAAGAAAAAGAGCTGACAGCAGACATAGTGACCCAGGCGATAATGTCTTTGATAATATTATGAACTTCAGTTCAAATGACAAACTTGGTTTGAGCCGAGAGGAAACGATTCAAAGTGGAAATATCACAAGTATTGAACAACTGCTGCCTGCTGTATCAAATCCAAGCAGTATTTCAGCCACCACAGAAGTACCAGGAAGAACAACTCTCACAAAATCAGAAAAATTTAAATCATCAGATTCACCTGTTGTTAAAATAGAACCCCAATCAGATGTAAACGTACAAAGTTCCTGTTTTAAAAATGGTTCGTCAGAAAATCATCATAAAGTTCATACATCAGAGGTTGAACATAGAAAAAATGCTTTCGATAAAAACAACAATCTTTCTCATCCGGTTAGAAACGTAAAGAGAGAATGTAGCCCTACCATCATCGGACAGCATAAGGAGAAAAAACGTAAAAAACTTTCGTTCCAAGAAAACGGCACAAAAAACGAAGCAAAATTTGAAACTAAAATAGAGTCTGCAATTGATGAAATAAACGCAAAATCAAAAATCACCAGTAATATTATCAAACAAGAACGTTCCGAATCACCACAACACACTGTAAAGATTACCTCAAGTCAAGATAGTCAAACAACAAAAGCAAAAATTGAGATAGAATCTCAAGCTGATGATCCACAATCATCTTCTGATGATTCTGATAGCTCTACTTCATCAACATCTTCATCCACAACGTCTTCTTCCTCGGATTCTGAATCTTCATCATCTCATGACACAACCAGGTACGTGAAACAAAAAAGTGCCGACTCAGATGATGAAAAACAGAAGAAAAACCAGGTGCATGACTCAGCAGAAGACTCACCATTGACTAGTGATGAAACAACAGATGAAAAGGAGAAACTACCTTGGATGCCATCTGTGTCGTATTTCCAGGCATTGCCAGAAGATTTAGAGATTTTATCATATTTTACTTTTAGTAATCCAAAGTTTCGAAAATTTGTACACGTTCAAACTTGCCCGAATGGTGAAGCACCCGTTCTTCATGCTTTTAAGCATGAATTAAAAGATCTTACAGAAGAAGAGTTAGATTTATTCGCTGATGATTTCTGCAGGCTCAGTTACATGGAAAGCAAGCCAAATATACCTGATTTTGTCATGGGAATTGTACATGATTCACTTAGTGATGCGCCAGATTTTCTCGAATACTTAGCTGAAGAGCATGGAGATATGACCGTGAAAGTCGAAGTCTTGGGACAACGTGACATCCTTACCATGACAGCATCGGAATTCAAATCAAAAGTTCACGAGACATACTCCAAAACCAGTGGCATGTATAGGTAAGAAATATATTGTGTAAATAAGGAAACTATGCCAATAGTAAACAAAAGAGCAAGTCACATCGGTACATGTACAGTAAGGTCTTGAAGCAGTGACTTTGCGGAAAAGATTGGCGGACAAGTCTGGCGAGTTAAAAAAGTTTTCCCCCGCAAATGAGGATGAAATATTTGGTCCCATAATGCTCAAAGAAAATTTGACTAAATATGAGACTGCCATCTTTAGGAACTGTGAAAACTAAAATTGAATGGTTCATTATTTTCGCAGAATAGTGATATTTTTCACTATACTAACATATACAACACCAAGATCTTTGCAAAATGACCCATAGGTCCGCCTCGTGTCCAATAACCAAATTGCAAGGGTTAAAATATAAGTTGTACATTGTCAACTGCTTACTAAAATTATGATTCAATATACATAGGGTGTTCATGAAGTCTTTAAATTGTAAAGGGAATTTATCGATACCATATTTTATTTAGTTGGCCATGTAGGTGTATTAATTGGAGTAAAAACTTAAATAAACACTGATTAAAATAGAAATAAACCTGTTAAAAAGATAATATATTTAGAACTGACTTTATAACAAAACCGTAATTGTAGGCGGATTTTATGAACACCCTGTATATCCTTGTTGCCTTCATAACTAATTACTTATATCTGAAGTAAAGTTTAATGAAATTATTAATTAGCGAAACTAGACCATTTTGAAATTTAATTTTACCAATAAATTATGGATTTGATTCAATAGAAGTATTATGCTTCCTAATTAAGTATTGTTAAAACTAATTTTTTTGATTATATGGTAACTATTAATTATATTAAGATTCGATCTAGCATTTAGGATCAATTATAAAAAAAATAGGGATATCCATTTCAATATACTTATATGTAACAGAAAATGTTTTCGCGTTTTATTTCACAATAGAAATTGCTATTCATTCGAAACTCAGCAATATTACTGTACTCATTGTTTCGTTCGGCCCAAGGTTTATACCAGTGTGTACGTTTCATATTTAGTTTCATGATCTAGCTGTCAGAGTTATATCCTGTCACATTGTCAATACTCTGTACTCAGGAGAAAGTATGCTCATTTTGATGATGATAGGCAGATGATTTCAGTGAATTTTTTTCAGATCGATACAAAACCTGTTTCCTATTGTTTTCATATTCCCTCGAAAGTAATTTCAGCACTGTAATGTACACTGTACTTTGGGCTTTTATTAACATGAATAGATAAAAAAATACATGCAAAAATAAATTCATAAGAGGGAAATAACAAAATACTATTTTCTGATGAAGCAGGTCACTACAGGTTATCAACAGTTCATGAGTATAGAATTTTGAAATCCACTAAGCACTAAGATTATACCTATGACTGATTGTATTGTCATTCCATGTTGGCGATAAGCATATGGATTCATAAAACATTTACTAAATCTTTGTATTCAATATGTCAATCGCCTTACATTTTTTTAATTTAAAACCTTTTTTTTATACTAACAAAATTCATACTTATTTATTTAGATATGGTCCAATGAGGCAAATTAGCCTTGTCGGTGTTGTACATGAGGAATCTGGTGGATACCTTCCTGATATTCTTGATATCCTTGAAAAAGATCCATTCTTAAGAAAGACCACCCCTTGGGGTGAGATGTCCTGTACACCAATGGAATGCCGGTCACTTAGTAATGATGGCCCAATCATGTGGATAAGACCAGGAGAACAGATGATTCCAACAGCGGATTTGAAAGGATCTCCAGTAAAACGAAGAAGGTGGGTAAATGTTATAGTTATTTTACAGTATTTTATAAAAAAAAGTCGTATTAGACATTTGAAATCACCTTACCTAAAAAACACAACCCATGAATTTCTTGAATGAGGAAAATTTATTCAACACTTCAACTTCTGTTTGTGTATGATTGTACCTAAAAGTTTCACTAATCCAGAACATTTTACACAAAAGTTATGTTCTCTCTAGAATATGTACCGTGTGACCTGGGTTCTTGTGTCTTTGGGTCACCTTTCATGCATCATACTATGCTATTAAATAGGTTCTATATAATATTTCTATCTTAATTAAGTGACGTAAATGTGTGTGACACAAGATGAATAGAATTCTCACAACGGCATGACATATAGTAGGAAAAGCAAATAAATTGTAATCTTCTATTTTTTACTACGGCATTTATTAATGATGGCTCTGCCTTATAACTGTTTCCTGAACAAGTGTTCTGTCCAGATGTTATGTAATCATAAATATATCATGATAATACGCAGGTCAAAGTATTTCTACTTCCATTTTTAGCTCATAATGCCTCAATTGTGTATTATTATCCCGATATCGACGAAGTTAGCACTTTAAAAATCATCTGTTTATGTATTGTTATTGTCAATTAGACAATTAGCTATTAAAATCTTCATACAAGTGTACGTATATTAGGATGTCCAAATTAATTCTTGATCAATAGTTTTGAAATAAGTTTATGATTAAGAACACAGATGATTAAAATTTCTGTTTCCTTATATGAAAAGAATTCTTTTTCTCTGAAAGCATGATATATGTCAGATTTAAAAAGCTTTAAAAAGTTTGATTTATGCTGTTATCCCTCTGCAAATTTAATCTAATTGCTAAACAGAGCTCTAGAATAAATAATAATACGGATATAGACGGCCCTTTCAATTAGCAATACAAAAACAAGTCCTAAAAAAATTTTGAAAATTTTCAGCTTTGGCCATAAGTTATATTCTGGTGTGTAATTGTATTGCGGTTATCATACTACAATAAAAAAAATAGTCCTCAAACATGAAATATTTTGAATATAATATAGTTTGTTCATGAAATCTTAGTTTCTTTTTTTAATTGTGAAGGGTGTTTATAAATAACATTTATAGTTTGTTGGCACTCGAAGGTGTATATAAAATAAAGTAGAAAAACTTACCGTAATCGAACACTGACTAAAATAAAACAAACCTGAATAAGATATATTGAGAACTGACTTTAGTTACAGCGATATTGAAATTGTAACGGAACTTTATGATTATGAACACCCTTTATATTCCAGACCAATTAGTTCAATACCCATGGTCAATAAACACTATTTAATTGTGTGAGAAAAAAATTTATATTTCTATTATACATATTTAGTTCACTCAACCCGCTCATCAATGCATTTGAGGTTCTCAATCCCTTTTGCTATTATATTGAATTGAATGTCTATAGTTGGATTGCATTCAAATATGTTATTAGAATATGCTACATATGTGTACATATTTTGATTGATCACATAATGATCTCATGTTATAATTATTATGGCTTAGGATATAATCATGAGAATGGACCATAAGCACATTATAGATGTTTGCTAAATATACTTTCTCAACAAGGTAGATACGATTATAACAATTCTGCAGTCGCATTAAAGTATTTTACGGTGATTTTGGACGGCCCAGTTTAAATTCCATATTGAATGCCTATTTTATATCAAGTTGTGTAAAGGGACTGAAACCTATGGGCAGGGGGTGTATTCACATATAACACAGACAGTCCCCGAACTCGTAATAGAACTGAAATAAGGAAAATCGAAATAAGATTATGGCCTAACCCTAACCTGGTACCGACACTGCGGGAGTACCCAATTATCAGTACTGTTGGAAAATTATGTAAAATTTATTTTTTTAGATCAAATCAGCCAGGAGAATTACGACGACTATCTTTCCAGTACAATTCAAGGGCAACGGAAACGAGAGAGGTTCTTGTGGAAGATAGAACGAAAGCTCATGCTGACCATGTTGGAAATGTCGTTGATCGACAAACTACATGGGCAGTTGGTGCATTAAAAGCTGTTACAGCTGGACAAAAGTAAGTTTTGATTTTTAATATTATTTATTTGTAGTATTGAATTTTAATTACGTTAAACAGAATTCATCTCTTCAATAATTTGAAAATTCATAAGTAATAGCGCGATGGCCTAGTTGTTAAAGAGTTAAACTAGACCTAATTGTTTTGGCATCACAGGTTACACTTCTCAGGTTCAAATCCTGTGATGTGTAATAGATTATGTAGGCAATGCCGAACTGCGAAGATTTTGGTCGTTTTAAAAATCGTAGATTCTTAAATATCAATGACTGCCGGTACGGGGCCTTGTTTGGAGAGAACGGCATGGATAGGCGTCGTATGAAAAATTATTTGTAGCATTGTAGTACTGGTATAACCAACAGTTTTGATTCTTTCTGATTGATAATTTGATATCTTAATTTGGCGCTCCAGAAGTGTATGTACCAATATGGGGGTCATAATTTTGTTCGCCTACTTTACATCAAGTTGTGTAAAGGGACGAGAGCCTATGGGCAGGGGGTATTCACTCGGCTAACAAAGAAGGTACCCGAATTTATTTTGTCATAAATTCCCTTTGAATAGCTCTTAGGGACATCCAAAACAAATTGAATATTTATATACTTGTGAAATTGATTATATTTGGTATAGTAAATTATTGATTACAGAAACTTATAAGTGCGAGGTGCGAGGCAACGAAATTGATTTCTTTTAACTTCTAGTTGTGACACTGGAAAAAAAAATAAAAGTTAATCGAAACATTGTTGATGAATTCATAATGGAGAATACCTAATAATTTTTTAATTTTAATTGCAGATCGAGAATTAATCGTGTGGTTAAAGATGTTTATTGTTTTCACCCATCGTCATTCAATCAAGTCACCGGTATTCTTCAAATTGATTTATTTGAACCTCCTATGTCACAGGTAAGGATTTGAGTGTAAGAAACTTGATAATTTTTGTGAAATTTAGATTCTTTTAAACCAGGTGTTCGCAAACTTTTGGTGTTTCGGAGCCCGTGAAAAGGTTGTCTATTATTTACAGAACCCCACAATAAATGTATAAAAAAAATTGTTATTTACCGAGTATGGTCTCTGAGTAAATTAAAATTACTTTATTTAATGACTCTGATGTATTTGCTGCTTTATATTTAAAACATGTTCAGTATTTTAATAAATAAATAAATGAATAGCTCGCAAAAGCCCCATATTTTTCTCTCACGGAGCCATGGAAACAATAACTTCTTGACTTGTTCTCACATAAAATATGTTGTTTAATATGACTTAGAGTCGTGTATTCTTACTGGTACCGTAAGACCTTAGACGGAATTTGCTGAAAAGATAGCCAGACAATCGTTATCAGCCGTCATGATAATCTAATGAAAAAGTATTTTTTGTTAATTATAACAAAACAACAAATTTTTGGGTATACTGCCATTTCTGATAGCCATGGGATTGAGGGAAATTCTTTAAGAATTCATCTTTAACTTTCCGAAAATTAAAATCGATTGGTCCATGAGTTAGAATAAAGATAGCCCACATCTCAGCAATAACAAGATTTTAGCAAAAACTATTCATATGTCCATTTGTATCAAATATTCTTCTGTAGATTGCACCGAAGACATCAGTATTTTGGCCATTAGTAACAAGTTGCTCTAAATTTATGGCAAAATGGGTAATGACTAGTCATGTGAAATGCTTATTAAAAATAGATTACATAAATAGTTTTCGGATTTGGCTCTGATATTACTGGCTCATATGTTGTGTCAACTCTTATAGGGGACACAAAGTTTCAGACATTGCCTATAAATGTGACTCATCGAAGGGTTTTGCTCCATGCAAGCCTCTGTAAGGACAGAGAATATATGATTAGAACCCTTTACCAATAGTTGGAAAATTATTGAGCTGACTATTTTTTTGTTATTACATAAACATCATTATATGCTTTTTCATTAAAACACTAAATTGATGTATAGATGCCCATTAGTTTGTGTTATGCAAGCTATGTTATCCAAATGTATACTATTTATAGTTTTCAGCGTTATTATAAAATTTCAAATCGATCGTGTGCCAAAATAAATTTTTTTCTGGCAAGGCAAAAATAATAGCCAGTCTCGTGCTATTCCAGAAAGTTTTTACAGTTATAAGAGGCAAATGTCAAAACACCTTGTAATCAGTGGTGGAATGTGGCGGAATCGCTTTAATGGGCAAAGCGGGCCAAATCCGGCCCATCGGGTAATTCAATGATTCTAAATTTTGATATTCCAGCTAAAAAAAATTTGTAGCAGTGTAAATATTGTTCATAAAATGTAACTTTTTATGTCACACTTACCGGTGGGCAAAATTTTTGGCTTGTGGTACAAAAACTCACTTTATCCTGTTGTTGGAATGCTGTGATAATCAACCAATTTGTTATTATTTGTATTATAACTGCTTGATTATAACATTTACTGCAGCTCACGACTCGCATTATACTTGGAGTTTTGAAATTAATGTATTAGGATCTATACATTTTTTGAAATGAGTGAATTCGATAAAAAAAAGAAAAGTTCTTGAAATTTTTATTTTCATCGCTATCACTGCTTATAACCTTGTTATACCTGCTGTGTCCTTATTGATTTACCAAGTATCTCATATTCTCAGATTTTTTATTTAATCTTCTTATATTTCTAGTGTGTGAAATGGGTTGATGAAGCAAAACTGAATCAAATGAGAAGGGAAGGAGTAAGATACGCACATATTCAACTGTATGACAACGACGTATACTTTATACCTCGTAATGTCATACACCAGTTCCGTACAGTGGCTTCAACGACAAGTATCGCATGGCACTTAAGGCTGAAAGGTCTACATGGCGATCCGACCTATATTAAATCATAGTAACGTTAAATTTATCTGTTTTACTCCTCTCAGTTCAGCAATTTTGCTTCTTGCTGCCATTATCTGCCCTGTCTGGACTTTGACGCTCTTCATTTTGAAGCCTTGATTTTATTTTCGGTGGAATGTGAGCCAGCGATAAAAGCCGGATTGGGGGTTTTACCGACTGCCATGCAGAACTGTGTCGTCCACTACGTTTTCCTATTTTTACATTCCCCTCTGTAGCGGCTAACCACCTTTGGGATTGTTTTTAGCCAGCAGGGGGCACACATGATTTCATTTTTATAAAACAACCCCCAGATGACCTACTGTTTTCTTTTGTAGTTTTGCACTTCAGAACAGTAGTACTTTTATTTTTTTGAATCTGTTCGTTCTAGCCCACCCTTTTTTATTGTGCGCTTTTAAAATGAATTTTACATTGTTAAAATAGCTTCAGGAAGCTAGCTAGTTCCATAAAACTTGCCTTCGGCTATCAATCAAATAAGGTTCATAGTTAGTCAACTATGTCAAACATTAGTGCATGGATAGAGATATGGAAAAGACAATGGTTTAAATCTCAGCACTATCCTCTCAAATCCTGCCCAGATGAAAAGGTGTACAACATGGTTAAGTTCCACTACAGTGAGGTCCGTCTGTTAACTAAGGGTGTCATTCGGAACATATCCTAGAGCGGTGGTTCCCAAGAAATTTTGTTGTTTCAATGCCAGCGTAACCATCGAAAAGAGGAAGTTGCGTTGCCTTATTTAGTGATATTTTTTTCATCATCATATTGAATGTTTTAAGTGTCTTCATTTTTGACGATGCTTTTGTTCCGCAAAAAAGAAAACACTATAACATTTTAATCTGTGAGCTGATTGCAAGCCAAAAATTTGGTATTCCAGTGCCCTATTTTATAATTCGGAATTGTTTCATGCAGTCAAAAACAACTCTATAGCAAAACAGGCAGTCCGCAAAGTCGTCTTATTCGATGTTACCTGTTCATCGAGGCAAAATGGTTGGGAACCACTGAGCTAGAGAGAGCATATCTTTCGTGCAAAGCCTTCTAGATTACTGAAACTTTTTGGTGCACAAACAGAAGTTCAAGTGTTAAATAAATCTTCTTCAGATTTGTAGAGGTTATTAAGAAATTTATGGGTTCTGTTCCACCTTCTTGCGGTCTGGTGTTTTGACTGTTTTTATAAATGGTATTTACTTTCAAAACTCTATCCATGTGTTAGTTTGGAGAGCTGATATATGTATATGACATCTTTTCAAATGGGTCTCTTTCCGTGGATTTGGTATCTTCAGAGCTGACAAAAATTTGAAATTTTCAACTCTGAGATGATGAACCACTGTCCCAGATATAACGAACTCCTCCTAAGTCTGTCATAGGTTGATCCTTGATAAATAACTGTTATTGGCAGTCTCTGCATCACAAATAGTTTTCTGAAGCCTTTTGGTTGTTATTACCGCTTCTAGGAGATTTATTATAAAGCAATGGAAACATCCATCCTTAACATTCACTCAAAATCCTGCATGTTCTATTATAAACATAAGAGATACATTTTTGTACAGTATTCGTAAAGTTTATTTTTAAAATAGACCTTGTCACAGATTTTGGTGTAAGGTGCTGCATTACTGTAAATTTTATTCACTTTCATTGTCATATTATTAGAGAAATAAAAAGGATATTCAAAAATATTGCACTTGATGGGATTCTATCGACCAGGAACAGTTTGTTGGGTGGCCTAATCGTCCTTTACCAGGTCAGTTAGTATGTGAATGGATACACACACTTATTATAATTTGCAGCCTCATTAATAAAGCATCCGATGATGGACGTTTACCCAAACTGAGGGCTTTGCGTGAAGCTTATAAAAATATTGGTTATATTCGAGCTTGCCCACCTTATTTTGGATATTTACGTTCCATCCATGTATTTCGACTAGAACATACTTTCGGCTTACCATCCGTTATTTGTAGCTTTATGTCGGCTAGTTATCATTGAGGTGGGGCGCGAGACTTGACAAATTCTAAAAAGGGGACGCGGCTTAAAAAGTTTGAAAACCAATGCTATATACTTTATCATTGTGAATTTCTGATGCTTGTTGCGAGAGGGCTTTGAAACTGGCTTCCATGTTCATAACCATGGACAAAAAAGCTATGGGATTTATATCTAAAATATCTTCAGAAAGAACTATAAAATCTATTGCTGATTAGCTAATGTTACGAAAGAAAACGAAGGTAATCCTTGGGCAAACATCCATGGCTTTAAGATTAAATAACACGTTGATGAATAATCATGTACATCAATGAGATCAATTATAGCAGGCTGTGATTCTCAATATAACACTGTTCAAATGTTCCCGGTCTACCCAGCTTTAAGGTTAAAAATCATCCCAAGGACTCGAGACTTATTTTAGCCTTTTCTATTTCATGCATGAAGTCATAAAATTGAGGCAGCGATAGTTCAACTTCTATGTCTTCAATCTTGCGATCCTCCCCTTCTAGCGTGAACTTCATCTAAAATGAAACTCAATATTACACACTGAATTAGTGTGTCCGAACCTCTCTCGAAACCGCAAACCCGGGTTTTAAGTACATCATAAGGTCAAATCTACTTGCTGAATTCTAAATTCCCACCAAGCAATTGAAAATTTATTTACGGATAGTAAATTCAAAGTATTGAAAGTAGTACCAATGTGCACTGTCATAACCGGACAAAAAATATTGAACTGGACTGGTGCCGAGACCCAAGTTAGGACTTGTTTAAACAGGAAGAACATGCTTTAGTTACTTTGTTTTTTTTGTGTGGTTATTCCAAATTCTCAAAAGCATTTTAAATACAATTTGAGCAGTGAAATACAGTCCAAAGGGCACTCATTATTATAAGTATCAGTAAGGACTAATTTATTGGTCGTATCACATGACATATTCCAGTGATTCATTGGTATGTCATTAAGTAGTTATACATACCATCGACGCTCTCCCTTGGGAATGCTTTCGTTAATAGATATCTCAAATTACCTGAATGAAACATGTTCCAACTTTCTTATTTTCACTACTGGATGCAGTCACTCCGAACTTCCAATCCAAGCCGGTCATTTTCTTCCCTCTGGTTGATCCCATTAAAAGAGAAAATCGCATTTTGGCAATGTCTGTCTTCCATTTCGCACAAAATGTATTTATATGGGAATCGTTCATGTTCATTTGTTTCAGATCAGACTCGACTTGAACTACGCTCAAGTTTTTCTTTATCATCGCTGAAATGAAAAGGATTATAGTCTAAGTGGCTTCTAATACTACATCCCATAACCCATATAACCTTGATTTACAAATATTAATTGATTAAATCGGGGAAATGAACACTAATTATTACATTGTTCCATTCACAAAACGTTTATTTATTATCAAATAGTGAATTTTGGTTTATGAATTTGTAGTTTAATTATTAGAAATTCTTATAATACAACTATATAATTTATTTAACAATTTTTGTATGTCTGAAATTAAGCTATGCCTTAGAATTACAATTTTACACCATTACAATCAACTTCCAACACAAAATATTACCAAACTGAAAATAAAGAATGAATAGCAAAAACATACCATTTGCAACAATAATCAAAATCTTTGCCATATTTTTCAATGGAGTGGCTTTGATCCCATATGAATCAGCGTAATTATTAAGTTCTCTGTCAAATGCTTCTGCGGAGATTGAGTTCGTAAGAAACGAAAAAGTAATATCTTGCAATTTTCCATATTGCTGTTGAATAAAAAGCACAACTAACAAAATTATCACACTAAGCCTAAAGTCTAGTTTTCCTTTTTTGCCATCACCGTATCCATTGATCAATCCGGGCCCAAAACTGTCAAAATTCTAATTTTCATACTCATAGTTTTTTTTGCATCCCCTTATATATAAAGATGTAAAAATCTTTTCAAAGAACTATACCTGCGATGTCATCAAAATTAAGTCTTAGCACTTCAACCCAAAGGCCCTCATGGCCCACAATGGTCAAAACAAACTTTTATTTTCAAAATAATATAACAAATAATTATGTACGATAAATATTGAATGTGCTTGGAAACAATTCCACAAAACGAAATCTACACCCACCTCTTCATTTAACTTGTTGGTCTTTTGCAACATTGAAATAATCTCATCTGGTGGCTGGTCTTTGCAGAAATTGAAGGAAGACATCGTGGCAAATAAGAAATATATACTATATTATAATACTGTTAGAAACATGCAAAATATATATTTATTTCATTGTCATACTCATATAGCAGAATATCGACATTATTCATGTATAGATGATTGTCTACACTTTTGTATCTGGGACATGGAGTGATGAATTAATGGAAAAATACCGAGGACAATGAGTTGTCACAAAAATAAAAAATATTACGAATGATTGGTAGTTGACTTTCATTGAAAATGACAGAACAATTCATTTTAATAACTATTTGTAATAAATTGATCTTACTCAATATAGAACACAAGTTGAGAGTATTTGAATTCCCCAAATGAACTCAATCAGAATTTTACTAATTCCTATTCACGGAATTAAAAAAAAGTAAAATACCAAGATGCATAAAAAGTAAAGACACACAACGTAGCATAAGCAATATATGTACTATCTATAATATGAAAAACAAAGAATAAAATTAAACACAAAGCAAGCGCACCATTGTGAATAAATAGAAAAATTTTATATTAGTAATAATTGTACTTTATTATTATGTAATTATAAGCAACTGTTTAAGTGTAAATAATTTGATACTAATTAAGTAATTGGCAAGCTACTGCATATCTTCATTGTAGAACACTTCATTATCGAGGGCGTGAGGTTTCCAACCTCTGGCGTAAATTTCTAATGCGTGTAACAAATCACGCCTTGCTTCTATAGATAATTTATTGGGAAGGACGCATTTATCTCGAAGAATGCAAATTAATTCGGACATTTTTTTACTATTTTTTTCTGCCAATATAGCACCTATTTTTTGCAAACTAACACGAAAGCATCTTATAATAGCAGGAGTTACATTATTTTCATTTAACATCTGAAACAAGCAATCAAAAATTGGATTGATCAATGCTTTTATTCGTTCATTTGATGAGGTTCGTAAATTAAGATAAAGAGCAATAAGAAAAGTGGTAAATCCAATCCATATGTGATCCCTTGGGTTCTTTATTGATGTCATCATCAAGCAATGACGATTTTTAAAATGTCCCTGGACAATGTTCAAAACAATAGTTCGGAAGTTCATACCGTTTATCATATGTCTTGACATTTCATCACATAATTTTGCACCATTTTCTGTGAATAGTGGATTTCTCATAGCTTTGTTACATACCATCTCCGCTACTTCTCGCATTTTTCTTTCCGATGTTATGTATTTTTGAGCTGTATTGATTAACTTTGGAAGATCTTTAGATTGAGATATTTCCAAATTTTTTATTTTCTTTTCGATTGGATCTCTATCACTTTTAAGCCATGACCTAACTTCAGCCTTACTTCTTCCAGAGACAGATTTTGAATGAGATACATTACCACCGTCGTTAGAACTACAATTAGAACTTTGGCGACTATGAAATGGTTTATCTCCAGTGTTCTTAGGAGGAGTGTACTTTCTCCTTGGTTCATTAGTACGAGAACCTTTATCTGACTGAGTGCGTTCTACTTTTGATTTTTCTTTATTAGATTGTGCTTTCATTGGGTGAGTATTTTTTGAGCCATTTTGCAATGACTCGTAAGGCCTCCTCCAGTCATCACTGTCTGAACCTAATTTATCTCTGCGTCCCTTGTGTTTATCTTTGTTCTTTGATTCATTAGATTTATAGCTGCCATCAAAGCTTCCTGTATCAGATATACTATTATCTGAATTTTGTCTTTTTGGTGGTGTGTACTTCATGTTGCCAGATTTGGGTGATTTATAGTTACCCTGCGGTGATTTCGGTGAAAGAGGATGTTGATCTCGCCTATTTTGTTGGGGGTTATAATTATTTGACATATGTGTGTAATAATTTGGAGTTAGAGACATCAAGGATGGAAAAGTGGGACCAGGTAGACCAGAATGTTGCTGGAGGTCTCGATGGGTAGGTCCATGATATCCTTGAAAATTCTGTCTGAAATCTGGAAACCCGTTTCCAGAATGATGTTGATTCCAGTTTTGATTGTTAGAATTATAATAAGATGGAATAGCATTGCCATGCAAATCCAAGTTTTCAAATATTGCAAACTGTTCATCTAAATTTCCATTTCGAAGATTTTCTGGCTTGTTTTGATGATGCAAAAGTTCTTCCTGAAAATCCGAATATTCTTCACTTTGTTGACTAGTAGTACGTTTCAAACCGGAGAGATCTTTCAAATCCTCATGTTTAGCGTTTGTATTGGTGAACACTTCTGATGGTATCGGATCAACATTTACATCCCCAACATAGCTGTCGATAAAACTTTCAAGATCCGCAATTTCTGATGATAATATGTCATCTTCCATGTTTCTGTGCTATTGAACACTCAATAATAAAAAATTTCCAATGAAATTCATCAATGCTTTTGGCTACTGAAATTGGAATAAGAATTGTTTATCATTGAAAACCATGGTCTAGTTGAGCCAAAGCTTTAAATAAAAGAATGAATAAATGAAGAATAGCGGTGCGGTATAACTTTGAAATACAGAATACAATCGGCAAATTGCAAAGAGATATTTAAAATAAGCAGACTATGAAAACAATAATAAAAAAATTTCAGCGCCCTCATAATTGTATATAACATCATCCATAATTTTTTAAAAATAAACTTTTATGTTCGATACCAAATCTTATAGATTTTTAGTTAGAATGGGGATTTTTATGGATTCTATTCATTAACCATTAAAAACAAGTTTTATAGTATAACATTCCCAACAAATTTATAATATTTAAATACACATGCTACAAAGCCTAAGTTAGACATTGAGATACTCTTATTTTATATCACTGTTGCACAGCACACAAAAATATAGGATAGTGACTACTTGAAAGTAAGCAAAACTTCTATATTAGTTTAACAAATCACTAAGTCTAGACAGGGACTTTGCAATAAGGATAATTCAGCAGCTGAAATCAGAATGCAGCAATGTCAGAATGTACAAAAGGTTCAACATATTCTGCTACTCAATGTCATATAAACCAGTAAACAGACAATAAAAATAATTACAAAATAAAAACATTTTGTTCTGTCATTTTGATTCTAATTACAAAGGGTAACGTATCACTTTGCGCGCATTTACACACTGATCCGTTGTTGCGGTTGGCACCACAGTACCCCGTTATGATACACTGAAACAATGATCTGACAATGAAGACAACGACGTCGTCTTATTTTTTTTCTATGTCAGCAGTATAAACGCTAAAATCCGAATGTTACACTGTACCACTATAACATTGCAGCTAAGCTCCTGTTAATTATTAAACACAAAACTGGGAACAAAATGCGTTTACCGTATTACAATTTCTGAATTTACTCATTATGTTGGTATGTACCGTAACATCGTAAATTAGCTGCTTAGTACCCGGGGAAACACACAGGGGTAACTCGAGAAACTCATGTCTACTCGCCACGGGAAACAGATTGAAATTAAAATTTGCGGCGCATCTAGGCGTAGCGCATCACAACATTAGTGGAGGCCGAGCAAGCTTTGTAATATGGCAGTGTCATAATAGGCGGCAGCTGTCGCTACTGCAAAACTGGATTTAATGGCTTTTGCCGTTCCAGAGGTATATTGCTTCCATCGTTATTACAAAGCCGAAATTATTAACAATTGCTGAAGAGGCTACAACCGTATTTGTAGACATTATACACATTGGAGTGTGTTTTTCCATAAAGTAATCCAAAATGGCACATTGATTTTTGGGTAACGCAATTATGAGGAAGCGGCACCTCGTCAGTTGATTCCTGCATTTATTTCCCCAGTAGTGGTATAGCGTCAACACAATGAGCACATGCTCATTGGTCAACAGTATAATGCGATAATGTAACATTCACTTTTGTGAGATTTTCTACCCTGGGGGTGTAATAAAATAAGTGCAGTCTTTACCTGCAGCTCGAAGCATCGCGTTAGGTGCTAGTGTCTTCGCGACATTGATAACCCCGTTACAGACTCAACTTAAATCCCATGCCCATCACATCATCAAGGATGTAAAAAAATTGAGTAGACAATCACTACGTTTACATGTACACGATAATCGTTTCGGCAAAAAACGTTCCCAAATCGTATTTCGGACAATCGAACGCCATAATTTGTCTCGAGTTTACATGGACACCATTGAATTTCGATCCGGTTAAAAATATCCCATGTAAACGTAGTGAATGTCAAGCCGAAAAGATTGCAGCTCTTTCAAATTTCCAATTAACACCTGCTTGTGCAGAGAATTGTCTGGAGCGAAAGTCATGTAAACATTCCATTTTATATTCATATTTTGTGATAACAGAAATGATAATTTTGTAATGCGGGAATAACATCCGTTTAAATATAGACGAAATTATTGGGGGCGACCGCCACCCCCATCGCGTTAAGAGAGTTAGGAGTCTCAGAGAGTTAGGAGTATGTCTCCTCACGTTCGTCCACAAATTGCAGCTGTAGTAAAGAAGCACTGGGCATAACAGTCCTACTGACACTCACCATTATTAATCCAAACCCGTTACTAAATAAAGGGTATGTTGTATTTTCATGAATGAAACTTCCTTTATCTGATCTTTGTTTGTTATTATGTTATAGCAAACTGGCTTTATGAGTAAAAATGTTCATTTTTGTGATATGTGTGCTGGAATATTTGAAGTGCTCAATAGTGTGCCGCGATATAAAAAAGACTGGGAACCACTGAATTCTAGCACATAATAAATACACAGTTGATTGAATACCCAATTTCTCGATGAATCAAGTTAAGGTTTAACCCATATTTAACAATGAGCCATGCATTGAAAATTTCCCCGAGAATGTCGGACAAATTCTTAGAAATAGAATTCTGTATATGTGACATGGTTTCGACATGCACCTCACAAAATGTACGTTTCGGATTTGGTGTTTTATCTATTTTATATAACAAGTCGTTTTTTGGGTTTGTTCGCAAAACAAATTTTACATGGAAGAGCAAAGACGTGATTCAATTGAACAATGAAGTACTTTTTTCATACAGCGCGAGCCAAGTACGGTACCCAACTTTCTATTCAATTCTGTTGACATTTTTCTATTTTCTCATCTGAAAACAGACTTTTGACACTACGAAGCTCAATGTGAATAATCAGTGTAGTTTTATCATTGCTTCTACTAATCTCAATCAAACTACGATGCAGAATATCTTGATGTGACAAATTTGTTCTCCATTCTTGCGATATACCTTATATAATTTTTAAATACGCTTGCATGTCATTAGAAAAATCAATAATATTCAAAAAGATATGGAAACATTGCAATTTGCTGTTTTGAATCATGTATATTTTCAACAAAACAGTTGTCCCGTTCCAATCTTCTTAATATAAATTTTTTGATCAAAATATATTTTTATTACAGTGTTCGATACAAATTATTTACATCAATGATAATTTGGGATTTGAAGTATACCATTATTAGAGAGTATTTCCTTAATCTTTGAATACGGTAGATATCAGGGTGGTCCGAACCCAGGCCCGCGGGCCACATGTGGCCCGCCGCTTCATTATCTATGGCCCGCGTCACATTCGGAGAGGAATCAAAAAATCGCATTTCGTGTTTCGTCATAATATTAACCAAAAAATCTTCTGACATATTGTTGCATCACTAATGTCACTGAATTGACTAGTGTTATGGATTGCTGAGGCAACTAGCAAAGTCGAACGAGCGAAGTTCTTGGTACTATTGTGGCCCGCGAACATTGCAAAAATAATTTTGTGACCCGCAGAGCTGCCAATCTTGGACCACCCTGGTATATATGATAAAAAGTATTTTTACCTATGGAAAAATTGTTGCAACTAAAAAATGTAAACTATCGAATCACGTAAATAAGTGGGAAATTATCATGAACTCATATTTGGACACGTCAGTGTACTCTACGATCGTTTCAATATTATGTTGTTGTTCTTGTTAGTCTTTTTCTCTTTCGTCATGTTGAAATCGCCTTTCTCTTCGAATACTGGACCAATTGCTTTGAAATTTTCAGTGGTTAAAGATTGATTTTTTGCCAGAAGGTTATTACTTCTACTTATTTTGAAAAATTCTGTGGACTTCCAGAGATTTGTTTTTTATGTGTCAGAATAAAAAATAGCGACACCTTGTGACGTGTCCATATATTTGAACACAGCTCTCTTGTTTTAGGTGCAATTGTATTTGTGTGTTATCGTGTGTATAAAAAGTGATGTTTTTATTTAAAAAAAAAAATATATTTTGAATAAATATTTTTATTATTTATTTCATCTGGAAATACTGGTGAGCGAGCATACGATATTTCACACGTTTTGAACTTTTTAAAATGTTTTATTCGCTTTCCAGAATTTTTCATTTCAATTAGTGTATATTATGGAGCTTTCAAAATAAAATATCTATCTATCTACTGCGTTTCCTCGAAAATAAGATAGAGAGAGTTTATTTGTTTTGTCCATAGGGTCTTTTTAGTGATTTTTTGCTATCGACCAAGTCAAAAAAAATTTTGCACTATCGACTAGGCCCTATTTTGAGGGAAGGGCTTATATTAAAATTATTTTTAAAATTCAGGATAGGTCTTATTTTCGGGGAAACATCTATCTATCTGCTTAGAAAATACGCCTCGCTATAACGAATTATGACGTCACAGAGTCACATATGATGTATTTGGAGCACTTCCTTTGGTTGCTTTTTATATGTTCGGGGTGTCGTTTCCGCATCTGTTTCCGCAGTGGGCTTTTTAATGTTATTATTATTTATGTTTGCATATAATGGTGGTAACGTCAGTACGGTACTTCATAATACGCGAATGTTTTAAAAATGGTTTTAAGAAACCGTCTTTTAATTGGTTCTTGTCTATCTACCACACAAATTGCATAATTGCAAATACTGTACAGAAATGTTCCCGTTTTCATGATTTTATTGTTAGGTTGCATCTGGAACGGTAAAAGTACACTTTCAATCTTACAGCTATTCTTGTAACTGTCGCATTCTGGACTGCTAACAGGATCCCGCCTTGGTTCTCGGGCATAATCTTTCGCCTTTGGCTGTATGCACAGACTGACAAACGCTATCGCGGAAAAGAACAATTCTGTTTGGTACGGTATGGTAGCGTACCGTGTGTTTTATAATAGAATATTGTATGTTTCATTATTCAGTTATGGATTTTCACTTTGTTATTGCAAATACATGACTGCATAATATGAGAAAATATAAATCTATTTAAAATCAGTGACTTTGTAAAGAGTGGATTTATAGGTGATACAGTGATAGTTTTCAGTTAAATGATTAAATATTATTCTTCTTGCTCAGTTTTGATAAATTTAGTATTGTCAGACTGTAGTATTTAACCCCTCCCCAAGAGAAATAATCCACCTGCTTTTGTTTTATAGAAGGTGTTGATTATATCCATCTCATATATCTGTATATTAAAGTACCAGAGGCGTTTAACAAGTATAATATTTAATTTAAGATTTCGCATCTTCTGCAGATCAGAAGTCTGTTTTTGCATATTCCAGTATTCAGGTATTTGAATTCCTGGAATTTGTCTGTTTTTTAATAAACGGATGTATTACAGTACTAATGTGTGTAATAAACATATATACCTGTATACTGTATATAACTGTGTATTATGTTTTTTTTATAATCACTGACTTTGGTCACATGATCATAATGTCGATGACGCATCTGTCATCAGACCAGACACAAACAGAGTTTTGTTTTACGAAACCGAATGTCGAAACATCCTGGAATCGGAGAACTGTGCACTACTGTTATAATATATTTATTGTATTGTTTTCACATTCACAATACAGTCTGGCAGTACAAAGATAGTAAAAGAAAAACAAAAATATAAATAGTGTCAATAAATATTAACAAAATACATGTTCAAAATTTTCTTTGTTTGTTCTATGCACTTGATTTATTACTTCTGGGATGCGCCCTCTTGCTTTGGTGCTTATATATTAATCATTTTAAAATTTTCTCAGATCTAATATAGTTCTTCAGTGTATTATCATCAATCACTAATTGTACTGGGCGCTCAATTGTCGGAAACTATTTGGTTCTTTTATATTTCCACTTTCACAAATGCTTGGTATATGAAGACTTCAATATGAGCAGTAAAAAAGCAATTAAAGTTAAAGCTAAGTTTGCTTACCAGCGTCAAAATGAAGATGAGCTCACATTTCCAAAAGGGGCCATAATCATGGTTTGTGATTTTTGTTTTTAGATTTCATATTTTATTTAAAAATTTGACTAAATTGTGGTATAATATCACACTTTTCAATGTAATTAAAAACATATTATTTTGAACTGCCGCATCCTAGCTAATAAGGCCTATACAACTAAAAAATAAAAGTTTATTAGCTTGAGATTTATATGATTTCCATACACGATTCCCAAGTACATTATGTGTTATCTACATAAACTGGATTTGATACACCATAAAAAAAGTTAGTGATTATACTGTTATAATAAGACAGTTGGGCACACTATACAAATCGGGTGACATTGTCCCGTTTCAGAGAAATCCATTTTACCGATGATCAGACACCCCTACTTTGGGAGACGTCTGGACATTGTTGTCCCTCAATATCGGTAATAATACAGTACAATGAAGTTGCGCAAAATACTACAAAAAAGCGCAATCTAGTAACGTCCTCATTGAATTCCTTGGAAAATAATAATCCGATTTACCAAAGGAAAAAAAATTTAACTGTAGCATTCGAGAGTTTTTAGCAAAAAACGGCAATTTCGGTCATGTGACGGCCGCGATTAATTTAGATTATTATTGAGACAAGCATGGCGCGATATAAGCTTCCGACGTGGTCCCAGACGCCCCTCATTTGTGAGACACATAGAGTGTTTGTTTTATTGAGCCAAATGGAGGGAAATTCTTAGAATTTGGATAGTGTGCTGTACTGTAAGACCAGAAACAAATTTTATTTTGCATAACGAAAGTAATTTTAGATTAGGAACATTGTTTTAGAATAGGTTGAATAAGTTATGAATATTAGTTATGGAATGATTGAATACCGCTGGGCTATATCCATGCAGCTGATAATTTCTTCATTTTTTGTATATAATATTCATATGTTGGTAGGTTATATAGCAAATTTATAATGTGTACGAATTTTGATGTTTCATATTTGTATATTGAAATTACTTCCTCCTTTTGAAAATGAAATCCTTCATTTTAGGTTTCAAAAAATGATGACGGAGGATGGTGGGAAGGAACACTAAATGGAAATACTGGATGGTTCCCCAGTAACTATGTAAAAGAAGTAAGACAGAAAATTGAGTCAGGTGAATACTGAATAGAAATATATTTTGATAATACGCCCATAGTATTTCAATGGACATCATGCAAAGCCTTAGGAACACCCCTGCATTTGCACTGCTGATTATCCTGCATAGCTATAGAGGTCTTATTCCTGTGTCAGATGATATTAGGGGGAAGGATTTGCCTTTTTCTTCTTCTTATTGGAATAGATTGAAAAATATGATTGGCGAATTACCGAGCCTTGTCTAATTCTCTTTCGACATATCTACCGTAAATAATATTGTAATGAATAATGATATATTATTTCTCATCAGTGGAGGTGATTTCCATTAGACTTTTTGCTGTGCATGATAGTATTCACACAATATAGTACCTTATACTATTCAAATTCCAAATCCATGACATTACTTACAATTAACAGGCTATCTGTTTCCGGCTTTGGCTGCGAATAATCTGTAGCCCTAATGTATGATGTTTAGGCGTTTTCAGCTTCCTCTCTCCGAGGAAAATGAAAAAATTCTCACCCATGAATGCCCATTGAATATTTTTTCAGCTACGATCAACAGTTCTATTTTTATCGTTTACCTTTATTCTTATTTACTTTTAGAATCTGTATCGCCACAAACTGTACAAAAGCAGTCTGTACTGCAAGAAGTAGAAACAAAAACACAAGAAACAAAGTTGGCTTATTATCAACAGGTATTGTATTATATATTCAAAAAATTAATTGGTCGTTCAACTCGACTCATCGGAAAATGAAATAATGACAAATATTTTTCCTAATAACCCTTTGACACAACCATTTTTTTTTTATTAATATCTAACGATATGTAAGAAGTCACCATTTTGAGAGGACCAGGGTTTCTGTTTCGGCATTGCCTACCCAACTTTCGACACCCTGGGTGGGGTGGTGGGCATGGGACTATCAACACCCAACTTAATATACCCTGGGTGAGATGATGGACATGGTACTTTAACCCAAGACATTAACTTGTAATGCCAACATAGCTTCGTGTAATGCTCCAACAGCTAGCCTATCGCGGTCACAAAATTGGTTTTACTTTTGATCATATGTTTTTTCTGTAAAATATTGCTAATTTATATAAAATCATTGTGTAATTCAATTTTCACCTTACTTTTAAGTGGAAATAAGTTCATGAACTGTCAAAAATATCAAATATTGTTATTTCTAATAACATAATCTTCAGATTATAATATGATCATCTATTCAATTCGTTGCAAGCTGAAGGAATCTTCCAAAAACTCATCCTAATTGACCATTTTTACTTTTTCATAGACAACTATATAGACATCTTATGCTACTCAGCCATTCTTTTTTATGATCAATGATTCGAACTGTTTCATTTCATTCCACTTGATTGTGAAAATAAAATCTTGGATTTAACTGTGTGCGCTAATTAGATTTTTCAATTTAAAGAAGCCTACATGTAGTTTTTTTCCCAAGGTAATAATGTTTTATTCATGAAAATGATTCTTGGCTAGACTTGTCTTTATTTAATCTCTGCTACCAGTAGCAGTTTTGCTCAAAATATCGTTGGATCGATACATATTACAGTATTTAGGGCTTTAAAGAAAATTTTATTATCAACATTTTTTGGTTTTGAACACGAACTCATTACTTATCGATATAAATTTTCTTTATTGAAAATTGTTTGTTGGAAACTTATTAAATTTAGAACATTCAGTCAAATATATTATTATTGAGAGTTGGTACTCCCGTAGTGTGTGTACCAGGTTAGGGTTAGGCCATAATTTTATTCAGATTTTTTTTATTTTAGTTCTATAACGACTTCGTGGATTGTCTGTCTTAGCCAAGTGAATATACCCCCTCCCTGCCCATAAGTTCAGTCCCTTTACATAACTTGATGTAAAGTAGGCGTACAAAATTAGTTACCTCCATATTGGTACACACACTTCTGGAGCGCCGAAAAATTTGTACTAAAACTGCATGATAAAGAAATATTTTACTATCTCCAAAGACATAACTTACATTGTACACGAAAATGTGTTTCTGTTTGTTCGGTATAGTTTTATATGAAAATGTGACAACAATTTTTTTTCTCAATTTTGTTTCATCTGTCACTGTTATTATCTACCTGGTCAATTACTACCATAGTTTTTATATTACACTCACCGTAAGGGTTTGCTTTAATTTTGTTTTATTACCTGTGTGATGTTGGGGACTTAATAGGTGTTGCAGGTAAATTATGGTGTTAACCAGGGGTGTGTAACCTTTAAGAAAAGAGAAAAAACAGATCTGAACTGAGATAACTGATAACTGAGTGAAACCACGGGCTGCACCCTTATTTAAAAAAGGGTAGTAGTTGCAGGCACAAATATTTTGGGTAATGATCTTATGACATGCGTTGCTCGCTTCTAACAAACTAGCCGTTAGGGCAGTGTAACGACATAGGCGTAGATAATAATTGGGCTTTGAAATGCAAAGAGATTGGAATTATATGCACGAACCAGATTACTAATTAGATTTTCGTTTCATGGGCCGCACACTATTCAAAATTGGCACTTCTTCGTGGGCTGTATAATTTTTCTGTGTGGGCTGCATTTGGCCCCCGGGCTGCAGGTTGCACACTCCTTGTTTAAACAGTAAACGTACATTTCATTCATCAATCAACTTGTAATACGATTTTATTTCAGGTATTACAGAATCTTCTAGAAATTGAACGAACGTATGTTAAAGAACTTCAAAGTCTTGTTGGATCTTATATTAAACCTCTTCAACCTCAAACAACACCGGGTGGTGAAGGGATCCCAGAATCTGACATCTGCGTCCTGTCCGGAAATATTCAAGCTATCATCGATTTTCAACTGAAATTTGTCAAAGAATTAGAAGAGTGTTCAAAGTGGGTTAAAAACATATTTGTGTTTTTTTTTTCTGTCTGCAATCTCAATCAACAAAATTTATGACTGCTATTTTTATGAGTATTCACTCACGATGAGATCACATAGACTCACTCGGATAGGACAAAGATTGCTTCTTATATAAATAAGGTCTTGAACAGAGACAATTAGGCTAGAGTAGGTTTCCTTTGCAAAATGTAAAAGTAAAGTTGTATGTATATGCTATTTTTAATTAACAAATTTTACCTATGTCTAAATTTATAGTAAAATGGTGTTTCTGGAATGATTATTATTGATACGGTTCACAAAAACATTGACCCTCTTAGATCTGATGAAAGAAAACATGTCCTTGTAATACTGCATCCTGTTATGCTCTTATTCATATCATGTAAAAAGCAGGATATAAAATCCGGTCATTTATATATTATAGATTTTTATACCTTATTTAAATACACTATAAGGTTGTTTGTACAAGAACTAAGCATGATCAATAGTAGCAGCCAATATACATTTGCTTAACATATGGATAAGACTCTTAATTAAATATATATTAAATCATCATAGTTTTTTTAACATTTTATCCACGGCCCATGCTAGAAGAGTTCCAAAACAACATTCAATTGAATAGCTGTTTGATGACTAAATATTTAAATCTCTTTTAGTAGAGCATAGTGTGGCTGTGGTCATTATTAATAATTATCGTGTTAGTCATTTGCTGTCTAGGTTTTACGAATTTTGTTGCCATCCTGTATAATTCATGTAACTCACTGCCCTGATTTGCTGTAATAATCACTCCATATGCCATTCTGGGGACAGTATGTGCCAGACGTGACTCCCAGAGTTACATGGCGTTACTGAATCTGTGTCTTGCCCTTTGACTCCCTAAATGAAAGTCTTCAATCTGCGCACAAATAACACTTGAGCAATCCCATTTCCCACTGATGCTTAAAAACGCTGCAATCTTCAAAAACTTCACTTAAAAAATGAAACCGTCAATCACTGTAAAATTTATTGTCCCTATTATAATTTCCCAAGGTCATTTTTGATTAATCATTGCAGAGAATAGAATATATCCCCAGTGAATATTATCAATTTGTTATCGAATACCAGAATTATTCCTTTTGTCCTTTAATATGTTCTCATCACCTTAAAAGGCAGAGTTAACGACCAACTAGTTGCTAGAGTTGTGTCCATGTTAGCGATAAATTGATAGGGCTTAAATTCAACTGAGAATTAATGAACCTTGTTGATCTATAACCAAAAGCACAGAGTCCAAAGATATGAACTAAATACAGTGCAATAAAACAGGTGTGCAAACTTTTTGTGCAGATATTTTGAAATTTCTGCATTATCTCAACTTGTAGCTGAGGATCACAATTATTTACAGAATAAATATATTTGCTTTTTTAATTAATTCAATCAAATTTATATTTATTTTTGGTAAGCTTCTGAAAATGTTACTGCGAAATTTGTAACTAATTTGTAAAATTTTTATATGTTCATTGGTGCAGAAAACTTTTTTCATTCAACATTATCTTTTTCTATTTAGAATTTCATACCAGCAACAGCAAGTTGGGGTTTGTTTTGAGAAGAATGGTGATACGTTTAAGCAATTGTATGACGAATATTGTGGTAATCATCCATCTGCAGTTGTTGTATTGCAAACCCATAAAGAACAAATATCGAAGTACGTAATTTTACTTTGGAATAACCCAATTTCAATTCAAGATTATGGTTTTTGCAAATGTATAAACACAAGTTTCTCTGTTCATAAGAATCATAACTCTAGTTCACAAGATATTCTTAATATACATATTTTTAGCTTTTGGTGTGTATATTATGGTTGAATGTGGCCAACCAAGTATAAGTTTTAAATTTAATCGGTCTAGTCTCTACAGTATCACAATTAACAGTATCTTTGTCTGCATCATTTGAATGTACAAGATTATATACACAATGTAATACCTGAACTCCGGATTTAGAAATGATTTCATGGTCGCACTGTGTATTGAGATCACATAAATATGCAGCTGATTGATTTGAAGTGTTCAGTATCGTGAAAGTGCAAATTTGCTGGATCACGTAAGGCTATCAAAACTGTGGATCATTAGAGTCATTCATATTTGATACTGCAGTTTTGGGAATCATTGCCAGACACTTTGCCTTGCTTTCTTATTATACTGGTTGATCATTCTCTTCTTTACTTCACGATTTTTTGTGATTTGTGAATGCTTTGTTCTAGGCAAATAGAAAACAAAAGTGGTCAAAACTCTGGCATCACTCAACTTACGACAGGTCTCAGCAAACCTTTCCGACATCTTGAAGAATATTCAAGTTTATTACGAGAGTTGGAACGCCATTTAGATGTAAGTATTACAAAAATTATTGTTTTTAAAATTAGAAAAAACACTAGTACATTCGCTGATTTGTTTAGCCTGGGAAGTTGAAACGCCTCTTTTCATCTCTTCATGCATCAAATTTAATTCTGAAATATGCGCAGATGGGCAATGTATTTATGTTCTGTCAGTTTTAAAAAATCCAAATGCTTGTGACCTAATTGACTTAGATAGGTGTGTATCATGAAAATGACGGTCTATTTGTATAGTGATTCATCCATCCATGTTCAAATACCATTTTGACATAGAATACTAGCGAAAACTTTTTAAGAATTGTCTTGACGGCTGGGGCACTTACTGGGCGTTATGAACACGCCATTATCGAACCTCTGATTTTCATATACGGATTCTCCGGTTCTATTATTTGGAGACGATTGCTAGGCCCGTCACTGTCATTATGGTGGTTCATATAACTGGCCGGTTACGGCTTTATCCAATATCAAGTCCATGCTGAGGGTATAACTGTACTTTTGAATACTGCCAGACAAGAAACCGATGTTTGTCATGTGGTTATGTCGTCTTATTCTACTTTTCCATCCCAGGATTAATATAAAAAATCCTATTTTATATTAATCTTAATCTGCATTTCAAATCACACTTGGTGTTTTTTACTCTGTATATAAATTTCAAATATTTTTCTTGTGTTTTGTATGTAAATTCATTTAAATTTTATTTCAAAGGGAAAATGTATTGTACGACAGTATTCGTACTTCCTAATTTAAACTATTTCGATTTTGTTGTAACTTTGCTTCGTGTTTCAGGATACTCATCCAGACAGATCACATGTTCTTCAAGCCATATCACAATACGAACGAATATCGGTAATTATTTGTAACTTTGTTTGTTTACTTATTTTCAACAATGTGTATTCTAGGTACACATAAATTATGTTGATATTGCACTCAGAGCTTTCTAGCATTCATGCATACCCACTGCCTAACCCAGTATGTATTAAATTTTGTAGGCAATCTTAAACCGAACAGACGACTCTCCTTCTTAAAATAGCTCTTCTCATATTATTAAATAGCTTGCACAGTGCCTTGTTTGGAGGGCTCAAACATGTGTCATATACAAAGATTAACATACGCTAATTAAAGATTATGTTTAGATAAAATATTGTGTTATGCCCATGGGTATATCATATTTTAATAACTCTGCTTTTTTCTAACTCAGCTCGTCTGCCAAGAAACTCGAAAACGGAAGGAGACAATTCAACATATATTATCGAGTCCGATACAAGGATGGGAAGGAGAAACATTATCATCATTGGGTCCAGTGTTATACATGTCTTCTGTTATTTTTCTCAGTGGACTCGACGTGAGTTATGAAATTTTTTTATGCAATTTTGAATTTTATTACTCAGTCACCATCTCCTTGCTTTTGATATCATGATTAACCCATTATGAACTGAAAAGTATCATCGATCATGGTCAGATTTTCCCGTGATAATTCTCAGTTTTTTACAAAAGTGGCTTTTGTCTCAGCCCCTTGGAAGTCCCAACCATCCCACGTTGCAGATTTTTCTTCCAATCTTGCGTTAAGGACATATTATAATAGTAAAATGGAAGCGTAAGATTCGGACATTGAATAAATATGTGCTTTACACATGAACAAGCTAGACAGCTATCAATCTTTGTCAATATATTTTAATTATGAATATACAAGCATGAAAAAGTGATAAAATATGCACGTTATACATAGCTAAGCTCGATAGCAACCACTTTTCAACTTGGTCATTTAAGCCAGGGGTGTGCAAACTGCGGCCCGCGGGCCAAATGCTGCCCGCAGAAAGAAGTTGTGCGGCCCGCGGAAAAATAACAATTTCGAATGGTGTACCCGCGAAATGAGTATTTATTCTTTTTCGTCGCAAAGCCCATACCAGTCATATTAGCAGAACAAGCTAGCAAAATACTGTTGCAAAATACACGATTTATATTACAAAAACGTGTTTCTCACTGCATTCGGTTGAAGTCGGTGTGACAAAAAATTTAAATAGCAGTTTCTTCAGAAGTTTATGTGTTTTAAATCTACTATTTCTGCAAGAACCCCTAATAATGCCGTAAGATCAATAGCAAATATAGGCAATTTTTGTGCTTGCAACTACCAGAAAGCCTAAATTAAATAAAGGTGCGGCCCGCGGCTTCACCCAGTTACTTGTATTTGGCCCGCCAATAAAAAAGGTTGCACACCCCTGATTTAAGCCATTGGTGTACTCGGCTCTGAATTTATTATTTCTATCTCTGCTTACAGGATCGAAAGGAACGCTATCTTTTATTATTTCCAAACGCACTTCTCATGTTATCTGTTTCTCCTCGTATGAGTGGTTTCATTTATGAGGGAAAACTTCCACTCACTGCCCTCAAATCCAAACGTCTGGACGACACTCAAACATATCAACATGCATTTGAAATCACAGGTGAGGAAATTTTTCTTTTTTGCGAATTTATTCAGATGAATTAGCAGTGGCCTAGTGACTAAAGCATTAGACTTGACTATAATTGCATTGTTGATTAATATCTTGGGTTCAAATTTCACCCATGGTATGATAAATTTGGTAGGCAATACTGAACTGGAATGATATCGGTCCTTCCAAACTTACCGTATCTAGCAGCGTATTTGGAGCGTAAGACGTGTGGATACATTGTATAAAAAAATGCTTTTCAAACTTGAGCTTGTGGTTGTATTATTTTTGATATTTTTTTGGGAATTAAGTTGCAAATAATTACTAATATGGAGTTTCTTGTCAGGATTCTGTTTTCAGTGGAAATTTTCAATGTAGTTCAACTGAATTCGCCTTTTTTACATAGGAGATAGGATAAATAGACTTTTTGATGACATCAAAAGACTGTGACGGCAAGTCTGTTTCTGGTTTGTACCCTGTGCCAGGAGACTTATATTAGACACTGTCATTACTGTTTTTGAACATAGTAAATTGCTAGTTAAATTATAATGATTTTATACTAAATTGTTATTTATCCACAGGTAATCTGATAGATAGGAAAATAGTCATTACACGATCAACAGAAGAACAAAGAAGATGGTTGCAAGTCCTTGAAGCTCAATGTGATCAATGCCATCGTACATCACTGGCACCTGTTGCTGCAAACGCTGCCTATTCGATTGTTAAACACATTCCAGTTACTCAGATTCCACCTGTACCAGAGGTGAAATAATGTTTTGATTTTTTTTGGATGGATTTCTGATTGTTTTTACCAAACTTTGATAAAAATTTATGTAGCCTAGTGCAAGGCACCATGAAAATTCTATATAACTGTGGAATGGAATAATGTTGACTGGATGTTCGTAAAATTTCAAACTTTAGACAGTTTTACTTTCTATAACTCGGGTTATAGAAATTATATGACAAAAATTTCCAGACAATATGTTTCAAAAGAGGATATAAATATGTTTACTGTCAAGCTTGATAAAAACCATTGAAATTCTGAAACGAAATTTTTTGTTTGAAAAATTGATTCGAATTTTTGCTATTAATTTTTTCAGTTGGTACCGGGACAATCACATGGTCACACGCCTATACGGATAACGCCGGAAATTCATGCTTCACCGACCGTATCACCTCCACCTTTTCCTGTTTCAAAATCAGGTGGAAATTTGCATGTTTTTTTTAAAAATTTTGACCGACAATTTTATTTGTTGCTTGTCATCATTCAATGTTATATATATGGGGAGTGTCTTCATGTTGGGTCTAGTCATGTTAATTTTTTTTTTCAATCTCATTGAAATGATTCTGGTACCTGAATCATTAATTCTTTGATACCTGAAAAGTGGATAAGTTTTTTTATTTATTCTTAGGGACAGGAAAGTCGACAAGGTGTCTTAAATATATGGCGAGCCATGGCCTCTCGTCAGTTCACTGGTTCATGTTGGGTATGGGGATAGTTCATCAAATACTTGTTTCAAATGCATAGACTTGATGGTGGGGCAGCTGTAACCGACCAGCAGTTATGTGAATTGCCCTATGACATCGAGGAGTCCAGCAATCCTCTGTCACATAATTATTCGAAAATTCAGTTTTAGGATTTCTAGTTAACTGCATTCAAAAAACGGTGTTTCTGATAAACACAGAAGTTCAAATGACTAACCACAGTAGAGTAATAAACTATGAATCATGTCAGAACTAGTGAGGCCTTACCTGGGCAACGTGTTTGTTAAACTGACTAACTTGTCTAATGGAATGCCTCAAAGTAGACTATACATTAAAATGATGGATTTTAAGGTGAAATATCGAGCCCAATAGCATTGACGGAAAGTTTATTTTTGTGAACCAGTATGATATATCTATTTTACAGGTGCAAAAGCAAACCAAACGTTATCCTTACGTCCTGGTCCACCAGTTCGACATATTCCTAATAGCAAAGATGCCAGTGGAAACATGGTAGGCCATGTGTGCATTATATTTTAATAGGCCAGTTTTAATATCAAAGTTTTAACCAGATTTGAGTTTTTTGCTATAGCTCTCAACTAGACGTGGGGAAGATTCTTGCATTATCATAGTTGACCAGTGTTTTGAATCATTTCAATCTTTATAAGTCATTTGTGTGAATTGTTGTTTTGATATTTTTTTGTTACATGGCATATTCACACAATTTCCCTTTCGAACAAGTCTCTGCATGAGCAGCCCCTAATATATAAACAGCTACTTTATTTTGGAAGAACCGATATCTTTCAGGTTCGATATTGATACCAATTTATTACCTGTGTGTAAAGTGGTTTGAAATGGGATTTGAATCTTAGATTTCAATTGCAATGCCATCATTGTTGAGTTCAGCGATTTAACCATCAGAAAATTTGTCTTCAACTTGTTTATGATGCAAATATAGTCATGACAATATGCCAACCACTGTATAGCAGTCCACTGTCCAAATTTATTGTGTTGATGATATCACATCTTTTTCAGGATCGAAGTAAAAGTCCTAAAGGAACTCGTAAAAAGAAGAAACCAAACAAACCAGATTCAAGAAAAACAACAGATGAAGACGCGCTTGCTAATTTAAAAACTACACCTACTGATACTGGTAAGAAATGGTAACTTTTATCAGTGAATATTGGGATAAGTTGGACTGGTTGGTTACTGATATTTGTCATACTAATACTTCAGAACATATACCTATAAGTAATTTTTGAGTTTTCTTTTAAAATTTTGTTGACAAAAGTTGCAGGTATTATCACTTTTTCTATAATACGTTTTATGTCTTCTTCTATGAACTTGGCCCTATTTTTAAATATATTCGAAATTTCTATTACAAAATAGTAAATTATTCAGTTTTGACCTCTACCTGTCATATATTGGCCATAACGACTGTTATGCTAAATTGCTTTTGTAGTTGTTAGTCTTGTTGTCATTGTGGCGACATTTGATGCGAAAATGATTGCTTTTTTTCATAACTAGTGTACTAATCAATTTCAAATTTGCCACAATAAAAGATGGAAAAAGTCGCCTGAAGACTTCTAATTTTATTTTCAGATTCTAAATTCTATTCTGTCCAGCATGACTGCCTCTGTCACGACTGTCCTTGATTTTGATTATAGTTCTGGGACACATTTCTGTGCGATTCTCATAGGCTACCAGAACTGCCTGCGTTTAGTTATTGTACCTTCATTCTCCTATATTCCAACAATGGTATTGTTTTTATGACAACGCACTGTACTTAACTGAACATTATTCATCTGTCTTATCAGCTTGATACAACCAAATGTCTTAAAATCTGATATTTTCACTCAACTTTACAATTGTTTTCTCAGCTCGACTGCCAGATGAGCAAGAAGTTCTTGAAGTATTGAAACATTACTGCAATGCCATGCACACCCGCAATACTAGTAAGTATTATAGTATAATCATATACCATTGAGATAGAGCTGTGCTAAGGGAAATATGATTTATATTGTAGCATGCTTATGTGTTGTCTTGTCTGTCAGTATTTTTTGTTAACTAACATTCCTAACATTAAAGTTCATCATCTGTTTTTATGTTGTATTAAAGTAAAATAGTTAAAAATAGCTATAAACCTAATACATAATGTTTTGAATTGCCATCGAAAGCTTTTCAAAAAATGCTATCTGCATCGCTAAATAATTGATTCAAATAGGTTTTTACATCTTTTGCAACGGAAAAAAATTGAATAATAATAAGCTGCGGTTTATCTATACCGACTGATTTTTTGCTTCTGTGATTGACTATTGATTGCGAACATCTTGTTTGAGACAGGCTTTCATTTATATCTAGTAGAAAATAGTGATGTATATTCAATTAAGTATCTTTTTTTTACTCCTGTATCACTTCATTTTTTTTTACCATTATAAATATTTGGCGGGAAATATGAAAAGTACTTTTGGGAATTTATTCTGTTACGTGTTTTTTCCCAAGAGAAAACGGCAGAATTTTTTTTCTTTGTTTTTCAGATTTTAAATAGACATTAGGGCGATGTATTCTGTCAAATGCCAAGTTTTGTTACAATGTTTTATGGTGTTATAAGATGTCCGATATACCATGCCATATATTGAATAGATCTATGAGCATGGGCCTTTTATAAATATTGCAGAAACCATGCTAGGTTTTCTGAGATAGCATAATCTTTGCTATAGCGTCTAGTTACTGTATGATATTGTTGAGTGTTTGCTGTGTTGTGGACTCTGAACAGTTGTATATAGGACTTTCATGTCAATATTGTGTGGCAGATAAGGCTTGTAAACAAGGTTAGTACAAATTGGAGTGAATACGTAACTGATTTTGTCATTTCCTATATAAATGTTTGATTTGATTAGAAAGAGTTTGTCATATAGATGATTGTATGGATAGTTTCATGGTATGTATTGGTAAGAAAACGAAGAATTTGCAGTGGCAAACTTGTCAAAATGTCAGATTTAAGTATGCAGGTTGAAATCTTGGGTTCACTTCAAATCCTATGCCCACCACCAGGGTGCACTAAATTGGATAGACAATGTAAAACAGAAAAGACACCGGTCCTTCCAAAATAAGTTAGCTACTCGCATAACATTGCTTGTTCGTGCAGAGCCTAGTTCAGCCTATAAATACACTGTATAAAAAGCATAAAACTGTATTATTTTCAATAAATTGAAAACGATTTTTATTGGGAGTCCTCAATAAATTTAATTTCTAATTTGTTTTATTTGTAACACCTGTGAGTTGTGTTTGCATTATTTTATTTTGACGTTAAGTCAATAGTTTTAGTGACTTATCAAACACAGAGGCAACGGTCTTTCAGACAGCCTAAGATTAATAGCATATTGATGAGACTGTACACTAGTAACATTTCAATATTGCTATTTTTGCTGTGTTTCATTTTTGTTGCCTTTTGGCTTATCAATATGTTTCGAAACAGGAAAGTATTCTTATTATTAATTGCTCTTTGGTTGATGATATTTAGAACGCTGTTGTGAACTTACTGTTACTGGTAGTATAGTTTTTTTTACCTGTAAAAGGGATTGATGTAACTGTAATATAAAATTTTTTAAATATAAAATTGATTACTTTTGTATTATAATAGAAACAATATGAGATAGTTTTCAGTTGAACTACTTTTCCTAGAAGTATATTACAAGTTATGTTGAGTATAGTATAGTAATATTTTCGCTGTTTTAGATCTCACTGCTCAAAGTTCTTATTTAATAAATTTAAATTTGTCAAATTTACTATTTGATATATTACAAATACAGTGTGGTCGCTAGAAAAGCAGAAAATTTAATAGTTTTTTGGGTATTCCCGAAGTATGTGAACCAAGATGGCAGACACCCGAACGTAGTATGTATACCAGGTTAGGGTTAGGCTATAATTGTATTCCAATTTTCCTTATTTTAGTTCTATTACGAGTTCGGGGACTAGCCAAGTGACTCCCGTGGTATTTCTACCTGTAATTATGCAAAACATATAAAAAAATTATAACAAATTTCCAAAATAATCAAATATGATTGGTCATTCATTTTTATTGGTATCGGATATATTATAATCATTTGTAAATATCAAATTCTAAATCCTCCGAATTGTTTGCTTGCCAAGTTGCCAATACTTTTACTTTGGTGCTGTAATGCTACTGATGTTATGATTAATCATTAATTGGCATCTTAGTGGGATAATAAGATTGAAAAGGTCACAGGATGTAAGGAATTAGGTCAATCTAGATTGATAGAATTTATCTCAGATCTGGTATGAATCGTATATAAACCTATTGTTTGTAAATTGTAATGTATTCATGTCTTAGTGAGAAAAGTTTCAGCAGTTTATGTGGAGCTCTATCTCTGTGAATACTTACGGTATGAGAAATAAATGAGTTCTTAGGAATGATAAATCTCTTTTATGACTTGATTGTTGGGAAATTGTAACATTTTTTTAGTGAAAGTTGTTTGTTACAATATTGGGGTTTTACATTGGCCTAGTAGTTAAAACTTTGAATGAGCTGGCATCGAAAGTTAAAATCTTGGCTTCGAAACCCATTCTGACCACTTCACCCATGGTGTAATAAATTGGGTAGGCAATGCAGAAACAGAAAGATTCTATTTTTCTAAAATATAGTAATCCCTTACCCAGGGGTGACAGCTTGTACACAGCTTTGTTCAAAGCAAAATTTGTAAAAAAAAAAAAATGGTCCAAATTGAAAGAGGTGTGTGCTTTGTTAGATGTCTGCAGTCTTATACCTTATTTTATTATTTCCTCACATGACAAGAAAAAAGAATTCTTTTTTTATAAATATTTGCTCAATACAAGGTCATGAGAACTCACTCAGAAATTAAAGAGAATGATCTCTGTGTGGAGATATGGCGACAACTAAAATTCTAAGAGCTACTGACACTATGAAGTATTATAGTGTGGAATTGGTAATTTGTGAAAAATTCCGGTTGAAGCGAGATTTGAAGCAGTATGCGTCAATTCGGTCAGGGAAAAAACTTTGGAAATGGATTTCGGTACTCCCGTAGTGTGTGTATCAGGTTAGGGTTATGCCATAATTTTATTCCGATTTTTCAAATTTCAGTTCTATTACGAGTCCGGGGACTGTCTGTGTTAGCCAAATGAATATACCCCTGCCCATAGGTTTCAGTCCCTTTACACAACTTGATGTAAATAGGCAAACAAAATTAGTTACCTCCATATTGGTACACACACACTTCTGGAGCGCCTGGATTTTTTAAGTAAGCTGAATCATACATTGGCCATAACTATCGGTTTGTTATCATATGGATATTATTTTAATGATCAATCAATACGTTTTTTATTCAGTATTACTTGCAATTAGCTCTGTCTGCATTATTTCAACTCAGTTTATTTATAGATATGGTAGTTGGAAGTCGAACTGTCATATTTGATAAGAGTTCATGTACAGCATAGATAGTGAATTGTCTGACTCTATCAAATGCAAGGAGGTTTACTGTTATGACTTGGCCACCCACGTTTTATATGAAGTAAATTATGATGTCTGCTAAAGTGCTAATATTATTAACACTCTCGCAGATAAATTAGAATTTATGTATTTCGTTGGATTTAATGGTATGCTGTCAATCGTATGTTACTTGCAATTGCTAATACCTATCAATTGTGCTCTATGCATGGTATATGGATAGCCACGTGCGGTACAGATATTGTAAAGCATAATATCAATAACAAAATGAAATGTTGTAGCATACATCAGCTCTAAATTGTAATGTCTGCTGAAGTGCTAATATTATTATAGCTACCGTAGTTAACACACTCTAGATATATTAAAATTTATATTTTTGTTAGATTATATTCTATGCTGTTAATTGCAATTGCTGATACCTACCAAGTGTGGGCTAAGCATGGAAAGTGGATAGCCATGTTTGGTACATGATGGTATAAAATAATAGTAACAAAATGTAATTTTGTAATCTACATCAGCTGTAAAATCGTTCACAAGAAAGCTATATGCGTGATATATTGATATACAATATTATTATTATGTGTGATAATTTGTTTAGCACTTGTATGTTAGGTTTATATTTAGGTATATAAAGTGATAGCACTGACAAATACTATATTGCTGAGATTTAATTTTAGAATTTGTTGAAACTGTAATTTTGTTGTAAGAAGCATCGTTGCTATGCATATGGTATTTTGGGTAAAAAATAAGGGAAAAAGATGTTACAGACTAAGTTCATTATTTAAATAAACATAAATTATGAGATGATTTAGTTCAGATTAGATATATCTTATTGCCTAGCAGTGTGGCACCATTCAGTTTGTAATTTATTTTATATGCACATAGTACATTATGTAACACAGTCGTTCCCAAACTTTTATGTTCGAGTTCGTGCGGCGCCAAATTATCAGGGAAAAAATTCATGGCGCATATACTCGAAAAAAATTGCTGCCTTTGAATAAAACTCAATTTTGTGATCGTTAATGTGTAGTTTATGCATTTTAAATAAAGTTTGTAAAAATGTAGGCCTAAAGAATAAAGGCAAAACGTCAACTTTTTTCCTTATCTTTGCCTGATTTTCCTTTCAAATACTAAAAAAACTCGTTCAGCAGATAAATAAACTGCAGCTTGCGGAATTACAGCAATTAGTGTATACCTCCATTGTTACGTAACAATAAAGGCAGACGCCACGTAACAGAAAATAAACAACATAGAAAGGTAAAATGAATTTACTGATTCATATATACAGCATTTGAAAAAAGAAACAATGAAACATAATAAATACAATTGTAAAATGTTCAATCATATATTACGGATTAGGTAGTTATGTTCAATGCAATTCTGTCAATTTTCGCAGATCAATTAGCAAATCGCCGCAGCATTCCCCCATTTGGAACTGCTCATGTAACAATAATAGCCACACTGGATCTGTAAATTCGATCACAGGTTTAGACTCAATTTCTGCAATAAAGTTTTTTTATTTCTAAGTTTTTCACTTTAGGGGACTGTCCAATGATACCTGGAAGATTTATAGTATTTTTTGCAGGAATTTCGTTTCTGCATAGTAACTGAGTGAGTAGAGGTATGGTGCTAAACCTGAGTCCTTCCTGTGTGTTCGAATTAAACATATGAAAAATAAAGGAAACGTGTTAAAACTATTTAATAAATTTTGTTTTTTTTGAAAGCAGGATTTTCATTTGGATTTGGAATTTTATAATTTTTATTGTTCAGTTTTATTTCATAAACTGTTTTCTTTTATTTATTTCAAATTGCTCGAATAGCCTCATTTACAACCTTTTCTTTTCTATAAAAGAATTCGTCTCTAACTTTTATATATATTTTGTTTTCTAGTAGGGTGTTTGGCTTGAAAGTACTCTTATGATAATGTCAAGTAGATATTGATTGGTTTTGTTAAGAGAAGCAAATCAGCTTCTCATCATTTATGGTCTGTCATTGCCGTTAATGGTTGCAAAGATGTCTTTCACTTGTGTGAAATAAATAACCAAACACAGCTCGTAATTGGAGGTCTTTATTTGAAATAAATAAAGTTATTTCTAGAAAGGTATGATTACTAAAAAATATTTGAAAAGGATTTATTTTTATAAAATTTACTATATTTACATTAAAATCTTCATTTTGTGAAGTTAAATTCAACTTATATAGGCCTACTGTATTTATTTTTGCAACCATATCTGATTAGATATTTGAAATCACAATTATCGTAATTGCAATATATACAAAACTGTGTAATACGAAACTAATACAATCGGAAGTTAAAAATACTATTCTTTGGTACAGGAAGCTGGCAATATCGTTAGGCAACACATTTTTATCGTCGATAGTTGCCATAGTTTGCATTATCATTGTTGTCATTGTTATAGTGTCGTCATATTCAACTTTTTTGTCACATCGACTAGATGGACTAGTGTGTGTTTGTGGACGCAAAAGGGAGTGGCAGTAGTTCCACCCTGTCTTTGTTACCGAAAAATAATGAGCCAGTGTAAATATCAGTTTCTGTATAAAAAGTGAAGTCTTCTTTCAACCAAAGTTTTCAGGTTTCTTATCTCATAAATTTGTTTTGCTTTGAAATTAAGATGTAACCGAAAAGACCTATTGATAAACTTTCGGTCAACTTTGTTCGTTCACAAAACAATTTCCTTTAAAGGTTGCTTATTAACATGGTATATTATGCATTTCTATGTGACGCTTTAAAAAAAGGTAAACATGATTGAAAAACTGTATCAGGACTAAGTTGAAGTTAAACCTTTTGATAGTACATTTTTAAGATTGACTAGTATTGATAATATTGACTGTTTTTATAAATAATAAGAAAAAAAAAAAAAAAAAAAAAAGAAGTTAAACCTCTGTTAACCACAGATTAAAAACATACTGAATTTCAGTGCTAGTTTTCAGTACTTGACTGTATTAGTTCTTTATGCCTTGTTTTTCATTTCAGCTTAGCAAATGAATTTAAATGAGTTTGATTAATAGTTTTTTAGCCTGAAGGAAATGAGCCAAACAAGATTGATAGTTTAATCATCGAAAAGTGACAATTATAATTCAAGTGCCTAATTCCATTTCAGTAATCTTGCAGATGATTAGTGCAGTTATGGTATTATCATTAAGGTTTAAAGTTGGAAGCTCAGATTTCGTGTTCTCGATAAAGTTTTTTGCTGTAATACAATGTCTTGAGCCCTCAACTAAAGATGGGAACATGCTCATAGAAAAGTGTCCAGGTGACAGTAGTGTACTCAGTGATTGTTCGTTCAAGTCACCTTTTTATTTAGGCCTGTTTCTGTTTTCATTTGGGATGTTTCTATGATTAATGTAGGACCAAATATACATCAGCTTTATATTGGCTTCAGTACTTGTCAAGGAATTTTTTATAGTTTTCTTTTTATAGAATTTCTATATAATGATGACTTTCATATAAACATTACCTCCAATTGGCAATGAATTGCTTAAAAAATGATTGCTGTAAATGTATTGTAATAGACCTTAATTTAGCGAGTGTGTAAATTTTAGCATTAAAATTGGCTGAATGAATATTATTTTCTATTTTGTGAATGAGAGTGAGATTCCACTAAATGCTTTTAACTAGTGGCATGTACATTTGGTTGAATTCCCAAATAGTATGCGAACTAATATATTGGCAATGCTGCTTTAAATATAGTAACCATTATGTCAATATTTGTATCGTTTGCCAAAAATTACGTCATAATAGCAGTCTCAGTTTTGAGTCATTATTCGCTATACTATTTCCTCTATTGGAGGCGTCAGACATTTTATTTATTGTGTAAAGAAACTTTTTTGCAGTGGAACTTTTTATGTGTTGATTCCTAGATATGTATAGGTTTACACAGTGTTTTGACATATAGGCTTACATGCAAGTATGGCTGTACTTTGTTGAGGAATCTCAACCATGCTCAAAATTTCTAATCAGTTAAGAGCTAATCAGCTATTCGGTAGCAATGATTTGAATGGGAATTGAATTAGAAGTCTGATTAAAAATGGGTTTGAATAATAATGATTAATTCACTAATATGTAACACGCTTGATTTTCAGCATTGCTAGCTAACATTATTTTTAATATAAATAACTAATGAGTGTTCACGAAATTACTATTAATCCTCATAATGGGAGAGGTGAGTTGTATTAATATAGCTTACCTAAACAAATTGGATTCATGATTGAACATATTTTGTTGAAATTTTATTGGCGTCACCTTTCTGTATTGGCTCGACGGTGTGGGGCATCATGCTTAGCCTTAACCTCTGATTACCCCGAGAGGGTTTGCAAGTTCAAATCCTATTCTGGGATAGTTATGTGTGAGATGGTTGCTGGACTCCTCGCCGCATAGGGGGGTTCATGTAACCCCTGGTCGGTTACGGCTTTTTCCATCATCAAGTCCAAGCTTCCGAAAACAAATAACTGGCTAACTAATCCCATATCCAACATGGACTGGTAACCGAACAACAGGCCGTGGATTGCCATATTGTTAATCTGTCCTATCGGTTATCCTCTCTCGCGCGATAATGTGTAAATCCTATCCTATTACTTATTCATTTCACTCCTGCTTTACGCTGCACCACTGATATAATTCTCTTTGGATCTTAAAAATTGAAACTCGGCATAAAACGAAATTTAAAAATGAATTAGCAAATGAATTACCGCGATGAAGACTTTGATAGAACGTTCTATTATACTCCAATACTAAAACTTAAATGGGGCAATCGAAAGATTTTTCACGAACAGTGTCAGATCATAATTTCATGAACAAAATACTAAACGAGAATATCGGTTGGAAACCGAAGACTTATCGATCGATAGTTAGGGGATCCCCCAAAACAGAAACTGCAGTTTCGATTCATCCGCTCATGTAACTTGCGCACTGCGCATCGCACACACACACTCGGCGGGTTTCAAAATTCTCTCGCTTTACAAAAATCTAGATCACTATATCAATAATTGATTGATAACTCGCTAATTATACGACATAATTCGCCCAAAATCAATAGGCTTCTGGTCCGAGATAAGATGAATGCACATGCAAAATCTGGAGCAGATTCAATCTCGCTTTCGTGAGATATCGCGTGCATCTAACAGACACACACACAGACACACAGACAGACAGACATACATACATACAGACAAATACCTATCAATATACTTACCGATCTTAAGATCGATAAGTAAAAATACTATGTACATTCAAAATAATAATGAAAGCATTAATTGGGCCATTTACACCCAATAAATAACTTGTACCAGCATTACAGTATAGTTGGGCTTGCAAATTCAGAAGTAGGGAGACGTCCTGGAGAATAATCATTTACAAAAATGTCTAACATCCTGTCACGTCTGATATGCAAATATGTGGACACTTAAATTTATTTTTTCGACGCCAAGTTTGCTGAAACACCTTAAAAAATAAGGTAGTGTTATATAAAATCTCTCTTTTCCACAGCCTACATGGCACAAGGGAAGACGAGACACACGTCAATTCTCGAAGAAAAAATAATAGTCGAAGATCCTGAAAATGAAGGCCTTATTGAAGAAAAGTATGATTGGTTTTGGCTTTTGATTTTTCTAAAAAAATAGTAAAGAAAAAAACAAAATTGACAATTTTCTTTTCCCCATTAACAGGAGCTTAGTTGACACAGTCTATGAGTTGAAGGACCAAGTAGCCAGTTTGATTCAGGTTTGACCCCATTTTTTATTCTTCTGCGTTGATCAAAATTTTGCTCTTGCTTTCTGCTATTTTTCTGCGAAAAAAATGATGGATTCATAGTTTGAGACTCATCGACATCTTTTAAATTTTGGCAATATTCATAAGCATGTTCGCTACCTTGATGCAAATCAAGGATTGGTGTAAAATATCATAATATAACCTCATCTGCATGAATCATTATTTGTTGTGACATCATAATATGGTTCAATATGTGAATACATTAATGAAGATTCAGATTGGTGTTGACAATTTTATCTGGTGATTTTGGAGAAAAGTTAACCGAAACATGCGAAATATAGCTACTCCCCATTTTAGTCCAATGTCTTGGTAAACAATCATTTAAACAACAAATTTACGGTACTAGAATATATTTTGATGATCATCTTAATTATTTTATGACCTCGATGTCAAGTAATATAATCAAATTAAATGATATAATATTAATGCACCTATGATCTTTCCACCAAATTTTTAGCCACTCATAACCATTCTAGATGCAATTTTTATTTTGATGTTCAAAATTGATCTACTTTTGAACTATGCTTACTTGGTGTTGCATGATTGTGCCGGTTAATAATAAGTCTTTTACTTGATTCATAATGCTTTCGCAATGGCGTATATATAAAATCATAATATCCATGACATGCTCTATTTTCCTGTTGAATTGGTTAGTTTCGCGAAAACGCTTTGGGCCATTATAAAAAATTCACCTTTTTTTGGGATGTTCAAATTTTTCACGTTACTTGTAATTTACAGGAACAAAAAAAGTTTGGTAAACGACTAGAAGAAGAAAGTAAATCACGTCGGAAATTGGAGAATCTGATTCGAAGGTCTGTTAACGAAACAAACACAAGTGCTCCTGTATCATCTAATAATGATTCAAGGCAATCTCCTTCGTTGGAATGCTAGCATGCTTTTTATTTTAAACTTGTGTTGTAATGTTGCCTCGTCGAGATAGGAGTTGATGAAATGAAGCCCCAAGGAAAGAATTCAAATCAATTTTGCCTTTTTCTCATCATATTTTATTTTTCCTTGATAAATGAAGGCTACTATCACCTTAACTTCAATATGTGTCACTCTGAAGTTTTAATACCTGAAGCATAGATCAACATCAACAATGCAACAATCTATTGGCTTATGTCTAAAAATAATTAGGATGTAGCATAGAGTATAGGGTTGTCCAAAATAATTAGTTTGTTCTCAATTGAATAATTCTGTTATAACTGTATTAAAACCCATGTAATTCAAATTACTTATTTTACCTGTGATTGTGTATTGATTTTGACTAAATTATGAAATAATTTACAATTGCTGGAATGTTTGGTTATTAAAGGGTTCTAGTTTTAAATCCAGCGTTTATTGTTGTTTTTTTAGTACTTCAACAATCTTGATTTAATATTCATCATCTTACTGGTTAATACAGGGTTACCCCCCAAAAACAGGACCCAGGCCATTTTTTTACATACAGTGAACATAACTTTTGTGCGAAGTGTCCTAGACTAGTGTTCTTCAACCTTTTTTACCATGGTATACCTTACATGTACCAATGTTCAGTTAAGGCTGAAATAAACATTAAATTATAAGCAAATATTGTAATATCCCGATACTGCAATATCACGATGCAATCTAATGGGCTACTGTCCGAAAGTTGTAAAGTGTAAATGGTATAAATTTGATTGACGGTCCTAGCGCCAAGGGGAGTAATGTTTAACGAAATCATCAACCCAGACATGTCCCTGCATTATCTATATATTTTGTGATGTAACAATGTGCACAAGTCAGTTCTTTGCAAAAATGACATTTTATATTTCATGTGCGCCGCGTTTGCCTTGTCTCCAACTGATTATTTTATAATGTAATATATTGGAGTTCAGAATCCCTGACTTAGGCTGCACACCAGGGGTCAGCAACCTACGGCCCACGCTTCACTGAATTATAGTAACAAAATATAGCTGTTTTGTCGATTATATTCTTTACGCAAAAGAATTTACGTGTAGACTAATATAATATTACGTAACAAGAATATAATTTACAATTACTCGTTTGATTTAATCCTATAATTTATATATAATTTAGACAAAAGAAAAGTTGATGCTAAGTGCAAATGGTTTAATGGCGCAAAAAATATTCGAATGGTCAGTCTTTGCGCGCTGCTTAAAATTTAACTTCTGATCTGTGTGATCGGTCATCCATTTGATTTTTAACATTCTAAAAATATGTGCGGCCCGCCAATGACTTGCAACCTTTAATTTTTGCCCGGGAACGACAAAAAGTTGCCGACCCCTGCTGTACACCTTTCGTATACCGTTTCTCAGTTGTATACCCTACTTATGGTTCGGTATACACTTGGGTATACCCAGTTGAAGAGCACTATACAATCATAAGTTCAAGGGGTGAATAAGTTTTCTTTAATTTCGATGGAGTAATCAACGAATTTATAGGATTTTTTTCGGGACACCCTGTAATACACCAAATCATTTTTTTAATAGCAACAGTTTAACCTTTCCCCAATTTACATCAACTGCACATGAGTCCATTGCATATTACACACAATCCAGAGAAAATAGCCTTGTAATATTTTTATCTTCCTCATCCAGTTCGAGAGAATTTAACGAACACTAAACAAAATATTGAGAATGTTCTGTATATTTCAAATCGTCGAATTGAAAAGCATAAGAGTGTAAAGACTATCAACCTGATTCATATTTTTTCTAATTGTTTTCAGCCTATTTCATGCTAATTTGTTAAATGCTAATTATCTTCAATTGAGAAAAGTATGGTGGTTTCATGCTTTCATAACAATTACAAGTGACAAAAATGCAATGTTTATATGATAGCAAACATGATTAAATGAATTTTGGATTATCATCAATACCTGCAGAGCATATGAATATGTAATAATTTGCACAAGGTGACCCAGAATCGAAGTAATTTGGAACAAAAAATTTCCTTCATTTTCGTAGAAGTAGCACAGAAATTTATGGGTTCTGTTTTCGGGGTCACCCTGTGATGTGAAGAAATGTGTGGATGAGAAAAAAGATTGCAAGATATATAAATTCCCTGCAAGCTTTGGCTTTTGAATGTGTTGATACTTTTGGTTGAAATTTTGTTCATACATTTCTTGTGGACTAAATATTTATTTTCATTTAGCATGCTCATATTAATTTTGTGTTTCTTATATTTCACGAATTATGCATAACTTGTTTTAGTTCATTCATTTTGCCACATGTATGATGTATACCTTCTTTTGCATGCTTTTAAGTTAAGTTTCAGCAAAATTTTGTTAATTGTTTGCTATTAGCTACAATAGGTTTTCATAATTACATACTTATAATTCAGCAAAACATTATTTCTTACCCTAACCATGTTTCACTCAGCTTGTGTTGGTTAGGGTTAAAGTTGAATCCACTTTTCACATACATTGTCTTACTTGCAGGGCTGAGATGCTTGGACAGCTCCATGGCGATTGACTTTCTGACCAGTATCATTAAACAATTGGCCCAAAATTTAAAATTAATCAAGGTTTTCCAAGTATGTGAAATAAAAAAAAGGCTTGAAAAACGATTTTTTTCCTCCTGCTAACTACATTTCCAACAAAATGTCATGGTTTCAGCTCTTTTTTGGCTGTGATCACACTAACACAATTTGTGATGATTCCACTTTCTGGTGTGATTTAATTGGGTATTGATTTTGGAGAGTTTACAGCACAGCTTCACTGTATTAATAATAATGATTTGATATTTTTGTGTGACGACGCCAATCAAATTGAATTATTAGGTCCTGAATTGAAATCATATTTAACCATGTGTGCTCTTATTTAGCGCTAATTGTGAGTTATGTGATTCTGCCTACATGGGTGGTATCTGTGCGAGCATTCCAAATTCTGTTTCATCAACTGTGTTGATATCTGTATGTGATGACGCTGACCGAATTGAAATATTAGGTTCTGAATTGAAATCATAATCAACTATGTGTGCTCGTCATTTAGCGGGTAATTGTGATTCTGCCTACATTGGTGATATCTGTGCGAGCACTCCAATTCTGTTTTCCATGTTATGTTATGATGTTCAATAATGCTCTTAGTACTTATCTAATTTTGCCATATAGCTATTTTACCATGCAGTAACAGCCAGTACTGCAGTTTTTTCTGTTCGTTTGTCAATCTTCTTCTTTTGATTTGTTCCTTTTATTTACCACCGTATAATTTTGCTTTGGACTGAATGCTATGACTTGTATTCATTTAACTTTATCCTCAATATAACAAAACATAGAAATCTTGTCTTGATTGGATAATACGCTAGCTAAAGAAGGCAATATGGAAAATAGGTACAATTATAAATGCTAGCATGCAGGGCTGATCACATTGATACTGCCTCCATAGACGTATTTTTGTACGGCCACCACCATAAAACACGAGTTCCAATTTCAAAAACTCTTTGGAAATTACTATTTCAATAAGGTATAAAAAATTATTGCTAGCTCTGGGCCCCAGCTAAATGTCACGTCTCCCAGCCCTGCTTGCCAGAGAAAGTATTTGAAATTGTAGCAGATTTGTATTGCTTTAACACCCATGCTTAAGGTTTTGCAGTTATCCCATCAAGAGCTAAAAGGGTTGTTCTTGTTGTGAAAGGGCTCCCCAGAAGCGCTAAAACCAATAATTCAGTTTCCAGTTTCACTACTTTGCATTGATCTTTAAGCCGACCGTTTGTTGAAACCTTGGCCAGATCTGAAATCAAAGCTTTTTGCATGTTTTATTATTTATTGCTAGACAAAACTGGTGATTATTCTGACCAAACTGTAAGCAATGCTCATACTACATTGTATTTTGTAATTGAAGATAATCCTAATTCACTTGTTTGTATAGAAAATGATTCAATACTAATAATGAAACTGTTTTGCACAACCTGACCAAGAATCAGGAAAAGCTAGACTCAACATTATTTATTATTAAACAAAAAATTTCATGTTACAGAGCTGCTAAAACAACAGGCGACTCAACATCATCTGTGAGACGAACGTCATCTGTTAAAACAGAGCAGGAAAGATATTTGAACTCAAATTCTTAGCACATTTCTCAAGATGAGACTTAATAAAAGAGTATTCATTTGATGTTAACGTGCGGCCAGAAGTTTAGAAAGATTAAGCTTTTCAGCTTCCAGCTCTTTATTTGGTTTATATCTCTTCAAACAATCTTCTTCAGTGTGCTGCAAAAACAATGTGAAATAGTGTTTGCCATTTTTGCTTTTATTTATCAGTTTAATATATTAAAAAGTACAAGTTTTCCAATCGCTTGCTAAGCATTTACATGATTAAATTATCGTTATTTTCCCAGCAATAACTGCCTTAATTGTGACAAATAGACTTGAAAATATAAATTTATACCTTATTAACCGTAAGCTTGACACCTGGAGGAATATCGCAAGCAATCGTTTGCAATAAAATAGGTGCCAAGGTAGACTGCAGGCCTTGAATCTGTAGAACTCTGGCATGTACCGGTAGCTCGGCAACTCTGTCCATTTGCTGCACTTCTTTTGTCAATTTTTGGCCAACCTGCTTCACTGCTATATGTTCGGTCGGTAATGCATACCTGAAGAAAATTAAACTTACAGAGTAGCCTTGTAGTACGCCGAGCTTCAAGGGCATTACATTCCTTCTGTTTTGGTTTAGTTCTATGAGGAGAGGCCTGAATCTTTTCGAATCATAACCTCTCTTTGTTAATATACGTGAGTGGGTATGTAAAAAACATGACATGTTCAGAATAGGCAACTACACCTGAGAATGTATTATTTTTGTTGTTTGACCATTCTTTACTTAGTGTTAATACCACAAAACAGATTTTTATCAAATGTCATCTTGAGATTTTTTTTTACTTTAAACTTTGTTATTCAAGATCATGGAAATGAATCTATACATTTATGAAAAGCCAATAAATCATTTAAAACATTGTCTCACACTTCTCTGACGTCAACTTTTTCCTGCAGCAATAATCGATGGATGTTTTGAGCAAATTTTTCTATAACAACCATATCATAACCTTCAACTGAAACATTGAGGGGACCGTAAGAATAAGCAGCATTGCTCTCATCAGCAGCAAGTTGTTCCTGTTTTTTCTTTCTCAAAATCTACAAAAACAGGATTATTTTAATAAAAGAATATAAGATGGTCCAAAATTTTTTTTCTTTCTCAAGACCTACAAAAACAGGATTATTTTAGTAAAAGATGGTCCAGAATTTTATGCTAGCTAATAAAAGATTTTGGGTTTAAAAAAATTAGATATGGACTTCAAAATTATTGCTATTCAGCTCATTATTATATTTTTTTACTAAACCTTCCCAAGTGATTCAAAGATTCTTGCTCAACACCAACACAAATATATTTCTGTTATATTATTTGTTTTGGTGTAAATTAAGACTCTCGGATCACTTAGAATAGTTATCTTTACACTTGCTGCAGTATCATATAATTAGTTCATCCCAGGCAAGTTTTTTATTTATAAATTTGTGTCTTCTTAGTTAATTCACCAATGTTATGGTATTAAATAGATAATATCAAGAATTTGCTGCAAAATTGATTGGATAAAGGCTTTTCAATTTGATCAGTAGTCATTTGTTTGTTTTTGGAAGCATGGACCTGATCGTGGAGGAAGCCGTAACCGACCAGCGGTAGCGAATAACCCTATCGCACTTAACTATCCCTGAATGGGATTCGAACATGCGAATCAATTCCCATTAATAACATGATGCCGTAGAGCTGAAATCATTATTTCTCTCCAGAGTCAATAACGTATAATAGAAATCAATACGCCAAGTATTCATTTTCAAAATTTGATTTCCCTCTACTGTGCATTTTCACAGACAGCGCTGTCCTAGCGTAAGGTATATAAGCATTTCAAATTTACCTTTTTTTGCTTGACAAGGCCGCTCAAACTGAGCATATCACTTCTTAAAAGATCATGTGGAAGAAAACCAAGACGTGCAGCACTTGTACATAGACCTCTGCTACAAATTCCACGTAAAATTGTATAAGAAATTCTAGAAGTCATATTTAAAATCTAAGGAAAAAAGTGAAAAATTATTTACAGTAATGTTATGCAATTAGAAACACGACAACCACCCAATGAGGGATATAGATAATTTTTACTATATTGTGTGGAAGGAGTTACAAAATATGTATTTTATAGCTAAATTGACATATTTTAAATAATAATAAACAACTAAGTAATTGGGATCTTCTATTTTTTGGTGGTCTCCGGGGAAAATTCTACCAAGAAGCTTTGTAGGGGTTGGGGCTTATTTTGTCTGGGTCAATTTTTATGCTTTAGGCCACACAGAGTTATTGAATGGTCAGTACTATATCTTCCTAATGACCAATAGGCAGTGTTTCTGAGGTTCGGGTGTTAAAATAAGGTCTATCAAGTTGATTAGACCCCTAGTGTTCTTTCCTAAATGAAACCAATATTAACAATACCTACAGCAGCCTATTGTTTACAATTTACCAACATGTTAAATCCAGATACCAAAAGTTATGATTGAGAATAAACAGTGTCAACGCGAACAACAATCTAAAGTTCATATAAATCTTTCTGATTAGGTATTTCCTTACGACTGTCCGCTAACAATTTGCTAGCTAACAAAAATTATGATTGAGAATAATCAGTTTCAATATAAAAACAATCAAAAATCCATTGTTGCATCTTTCTGATTAAGTTTTTCCTTACGGCTATCTGCTAATAATTTGTTAACGAAATCTTCAAAAATCTTGACGTGTTTTTTGATACTTGTTGTTTTATAAAGGTGGATCTTTCTAGTGGAACCGTCAGAATTGTCTTCTGTTTTTTCTGCTTTTTGTGAGTCTAACTCGTGGCAAAGTTGGCTGATAGTCGGGACAGCAAAAGGGTCGAAATCATCAACGCTATCTATATCAATTGGTACACAAACACGTCCGGTTTTAGGATGAACAGAAAAAGGACTCTTTAACAAGTGATTAATACTTGTGCTGACGTTGGCATCGAGACGAGGATAACAAAATTCTAGCATAATTTCTTGTGGCGTGTAACGAAGCTTACGATATTTTTTCATGTCTTCTTGATATCTTTCAGCAGTGGCTTTTCTTATTCTTTCCCATCTAGTTTCAGTTGTACGATTATCGTTATTAAATTCCGTTTTCAATTTTTCCTTCATTTCAGCATCAGGAACCATTTTTAGTACTTTTTCAACGTCTGAAGGGGTTTCAAGAATTTCTTGTGCCTGTCGGTATTCCTCCCAATGCTGCTTCGATATTGTGGTTATACAATGTCTTAAAAACGGGTGGACTGGATCTTTAAGATTAACTCTTTTCTCCAAATTACCACCTTGGATCACACTCAAGTAGTCCACGATCGCAGATCTTGCTTTATTCGGCAATTTACGTACTTTATCGTCACATACCCAGCAATGGACTCCACGTCTACCAGAATATATCCACAGTCGATGCATGAATCCAAAATCCTCTCTCAGGGCTCTATCAATCAATTTAATAGCCATTGTCATAAGAGGCCAACATTTTGTACAAATATCAGCTCCTTGACAACATTTTCTAACGTCATCGTAATCAGTCATATCAATGTCAAACACAAGTTCTTTTTCTAGAGGTTTAAAAATGCCGCTATGATATTTATTATGATCTTTTGGTGGATGGGAAAATATGGCTCCAATGTCAATTTTGTGGGGCTTCATTTTCTGGATTTCCTTTTCCATTTCTTGCTGACTTGTAAAAGATTGGTATCGAACATAAATATCATTCTGTAAAGTGAACGAAAATTCCCGGTTTGAAAATGTAGTTTTATTGAGACCTCCGTAACTCAACCAAGAATAGAACGGCCCATAGGGAAACAAGAGTTTATAATAAATTGGAAGCAAGCTTGGTAGACTTGATGCATCATAAGCAAATTCCTCTGGATTTGTCGTTTCATTTTTAACTTCGATTTTTTTTTCTTCAGACATAGCCAGTTTAGACAATGTTCAAATTTTTATACTGAAAAAAGAAAAATATACAAATTGTAAACTGATAAACTAGACACAATAACAACAAAAACTATACATGACATAAACAACCACCTGCAATGCAACAAGGAATGTGTATATCTGGAATGTACAATAAACACTTTCAAGTTTGGGCTACAAAGCTCTATAACAGAAGAAGTGTTCATTTTGCATCCTAAATGTATGATTGGTTTACAGCTTCACTTCTTAACATTTCCATGATTTAGTTACATGATTGTAATATTATATGTATAGATTCTTTGGAAACCAAGACTAATAAGTCAATTTTTAGATTATCTAACCATATTTAAATTACACATTTTTGTATTGTACAAATATAAACCCCTGGTGTACAACTGAAAATCGTGAATGGCCATTCTATACTTATCAAATAATCTATTCAGATATCTGCATTATTTAATAGGTAAGCAGTTTCTGAAATATTTATAGTAAATAAATGTTCATAATCTTGTTCGTGCTGGCACCAAATAGCTCGTGTTTTGGTCAAACAGCCATTTTCATTGCAATTTTGCCATGAGGTTTATAGTTTACCAGCTCAAAATCTTCATATTTGAAATCATCAATATTTGATATTTGTCTTTTTATTTTAAGAAGTGGAAATGGTCGAGGTACACGTTTTAACTGTTCATTGAGAGGTTCAACATGATTGCTGTATACATGAGCATCTCCTATTGTGTGTACGAAATCGCCAGGTTTTAAGCCTGTAATATGAGCGATCATGTATGTAAGAAGGGAATAGCTAGCGATATTGAAAGGCACACCAAGCCCCATATCTGCTGATCTCTGATAAAGTTGGCATGATAGTTCTCCATCACACACATAAAACTGGCACATTGCATGACATGGAGGCAAGGCCATTTTTGGTATGTCTGTAACATTCCAGGCACACATCATAATTCTCCTGTTGTCTGGATCCTTTTTAATTGTTTCTATTACTTGAGAAAGCTGATCAACACCTTTCCCAGTATAATCAGTGTTCATGTCAACATATTCAGCGCCAAAATGTCTCCATTGAAACCCATAAACAGGTCCCAGATCTCCAACTTCACGATCATGAAATCCCAATTTATCGAGAAACTCACGAGAGCCGTTGGCATCCCATATTCGAACTCCTTTAGAAGATAATTCATTTCCATTGGTGCTGCCTCTTATAAACCAAAGTAATTCTTCTAGAACACCTTTCCAAAAGACACGTTTGGTGGTCAACAACGGGAAACTTTCTCTCAAGTCATAACGCATTTGAGCACCAAACAAAGATATTGTTCCTGTACCGGTTCTATCTCCCTTTATTTTACCCTTAGACAATATCCTTCTGCATAAGTCGAGGTATTCATACTCGCCGTGTTGTTCTTCTGATGTCGTTTCTGTACATTTGCTAGGGCAATTTGGATTGATTTGTGCGAGAGGCGTACCGGTACCATGTTTGCGGATTTCTTCTGGTGCTACTTCCATGGGCATCATTTGCAAAGAAACAGGTGGCTGATTTTCCATACTACAGTTCTACGGTAAAATATTATTGATTTACAGAATTACCTTACCAGTAAAGACAAAGCACTGAAATCTAGAATCCTAATTCCTAAAACTGTAAAAGCGCGCGAAGTAACTCAAACTACTCTTTCACATCACGTTCGCGATCCGGCGACTGGTTTGTTTTATTTCGTCAATTTGACATTTTGGCGTAACTTACTGGTGCGATATTTTTGCTTATATTAGGAGTTTTTACATAATTTTTTAAATATAAACTGATTATCTTTTTCAAAATCATCATTTGTCATAAGACCAGTATAGCAGATATAATTGAAACTCTCATCCTTCTCCTCCAAACTACGAAAACGTTGTTTACAAGCAATGTTGAAAATCCAATTTATCCGATTAGTGTAGGGACGATTATTCAGGTTTCGAAATTCGGGAAATACGAATACCTTATATTCTTCATGATAGGACCTAACGTCTAATGCGCAATATTTTGATCAATTCTTCGCATGCGTCTCGAACTTTTAAGTATGGGGTTTGCCACGCGCCATGTCCTACGATTATGCTATTTTTGAAATGGCCCAGCCACATCTCGATACTATACTTCTTCTAACAAAGTCTCGCACTTTCAGAAAATACTATAGTAATCTATTAAAAGCTATGCTACATCCTTAAGATGATTAATCAAAGTAAAAAAGAGAAAAGAACAAACTGCGCCATTCTTAAATAGAATATGTCACTGCTAAGTTCCCGTCGAAACAGGTATATATTTTATAATTCAACAATCTGGATTTTAGAACTTGATGAAAATGTGCCAAGATTATGCGATGTTTGTATAAATATAGGATTCTGAATAGGTGACACGTAGTATTAGTATTTAAAGTAGTCTACATACATGAAATGGAAATAGAACCAAAAGTGAGATGAAAGTGAAGGAAAATAGGCAAGGCAGATGAAGAAGAGAATCTACACCAGGGGTGACGAACCAATTTGCTGTCGCGGGCCACTTTATCAGTCACCGCTGAGTGAGCGGGCCGCACAATTTATAGTCGTACTACCGTATGATACCTGTTGATTTTCATCTACAAAACGAACAACGGCATCAATACAGCTCATGTTATTCAATTATATAATGTATTATAAACGCTCGGCTCGGATGTTCCAGATCCAAATTTCCTTTCGAATACCACAGCATTTTTAACACGAAAGTTTGAGTCTACTACCTGCGTATTATTGCAAAATCAATTTTTAATGTACTGATTGAATAAATTGTAGTCTTTGATATTTTATAGCAGATCCAGGGATTTTTCGGACGTTGATATAAATATCTAGTGATAGAGACAGTCAGTGATGTAAGAACATCATATTTGTAAAACTAATTCGTAACATCGCAAAAATATGAATCAAAACTAAATATAATCGGGCAGTTGGAAACACTTTTTATGGCCGTAGATTGATGTGATATTTTATCATAGTAATGTTCTCAATTTGTAGACGCAGCCGCATGTTACATTAAACACAGAATTAAAGTTAGAAAGCAATAAATTAAAAAAAGACTCCTATTGGTCGCCAATGAAATACTTTGCACAACTGCGAAATCGCTAAACGACAACATAACATAACAGTAAAAAACATTATCAGTCGAAAAAGTGGGCTCTTTTCACGAGTGGCCTGCCTAATTGCGTCGACAGTTGCATAAAAATTTTAGGATTCGTTACGATTTACCCTTTCCCCCAATGATAATATCAACCTACGCATTATCGAATCTTTCTTCATGACATTTTGTGTCGCGTTAATATGCAAAATTCTAGTTGATAATGCCTCAGAAAAGTATTTCGGGATCCTTTGTACAGAGATTCCTTATAAAAAACCACCGCCTCCGCTCAAAATTGAATGTGAATTATAAATAATTCAATTACATTTCTAGGGTGGGTGGGGGTTAAGAATCCAGATTGCGTCGGGAATTCAAAGCGTCAAATCTTTTCTAACCCGAACCGCAATTGGATAGTTACTAACTTGTTATTTCAGAACGTAGTGTTTTTCTTTTAATTTCAAATTTTTGCATTAGTGATGGACGCTTTGTACAAAAGATCCGTATTTCGCAGGCCTTCGGATACAAAAATTGTAAACGAATCCCTCTAATCACGATTAACTGATTTTTGAAACGTATAGGCGTTTTTTTTAGATCTACCATTGTTTTATTCATTGAGCAGAAGTTATAAACTTTTTATTACTTCCAAATATCACGTGTATCGTGCACGAAAATATCACATTTTCATAAAGTGAGATTACTCCTTCTCTATTAAACCGTATGCGTTTGCCGATAAGAGAGCGTAACTATGCTACGATAAGGGTCATTTTGATCCATTGTTAGAGGTATCGATGATCCAAAAAAAATAGATGTGTTGGAAATAGTGTTGTTGCTAGTAATATGAATACGGTAACACTTGCGCTCCCGTTCTCTCTGTACAGTTCATGGAGGTTTGTGACTTTACTCCAAACATACACTGAATGCTTCGTGGGCCGCAGGTTCGTCACCTCTGATCTACACGAAAGAAACAACGGGTCAACCGCTGTTAGAGTAAGAAGTGATAACTTTAGTAATTAAGCACTTATTAGATAAACGAGTGCTGGATGGAAATTGATAATGCAGGTTTTTAGCGATCATGAAAATTTATTTTCCCTATAACCTGCCCATCTTGTAAGTAAAATTATATGCTTTTTCAATGAGTTTTCTTTTTTTATTATGCGAGTAATATATATCATCAAATAAAAGCAAGTAAATTCAGCACCGCATCGCGTGGTAGCGCCCGCTATATAAGATATGAGGCATGGTTTACCATCCTTCGAGGCTGTCAATGCTGTAAATCGAAAGCTTGTCGTCGTCGTTTTGTCGCTTGATGTAGGGAACTTCAACATTGACGGCCGTTGCCCATGTGTCTTTGCTTGAAGCAGGCCCAGAGAAATGAGAAGGTTCGAAAGTGTCAGCATCTTTAATATCAATATCACCATGAACTACCATCACCTGTTGAGGCAATTTAGCAGGCGTTGGCGGTCGATGTTTTAACATAGTTTCCTCAAGCGTCTTTGAAACATTACGTGGCAAGTTTCCTGCAGATCGACTGATGCCTGTTTTTGGCCTTCCTCTCGACGTGCGTGGCCTGTATTTCGTTTCATCCTTATTAGTGAAAGATGAACGAAGATTTTCTAAGGAAGAAATTGTTATATCCTGTCCTACTCGCGTTATTGACGGTGGTCCAGGCTTTTTCATAACTATGTGGTTGCTCTCCGAACTCTCTGGGACATTAATGAGTTGAAAGCTTTCACTGCTGCTGATGTTGTTCATGAGCTTATTTTGCAAGAAAAATAGGCTTTCATTTGAACTCGTCGGACTACCGTTAACTTCGAGATGAATAGGTAGAACTCGATTTTTTCTACGATTGAATTCACAACATAGGTACGGAAGTCCAGCATTTCGGCGCCAAATACCCCAGGATGTGTGCAATAAAATCAGTATGAATGCTGATGCAAATAGCAACAAACTGTGTAAGGTTAGGAAAGATTGAATAGCAGTGTCACATCCCCTATCGTAAATCTGGGTTTGAACAAAATCGAATGTAGCATCGTTTCCAAGGGAAAACGGAATTGAGGTGCCCATGCCAGGATTGGCCGTAGTCATTGAGATAGCAGTAGAAGAAACATCAAGAATTACGTTTCTTGGAGATATCGAGCAGTCCGAAGAGTTAATACAGCATGACTGAGGGATCCAATCGTAGACGATTCCGTTTTCCTTATCGACTTGAATCCAGTCTTTTGGAGATTTGGCACCACAGCACTGAAACACGCTCTGAATATATATAAAACAATTATGCTCTAACCTCTGAAGCCACTATGGGTTGCACAGATTAGCCGCTCATTTCATATAATGCCGATACCCGACACTAATATTCAAAAAAGGTGGAATATAACATAAATCTTTGACCAAAGTTTCGCTGAGCGACGTCTATGTTTCTATTCATCTTTGCCGCACGTCAGACACTAAATTCTCAACGCCATCCATAAGCTAAATCAGAAGCATTGGCGACTCCTTCCGTCGTCAAGCAATGTAAATTTGAATTTGATAGGTCTATTACTTGCCAAGAATGTCAATTTATCATAACCCTAAAAATAAGACACAGCCTCAGTAGGAAAAAACAACAACTATTAGGCAAAACGGCCATGAGTCTATTTCGTGTCCGATAATATAAATAATTGACTGACCTGGTAAATATCCATCGCTTTTATATTTGTTGATTCTATGCCTCCGGTTATCACAGAGGACACCGCAGATACCATGTGACTCATTAGTGGATCGCTAGCAGCCAATGACATTCCACCCAAAGCAAGACAAATCACAATGACAATTCTCAGAAAAATGATAGAACACAATGAAGTTTTTGGCTCAACGAATATGTCTGGAGAATCATCACGAATTTTTCGTCTTCGGTTAACACGTATCGCCCCACATATTCCAAATACCTGTGTGTCAAATAATAGAGTATTGTGATCGATGGTTTTAAGGTTTTGTTGCAAATTATTGTCTATATACCTACCGAAATTGTCTCCAGTATAGTTGCAAAAACGACGAGAAAGATTGCTGAAACATCGCCGACATCAATGCGAATAGTTGATAGGTGGAAGATGACATTGAAATCTTTGAATATTCCGTAAAATTCATCTTGATCAATCACGCCGGATTCAACTAGCTGATTGAGAATTCCCCAAACCAACAAGATGCCCCATAAAGTGGCGCATGCAAGCAGGTGCAATAGGTACACGAAGAATGAAATCTGCAACAAATATTATTACGTGCACTAAAATTACGTAAATACTTCCTTTCCTACTGTCGTCGTAAGAGACTCACCTTCTCCGACCTTGCCCTGGTGATTGTAAATCGTCCAGTACATATATTCATCATATTTTCAAATACCATCGCCAATAGATGTCAAACATATGGGTTTTGGTAATAATATAATCTTTTTTGTTGATTTCATTTTGTCAAAGTATTTGATGTATTATGACGTCACAAGCATGTTGCACTTGTCTCGTGATATTTTTTGTCTGGTGTTCCACTTCAGAGTTTTTATCTGGACTTTTATTAAGCGATGACAATACGATGACATCATGTTCGATGACGTCATTTGTATTAAAATTGGTTTCGACCAGTCTTTGATAGAGTTTGATGTGTGAATACTCGCATTTTTCAATTGTACTTTCGTTTGAAAATGAGCCACGAGAAAAACTCGTACAAGAGAAACATGTTATCGGATAAAATTTACCGGTTAACTGCAGCGTGGAGTTTGAGGTGATAAGTTATAATTTGAGCAAGTTACGTGATTACGTCCCAATGGTTCAAAAGCAATTTTGCGTGATCGTATCCTGGTATCGTATGAATATTATTCACAGATCGAGAAAGCATAGGTCATTCTACTGCAAGAGATATGCAGCGTACTTCGGACATATGGAAGTATCTTAGTAGAAACGATTTTGTTATTGAATATCATTTATGTGATAAAACTTTCAGTATTCGTGCAACTTTACTTTGTGATATCACAAAGAAAAACACCATCAACTGCGATCAGTAGCTACTTGCTCTATCAGTTTCGTACGATTTGATACGAGTCCATCATCACAGTAGAGTTATCGTTGAAGTGACTATAGGAAGTGGAATTCATGCTATGTTCTGTGTTAGAATAGATATAATAATACTCTGGCAGAAAGTTGGAATATTCATATGAAGTTGGATATACACAATTGGGATAATTGTGAGACAAGTTTGGGAAAAGTGTGGGACAAGTAGGCCTACGAGTCAATTACAATAGTGTTGTAAGCGACATTTTTGAGACACCTCATCAACAATCCATAAATTCAGTCCACTATGTTCTGCACATACAATACTAGGTTATGTGATTTCATTGCAAAAGCAGCAGTCGTAGTAATATTTTCGGCATGAACATCAGTAACCACTAGGTGAGGATTAGATCAGTGTGTTTGTTTGTTGGTCGTAGGGCAATTTCTCTTTACATCGAAGTCTGTTTTGTACTCGGAGCTAAGGATGTAATAACCATTCTCCTAATAAGCAATACATATCCGTACCTATAACGATGAATCGAGTTTGCCAGCCAGCCGAGAAACATTGTTGTCTGGGTAGGTCCAATAGTAACCTATCAATGACTCGAATTAGGCAAATACAAATGTCTGATCAAGCTTCGCTCTTGTGTTTTCTTAACGCAGGATCTCACATATTTTGGCGAGGTGGACAAAATTGGGACCCTGTCTAAACGTTGATTATCTTGTATCACGTTGGCATCTCAACGTTTGCATATGGGTAGCCTACATATCTTGTAACCCGGCAACGGAAACATTTTCATCTTGGTGTGACGTTATAACCACACGTCAGCTTAACAACTCAAACATTTGCGCCTGTCTACACTCGTATCCGATGCGGCGTGCAGACATACGTTCCTGTGTTTCATGAAATACATCATTTCCATGGAGAATATTAGTTTTACGATCAACACGCCAGACAGGTGGATAGCCATTGCAAAAAGGTTCTAAGTTAGGGCAAGTGTTAGACAGACAAACAAGAGCACTGCGTATATCAATAAATTTACCAGTAAGGAGAATTTCACAGCACTGTTAATTATTAATTCGACTGACCAATAAAGAAACAATCACCATGGTCACTAAAAAACAATTACGCTCCCTAAAAAACAACAACGCATAATATAAGAAATAAACAACGCATAACATGAGACTTAAAATATCTGTTGTGTCACCCACGCGAGCACAAACGTGAAAGCGAAGATATTGCGAAAGTTATTTTATGATTGGTTGTTTTAAAAGTGTATGCCGTCATGTATTCATTATTTTGCAGACTGGGCCGGAACTGACCAAATCTATAAAAGCATAGAACATTGCCGAACGACATTCATTCAGCATCTGAGATTTTTCTCGACGGCACCAATTGAAATCTATTGAAGAAAATTACGTACATAAAATGGCGAAACATATTATATTTGTAGGTATGTCAAACTATATTTCTTCTAGGCAATACGGAAAATTGACATTTGTATACAATGGTAAAGTAGTTATATACATTCTTGGTAAATTAGTGAAGTGAAAAGAAATTTTTTTTGAGTGCCGTTAAATCGATAACACAAATTCAGAAAAACTTCCAAATTTTTTAACGGTTTTTATACAACAAAATTTCGTATATTATCTTACAACAACAATGACATATAAGTAAATGAATGAAAATTATTGTGGTATACATCAAAGGCATATATTAACTGTTAGATATTGTATAATTAGTATCTATAAGTGAATTCCAAAATATCATCCCGTATACGAATAATTATATGTAACATTTGGTTTTACAAATTCGCCACCCGCGACTTCTCGAATAGCAAACGGTTCATACATACTTATTGAGTTAGTTCCAGACACAGTGAGTTTCAAGATAAAAAAAAGTTCAAGGTGTTAGTACTGACGTATTCTTTTTTGCGATATCCAGTTTTAGCCGTTCTTTCATTGCTTGTTGTGGTGAAGGGACACGGTCGATTAAAGGAGCCTGCAGGACGATCTTCAATTTGGAGATATCAAAATACCTTAGATCTTTCTGAATCAGACAAAGAATTGATCGAAGAAAATTACGAAGATAATGAACTATTCTGCGGTGGCTTTTCAGTGAGTCTTTAATAAAAGTTTGACCTTTTCATATAGTACATATGGTATGCAATGTTATGCCTAATTCAATTGAATCAATCAACGAATCAATTTAAAATGATTTATGACATATTGTTGAGAACGGAAGGCAAGAATGACAGCTTTGATGTGGTAATAAAAACTTCATGTTTGGTATACAGATCATATAAGCCCTAGTCGCAACTCAAGCAGCATTTATCATGCTCGTCTGATTTATTTGTCGAATCCAACATTGAAACATCCTTTTATATTTCGTATGCGTATTTAATGGCAGAATCACGCACACAACTAGCTGCCTGCATGCAGAGAAATTAGATTTGGGTTCGTTAAATAAATTTTGTCTACCTCTCCAATAATTAGCTAACCATCTTTTTTTTCACCACATAACGAGATCGCAATTGTGACGAAAATATAAATTTGCTAGACACGTAGACAGTCAGAAAAGTGAAGCTATTCAATTATTTCTTCTCATACTTCTAGTCTTATTTGGGTTAAAAAATTATGGCGAACACACAAACTATGGCGAAAAATTTAGAAATTACGACCACAAGTATAGCTGGACATAGGTCACATTCTTGTCATAATCGTGATATTTTTGCTGCTTCGGGACATGTCGTATGTGGTCATCTTACTGACCTTTCATAATTTATACTTGCCTGTAAACGACTCATAAATTGTCCGTTTTTGTCCGAAAGGTAAATATTTTTCATTGCCGTGGATGGAATCTTTGAATTACGACTTTTGTCACAATTGAAAACTATCGACACACCCGCAATTAGATCAAAATATCCAATAAATTTATTTTGATGAGACCGCAAAACCTCTTGGCAAACATTATTAGTGGAAACTATCTTTTAATTCCTGTAATTTTATTTTATTTATAGTATCAACAAGCACTAGGTGGTAAATGTGGAATATGTGGCGACCCATATGACGCAGATGTAAAAGAAAATGAAGCAGGCGGAAGATATGCAAATGGGATCATAGTTAGACATTACGAGCAACCTGGTATATATACCATTTACATTATGATTTTTTTATGCTTTTTAATAGTTCAAAACCCAACGTTTCAACGATGCTTTTTATCAGGTGCATGGGTTACTGCAGAAGTTGAAATTACGGCACACCACAAAGGATATTTTGAATTCCGTCTTTGTCCCTGGAATCAACCGGACGTTTCTGTTGCTGGATGCGAAAACTGGTAACGTTTTCTTTTCTGATTACGTGATTTATTATTTTCTCAGTCGTGTATATTTGGTTGACGCTCATATTTTATACGTCACCCGGAAGCTTTGAACCGCACTACTTCACACGAGACGAATTAAATTGTATAGACAATGTTCAGACGAAAAGAAAACTATATTTGTAAACCGCCAAGTTCTCTGCCTGAACAGCTGCCCTTACTCTTTTCGGAAATGAATGCCTAAAATACTTACTACAAACTAAGGGTCCTAAAAGGGTATTTTGTCACCGATGTCACCTAAAACTCAAACGGCATTGGAATTATATATACACATTTCCTATATCGTATATCAATATATCGCCCGACGTACTATTCAGCTGCTTTCAGCTTTATCTAAGAGCTGTCTGTGACTTATATTGCATGAAATAAACATACTACAAGAATTGCTGAAATTTTGAACTTCATTTTACAGGGTAGTCAATTTAAATTATATATAAATCACCACTGCATGCTTCTTACATTCTATTATGCTGCATTTGTTGGCATGAAGTAAATATATTTGTACGAATTTAGGTACCTCCTTGATACCGTCAGTCCAGATGGAACAAAATGGTTCCTACCTCCATCAACCGGACAGAGTCAAATCTACGAAGTTCCTATAAAACTTCCCGATGACGTTGTATGCGACCAATGCGTTCTTCAATGGCGATATCACACAGGTATTTTTCAAAATATAATTTCAATCTCCTCAGAAATAAATTATCACAACAAAAGTGATTAGCTAATTACAAATTACAAAATTAGCTAATCTTTCGTCGTCTCCTGAATTTTAATTAACATGTGTATATTTCAACTATGTGAGCCCGAGCTCCAGGACATCGTCTCAAAAAAAATTGGGAAGCTGTTACAGATTATAATGGAGAAAATGTTTTATAACGGAGGATTACTAATATATACTTTTTCATGGCCTAGGAAATTCCTGGGGTTGCTATAAAAATGGAGGTTGTTGTGTTGGTTGCGGTCCACAAGAAGAATTTTACGGATGTGCGGATGTCTCTATTCATGGATCAGGTGAACCACCTGCTACTACAGAGGTAAATTTATGACTAGTATCATCACCTTGTACTTTTTCAAGTAAATGTTCAAATATGTGGACACGAAAGTCGCGTATCCATGCCGATACCTAGCTAAGCACCGAGTTTGCTGAAAATCTTGACGGAGTCACACGAAAATGAGGGAATGTTTTATAAAAAAAAGTAGGCCACCTGTGAATTGAAAAACAGCATATTTTGGGGTGAAATATCGGGTCTCATTAGATTCAGAGAAAATTTGAAAAAAATAAATGGAGGTAATATATTTCTAGCGCGGTACGGTGATTGGCAGTCGTTTCTCTGAATTGTTGCTGTTGTTCACCCAAATCTCAATGTTTGATTTTAACCCATGGAAACACTGTTTCAACATTTGACTTTCGTGTCCATAAATTTTTGCGTTGCTCTTATGTTTGTTACATCATGCAATAAAATAATTTTCTGCTTTGGTGACAGTTTAAGGTAATTTCTACCGAAGCTCCGTAACATTCTTACCGCAATGTTGGTTAACGTGCCTCTTGTTCTTAGATGAAAACGACTTCTACTCTCATGTCTGCTATTATGAGTACTACTACCTCTACCAGTGCATCACCCACAACAACAACTACAACGAGCGAAAGTACCACAACGACGTCGCCTGGAGAACCAGACGAACCAATATGTGAAGTGAGATTTTGATGGCCTTAGTACCTTATTTAATAGACTAATAACGCAGATCTTTGGTGCAATTTTTTTAAATCGCGTGTTAATCATTTTATACATTTACAAGTATTTCATTGTATCTATTGTCGAAAATCAGTGACGGGAACTATATGTATTTTGTTAAATTCCAATAGATAATCTTTATATACAACTTCACGGTATGGGTATTTTCGGCATATTCTAAATTTCAATGAAATATATTCTTCTTTCAGCATGGTGGATATACGAAGAGAGATTGTACTTCATTTTACATGTGCTCTAATGGAATCGCGTACGAGTTTGCTTGTCCACCTGGAACTGTTTGGGACGATGATAGAAGTCTATGTGATCATCCATACAATGTTGTATCAGAGTGTGGGGTAAGTAACAATATGTTAATTTAGGAAATATTTACTTTTTGTGGTTTACTATTTATTTTATTAAAACTTACTTTATTTGATTTCACAGACGAGGCTACAATGAAACCTGTATGATTGCAGTGACAGAATATTAATGCCATATGAATTCAGTGATTAATCAGATTTTGTGTTTCAATTTCAACTTCTCGACACGCCTGTAATTCCAGCAAGTTTCGTGAAATATCTTTTCATTTTTGCTATTATCGTTTTATGAATTTATGTAACGGCATACAAATATGTGTTATATGTTATTATACCATGCACTATCATACGTATTTTTTCACTTATTACTTTGCGATGACACTGCATATCGGCAAGTTTCGATATTTTTCAAATCTATTTCCGAATCAAACATCTCGATTCAAATATGATTCTATTAATAACGGCATTCGTTATGCAACATTACAATTATATAATTCATGATTCATCCCTTATAAATAAACTTTGTGCATTCCGCGTTTATGACTGATTTGGCAACCCAGCAATTTCAAGTGTTGTCAAAACATACATAGGTATAGTCAAAACACTTCTGGGAAACACCAACGCCACTTTTTCAAAACACCCTCGCCTGCGAGTCTATTCACACCTTCTTACTCCTCTTGATTTCGTATAAAATCGGAGAATAGGATAAAGTTATGCTCATGTTTAGAGCAATGACCTTTTTTGCAATAGTGATTTTCAATATAGGAAGCTTCAACCTTTCGAGTCCAAACGGCAACTTTGAAAGGATGAACCAGATTTAAATATCCAAAACGCGAAAATTCTTGAAAGTAAGCACAAAACACGGAATGGAAAAGAGCTTTCTAGTAATTATTTGCAGGGAAATTAATTAATCACCCATCACTCGTAAGTGAACAACGTTGTCTGGCATCAAAACTAGCGCTACGTAAAAATCGAAAAATAACCTAATACGGTACTGCGTACCAACGTTTAGTGTTATTACCACGCCATAGACTGTATCTGCATTATGTAAAGTCACATGTCGTGACAGTTTTAGGCGATAAAGTGCACATGCCATGACCTCAACTGCAATCTTCCATTATTGAACGCCAAATATACCTATGGGTCGTTTGCGAAATTCTTCTTGTTCCAGGTACTGTTAGGAGGCTAATGATCAGAGAGCCCCGACTTTGACGGAATGGTGTAATGCCATGTGGGGTTTCCGTACATTTGAACCCACGACAATTGCACCTATGGAATTTGTTTTGCGTATATTTGAACCCTATACTAACCCTAACCCATGGGTTTTAGCACCCGCATATAGATTGAACCCGTAGATATACACATGGGATCAAATGTACGGTCACCGCCATGTGGCAGCGCAATAATACTGAAATTTTGGGTGGAATAACGAGCGGACCCCCATAAGGAGTATAAAGTACTCAAAGAAGTTTGATCTATTAGTTTCGAAGAACAGCGATTTTTTGTCATTAAAAAAATTTCACCTCAACTCATGGACTGGCACATATTGTCGGTAAGTTTTGATGAATTGATCTGGCATCTGACACATAGTTGTACATTGCAATAGTCAGCAAACTGTGGGCCACTGAGCATTCTCGGGTAGGTCTCCAATAAATTTCAATTATGGCAGTGATACACAAAAAAATTCTATAACTCCAACATTGCATATACATTTTTTGTCAAATGGTCTTTGTTCATCTATCAAACGACTACACATTACGTTCATTTCCACTAAACAAATTAAATGTCCCTTAACGAGTTTATTACGTGGTTAAGTTTAAAATTTCCAACGAAGTTGTTTGGCCTTCACCGTTTTACTATTTGGGCCTCACTTAAAAAACTTTGCTGACCACAATGGTACAGTATTTGAATATACTTCGATTAGTAGGCCTATAGATGTTAATTGACAGTAGATGTATCACACGGTTACACAAATGCTAACTGCATTCCAATTTCACGTGAGGTCATTCTTTAGAAAAACTAATTGGTATTATACATCACAGTGACAATTAGTTAGAGAGGAAGTCAATTTCCCTTGGGATCCAAGTATGCGAGTCCCTCCCACTTCCAGGCTTCGTACCGGTTGTCCACGCTCGTTCCTAATCGCTGAGAACGATGAACTGTGGAGTTGAAGAAACGAGTTTTGAAATTACTTCGTCGGTACTATGTAATTGCAACATTAACAGTACCGAATTGTTCCACATTATGAATGGCTAAACAAATGAATGACCTCTGACTACCCTGCTCGGCTTCGCAGGTTCAAATCACATGAGGATAGTTATGTGGGAGAGGATTGCTTGACTCCTCGCCGACGTAGGGTGGTTCACGTAACCGCTGGTAGGTTACGGCTTCCTCCACCCCCAAGTCCATACATCGGAAAAAAATAATCAATTTTATTTTGGTGCATTACTATTACTAATATTACAACAGACGATGAAAACAAAACCAATGGATGCGTCTGACGGGAAGGCACGTGACAGAACCAGACATTAGAGAAAATATCAGTGATTTCACCACCAGAAAACTTAAGCGCCTAGAATTGACGTCAGATTTACTACTCTTTTCATACATCCCACATTCTTCTCAGTAGTTTCCGACGTTCTGCCACAGCTCACGATGCGTCCCCACCCCCACCGAGTCCAAAATCTGGGCCTTCTTCCGTTTGCTTCCCACAGCTTCGGACAATTGTGGTGTTGTCGGCAGTGCTTCTACAATTGAGCACAGTTTGTCATAACATACCTACGTTCTAATTTGCTGGGTATTGCCTAAAAGAAGTCACCAAACCGAGCATGCCTAAATATCCGAGGGAATATTTCATTGAACACGATACAGGCCTTGGTGTCTGTGATCTATATAAATGAACATAATGCAGACACATTTTATTTTCGTTTTTCAAATTAACGAAATACAAAGAATGATTTAGTAAAAAAACACACAATTTTGTAGTACCAACAAATCATTTCTGGCATAAAAATTGTATGAACCAATTGACGAACCAATATGTGAAGTGAGATTTTGATGGCCTTAGTACCTTATTTAATAGACTAATAACGCAGATCTTTGGTGCAATTTTTTTAAATCGCGTGTTAATCATTTTATACATTTACAAGTATTTCATTGTATCTATTGTCGAAAATCAGTGACGGGGAATATATGTATTTTGTTAAATTCCAATAGATAATCTTTATATACAACTTCACGGTATGGGTATTTTCGGCATATTCTAAATTTCAATGAAATATATTCTTCTTTCAGCATGGTGGATATACGAAGAGAGATTGTACTTCATTTTACATGTGCTCTAATGGAATCGCGTACGAGTTTGCTTGTCCACCTGGAACTGTTTGGGACGATGATAGAAGTCTATGTGATCATCCATACAATGTTGTATCAGAGTGCGGGGTAAGTAACAATATGTTAATTTAGGAGATAGAAACAAAAAAGCGCTTTTTTGTCAAGACTGTCATAGTTGAATTGAAATATTTACTTTTTGTGGTTTACTATTTATTTTATTAAAACTTACTTTATTTGATTTCACAGACGAGGCTACTATGAAACCTGTATGATTGCAGTGACAGAATATTAATGCCATATGAATTCAGTGATTAATCAGATTTTGTGTTTCAATTACAACTTCTCGACACGCCTGTAATTCCAGCAAGTTTCGTGAAATATCTTTTCATTTTTGCTATTATCGTTTTATGAATTTATGTAACGGCATACAAATATATATGTGTTGCGATGACACTGCATATCTGCAAGTTTCGATATTTTTCAAATCTATTTCCGAATCAAACATCTCGATTCAAATAAGATTCTATTAATAACAACATTCGTTATGCAACATTAAAATTATATAATTCACGATTCATCCCTTATAAACTTTGTTTATTCCGCGTTTATGACTGATTTGGCAATTTTATGTGTAGTCAAAACATACATAATAATAGTCAAATCACTTCTGGGAAACACCAACGCCACTTTTTCAAAACACCCTCGCCTGCGAGTCTATTCACACCTTCTTACTCCTCTCCATTTCGTCAGATATCGTAGGTATGATGTCATTCATTACTGAAAACCATAAAATCGTAGAATAGGATAAAGTTATGCTTATGTTTAGAGCAATGACCCTTTTTGCAATAGTGATTTTCAATATATATATATATAGGAAGCTTGAACCTTTCGAGTCCAAACGGCAACTTTGAAAGGGTGAACCAGATTTAAGTATATATCCAAAACGCGAAAATTCTTGAAAGTAAGCACAAAAACACGGAATGGAAAAGAACTTTTTTAGTAATTATTTGCAGGGAAATTAATTAATCACCCATCACTCGTAAGTGAACAACGTTGTCTGGCATCAAAACCAGCGCTACGTAAAAATCGAAACTTAACCTTATACGGTACTGCGTACCAACTTTTAGTGTTATTACCACGCCATAGGCTGTATCTGCATTATGTGAAGTTTCTCACATGTAGTGACAGTTTTAGCCGATAAAGTGCACATGCCATGACCTTAACTGCAATCTTCCAATATTGAACGCCAAATGTAGGCCTACCTATGGGTCGTTTGCGAATTTCTTGTTCCACTCACTGTTAGGAAGGCTGATGATGAGAGAGCCTGGACTTTGACGGAATGATGTAATGCCATGTGGCAGCGCACTAATACTGAAATTTTGGACGGAATATCGAGCGGACCCCCATAAGGAGTATAAAGTACTCAAAGAAGTTTGATCTATTAGTTTCGGAGAACAGCGATTTTTTGCCATTAAAAAAATTTCACCTCAACTCATGGACTGGCACACGTTGTCGGAAAGTTTTGATGAATTGATCTGGCATCTGACACATAGCTGTACATTGCAATAGTCGGCAAACTGTGGGCCACTGAGCATTTTCGGGTAGGTCTTCAATAAATTTCAATTATGGCAGTGATACACAAAAAAGTTCTGTAACTCCAACAATGCATATACATTTTTTGTCAAATGATCTTTGTTCATCTATCAAACGATTACACATTACGTTCATTTCCACTAAACAAATTAAATGTCTCTTAACGAGGTTATTGCGTGGTTGAGTTTAAAATTTCCAACGAAGTTGTTTGGCCTTGCAACCTTCACCATTTTACTATTTGGGCCTCACTTAAAAAACTTTGCTGACCACAATGGTACAGTATTTGAATATAATTCGATTAGTATAGATGTTAATTGGTTGCAGATGTTTCACATGGTTACACAAATACTAACTGCATTCCAATTTCACGCGAAGTTATTCTTTAGAAAAACTAAGTGGTATTATACATCACAGTGACAATTAGTTAGAGAGGAAGTCAATTTCCCTTGGGATCCAAGCATGCGAGTCCCTCCCACTTCCAGGCTTCGTACCGGTTGTCCACGCTTGTTTCTAATCGCTGAGAACGATGAACTGTCGAGTTGAAGAATCGAGTTTTGAAATCACCTCGTCGGTACTATGTAATTGCAACATTAACAGTACCGAATTGTTCCACATTATGAATAGCTAAACAAATGAATGACCTCTGACTACCCTGCTTTGCAGATTCGAATCCCATGAGGATAGATATGTGGGAGAGGATTGCTCGACTCCTCGCCGACGTAGGGTGGTTCACGTAACCGCTGGTAGGTTACGGTTTCCTCCACACATCGTAAAAAATAATCAATTTTATTTTGGTTCATTACTAAACGTGGAGAATATTACAACAGACGAGGAACCCGTTGAAAACAGAACCAATGGATGCGTCTGACGGGAAGGCACGTGACAGAACCAGAAATTAGCAAAATATCAGTGATTTCACCACCAGAAAACTTAAGCGCCTAGAATTGATGTCAGATTTACTACTCTTTTCACACATCCCACATTCTTCTCTGTAGTTTCCGACGTTCTGCCACAGCTCACGATGCGTCCCACTCCCACCGAGTCCAAAATCTGTGCCTTCTTCCGTTTGCTTCCCACGGCTTCGGACAATTGTGGTGTTGTCGGCACTCGGCAGTGCCTCTACGAAAAACGTCTTTCTACAATTGAGCACGAGTTTGTCATTACAGACCTACGTTCTAATTTTCTGGGTATTGCCTAAAAGAAGCCACCAAACCGAGCATGCCTAAATATCCGAGGGAATATTTCATTGAACACGATACAGGCCTTGTGTCTGTGATCTATATAAATGAACATAATGCAGACACATTTTATTTTCGTTTTTCAAATTAACGAAATACAAAGAATGATTTAGTAAAAAAACACACAATTTTGTAGTACCAACAAATCATTTCTGGCATAAAAATTGTATTTTTCAAATACAACAGGAACTTGGGATTATTCCCTCCATGGAAACATATTATCCCGGAATTTCTGAGAGAACACCTTCGGAAAACGGGATAAAACACTGGTAACAAACATTACTCTACTAATTCCAGAGGAAGCTAAAAGTTATTTTAGCATTTTAATACAAAAATTAATATGGAAAGAAATAGTTTCCTGCAGACATATGTAAGTGTCAATATTTGTTGTCTACCTATTGGGGTCACAAAGACATAATTCACATAAAAAAGGTAACTGTAGAGTATTATAGCCATGCTATCTATTGACATTATTATGATTGCAATTTAACTGCTTATAAACATCACAAAATGAATTATTTATCATGTCTTTTTGTATTATCAAGCATCCATTTCAAATGATATCTACTGAATTTCTGTTGCAAAATTGAATTTAGAGCATTTGCAACTCATGTAATTGTTGATGTAATCAATTCTAACTAAGGAAACATGTCCATACTTTTGAGAGAATAATAAAGAGAGATACACGATAGCTTTCTCTGGGACACTTCCATCTTTGACAATGATTAGTCCAGTCCTTGATGAAAGAGGCATTATATTCCCGACAAATAACGATTTTCAAAATGATCCAAATGTCCATTCAGGTAAAATAGTTGACAAATGTAGAATTATCATATTCACATATGAGCATCCCTGATAACACACTTGGATTTAATAAAATTGCTACAAGATATTCAAGTGACACAAATCCTTCAAATAATTTCAGAACTGAAAAATCAATTATCTTCTCATACAAATGATATTTTCAGGTTTAGTCATGCAATAAAGTTGAGTTGGCAAGAAGTTGATTCATAAATTAGTTTATCAAAAGCAACATTACGACATTATTTACGATTGTAAATTGCAAACAGCTGAAGTGGTAGAAAATAATCTACAAATTGATTGAAGTGAAACAGTGAGGTTATAAGAGGGTTCTTTATCTGCTTTCAAGAGTCATCAGACATCTGCGCGACAGTGTTTGTTTACCCTAATTAAGATCGTCCGACTGAAGACGACTTATCACACAAAATAGAGGCACTTGAAACAATGATAAAAAAATAAAAAATTGAACTGGCGGAGGCATCAAAATAACTGATGCATGAAAAATGGTTATTTGGTTGAACGACTGAAGCAAATAAAAAATGCTTCCCAAGGATGGGGCCCAGTATGTGGGTAATGTGCGACAATTTCCAGTCTGTTCGCATATGGTTAACAGACCATGCAAAATTTCTTAAATGAAACATAGAAAAAAGGTTAACTTGCAATTCAGAGCTACACTTCAAGTGAAAAAGGGTTCACTGGACCTGCCATGAGAGGAGAATGGTAGCATAAATTAGCAGGGGTTGTAGAAACCCTTCTTAAGCCGAGGTAATCCTGTACGATTCCGGTGATGGGGTCATTTGGTAATCTAGGAATGTTTTTGCTCTTATTTAAATTCAACTGGACGGATGAATTCTGTAAAACATTGAGTGAAAAAATTGTAGAGTGATCCAGTATATTGACATTTGAATAAGATTGTGTTGATGGTACACCAGACTGCAATACATCAGTGCCTGTAAGTGTGAAACTTATTCCGTCATCTTTGGGTATTATTTTATGATTAGAGTCTGACGCATAAGAGTTTTCGACCCTTGTTTTGACACGGTTATTTGAGGGGGTTCCTTGTGAATAATACATTTTATAGGCCTGATTTGAATCACGTATGGCATTGTGTGTCTTGGTTGACCTAGTTTTTGATTTTTCAATCTCCTTCAAACGAAGAGCGGAGGGTCGGTGTCCCAGTTTAGCAGCTGATTTCAAAAGGTCTTCAGCGACTTTAGTATTCTTTTCCATTCCTGAAAAAAAGATTAAAAAATGGTTAGGAATAGAGCAAAGTTGAGAAATTAGTTACAGTTAACTGTGCCGATATCTGACTAGTATGGTATTGTATTCAGCTTAATAATTAATTTCAAATAATCAAATTGGATCTATGGAACAAAGGATATATGTCAAATTTTACTCTGTGAAATTTAAGATAAAGCGTAGTTTCACTGAGAAAATGGACAATTCTACGGCAACAGTAAAACTTCAGAATGTCAATTCTTGGACACACCAATAATAAGTCCTGCTGAACAAAAACAGTCTATGGAAGACACACTTAGAAATGACATCTGTATTCTCGCTACAGCATTGTTGTCTAATATGCATAGGGATCCACAGTACAGCACAAGAGCACATAAATAGATAAGCGGCTAGTCTCACACAATATACTTCGTTACCTATCTCAGTTATGATCAATAGTTCATACAGTAAACGTAACAGTGCAATAAAACAAGTGAATAAAAAGCTAAATAATAGTAATAAACTAATCATGGTTTAATGTTTATTGCACCACAATAAATTATAACAAATGCCCTCTTTATGGCTCGGCATTATCTTGTCAGATTTTGTCTAGCAGAAAATTTAGCTAAGTTAGTTGGAACGTAGAATCGTTTATTTGTTCAAACCAGCATCTATATAGCAATAAAAAAACACACCTGGTATCATCAGAAGTAGTTAGCAATACATAATGCATATTTATCCAAAGACAATGGCAGTCGATATAGTATGTTGAATACACTCAGATAGTAATAGGCACAACAGGCAGATTTTTTTATATAGCACTGAGTATGGGGGGAAAAGGTTTATCCATCAATTTTTGGAAGTTATGAAATAATTTTTACTTTTTACGTCAGTATATTTATCAGGTATATCCATTATAGGTCTTTTTACTCATTACTTACTTAGTATTCTCTACGTATTATGCTTTGTAATGTAACTGGTAAAAATTAACGATCTTTGACTGAAAGTTTTTTGGTTACAAATTTCAATTTTCCCCAATTCTGTAGATATATATGATACTACCATATAATCGATCGTAAGTATTTTTTTTGCAAAAGTGTAAACAAAAAGATACCAATAAATTATTATCTTGAAAATCATCATGTATATCTAACATAGAGCATAAGATGTAATTATAAAACTATGGATAATTACACAATATCTACAGTTTTTATTTGCACAAATCGTTGTTTATAAGTGGTGCATGTAGAAAATGTAGATTTATGATGATTGATTACAACATCAATTGGCAAAACTAACCACAAAAATTATTCCGAAGAAGCCATAATCAACAGACCATACAATAGAGTTTGAAATATGATCCGTAAGGTGTAGGTGACATTGTACACGTTTACAAATATCTCGAATCCGTAAACATGAAGGTATTCTTTTAACGAAAATTAGCTTGAAAACTAAATTTGGAGAATTTAAAACTAGGATTCAGTATTTCACTATTTGATATACAAATCGTTCATAAAACCCTGTTACAATCAAAAAAATTTGTTAAACTCAACCAGGTTTGTTTATTTTATTCAGTGTTCGTTTCTTTTTTTTTCATTTCATGTGATACACTTTATATGCTCACTGTTAGTTGTATGAACTATATCTAAGTTATTTTACCTGATTTAATATATCACTTTCCCTAAAAAACATGAATAGGTAATTTGCATATGGATATTAATGTTAAAAGACAGAGAACAGATGCCAAATTTGACATTTTTTTAATTGCGCTATGAGAGTGGTACATAATCTCTCTATTTATATAAATATAATTATGTTTGATCGCATAACAACATACCCCCTAAAACAGTGAATTTATAAAAATTTGCATATAAGCCCACCCTACAAATAGTAACACGCCGTACGCACCTATCACAGCATATGGTTGCAGAAGAGAATTAGTGCGATCAGCGTTATTGGCGTATAGGGTGACCCCTTGGTTAGACAACTTTTTATTAATTTTAACTTGGTTTATATGAGATAATTGAGACAATGACAGGTACATTACGTATATATAGGATTATAGAGTCTAAATTCCTAAATCAGATTTCAATAATGAGGGTAGAATAAAAAAATTCCCCATTCATTTTCAAGTTTGCAAAATCGATTCCAAATACTGTCTCATGTCAATATTTCACAGACGGTTGAACTATCATGCAATACAAACAAGACAAGAAAAAAGGAAATTGCGTCATTACTTCTGACATTGAAAACAGACTTGATTATATTTGCATAGCACTTATTGTACTATCAATGAAAGATAAAATCCAGGTACGGGGGCTTAGAACCACGTAGTGATGCGACAGGAGAAAACAAAACAGGAAGCATGCGTCTCAAACTAGGGTGAGAACGCAGGTAAGGAAATATCCAGAATATAAACTTTACTGTTGAATATATTCACAGTCAGATTGATATGATCGAGTATGGCAGTTTCATAAATCTGTAAAATGATGTATGGCTTATCCTTGTATTACGCGTGTTCGTACCTATGTGATGATTTCCGAAATTAACCGGATGATGCTTGCGTATGGCAATTTGATAAATCTGTAAAATGATACAAGACTTATCCCTGTATCATGCTTGTTTGTACATATACAATAATTTCAAAAAATTAACCAGATGATGCTTGAAATATCCCTGCATCGTGCTTGTTTATACATAATCAGTAATAAGAAACGCAGACAAACTACAGGAACAAAACTCTTGAGATAAGGATTTAATGATAGTGTGGCAGTTTGATATGTTGTTTATCATAATAGAATTATTAGACCAGTATGATATAAGCGAAGGATTAGTAGTGTTATGTGACATGTAACAGAAGTACGTTAGGTCAGAACTTGAAATTCGATTGGCAAGTTCAGTGGTAAGGATAAACATCAAACAATGTGAAAGTTTGGAAGAAAGCAATTGAGATAGTATAGGTAGGCAATAAAAGAGTGAAGCTTTATGCATTTCTAATGTTATATAGTTCAGTAAGAATTCATGGACTGTGTAATATAGATGTGCTATTATGATGTAACAATTTATAACTATATGTTGAATTTGACTTGAGACTTTTGGACTCTGAACAAACATAAACTGATATATAGAAAATATGTTATTATTTGTTCTATTGTGCACCATGAATCTTTTAAAAATAAACAGTAAAATGAATGAAAACCATAATCTCTCATTTATTCAAGTTTTTGATTTCATTTTTGACAAATGATACCTCAACTCATACGGTTCAGATTTTGAATGACAGATTTTGAAACTCTTTTGCCCCGATTTGCTAATATAAACGGATACAAGGTGTTGGAAAAGGCTACAAAAACATCCAACACGTAGGCAAAGACGTAAGTAATATCAATGAAAAGTTATCTATGTGGAAGCAATTGAAGTTGCAAACAACCCTAACCATTGCTATTTTCTTGAAAAATGTGGCAAAAATATTGAGGTGAAAAGTGTAATGAACTTTAGTTTGCAGATTTCCATTTCAGCATAAAAAGAGCTTTTCTGAAATATCGACGAAATTATCGACTGAAAAGTCAAATTAAATTATTTTGTCAAATTTCAATTTTTTTTGCTTGTGGAATATTTTCCAAAATAAAACACATTTCACCATTTTAAAAAATTTAGAAAGTGAATTTTTTTATATTAAAAATAATACAAGTATAATGACTTTTTTGATTAGGTTCAACTAAACGCCGAAGGTGTTATTACAACGACAAAGAATGTTATTATTATTTTGACACCGGTAGCCTTAAAAGTGCTTAGGCATAAACATAAAGAAAAGAAATAAACATGTCATTAACAACAGGAGATTATATACTTTGGTCAGAGTGTTTTACACACTCGATCAAGCATGGGGTATTGATAGATCAGGCTTTAAAAGCCTGGTCTATCAATACCCCATGCTTGAATAAAGAACAATATCAAATTTCAGAATAATTTTTTCAAAACAGCTTCCTCGTATTATTTAAAACGTGTTAAGGCCCGAGGCATTGTCGATACACAAAAATAATTGCCTAAATTGACTTTCATTTGAAGTTGGCTAGTGCTATTCGAATAGTAACATCAAATTACGATAAGATTTTTATGTCAAGCTCAACATGATCGTCTCGTAAATGCGTGACGTAGAGAACGTTGCACGAAATACGAAACAAACTTAATCGCTAGTTTCTAAAATGTACGTTGTCGCTCTGAAGAGCATAAAAACCCTATACAACCTTGTAATAGGAAATTTGAATCGTTTATAGGGACAATTTATTGGCGTGCACCCTACGTAATAGCAAGGTACAATTTCCTGTACGTACGGCCGAAGAAGTATATAGTAAATCAGCGTAGCATGCCAAAAGCTTAAAATAGCATTCCAAGATGCAAAGAGTGCTACAAACAGATATTTGAAGAAAAATTATAGAGTATTTAAATGATAACTTTAATATTATTTTATATTAAAACAGCATGGTTTGTTTGATACAAATTCACTACAAATTGAAGTAAAAGATAAATTATGCATTTTAGATGAGGTATACATCCCTCTAGTTTCGATATACAGTATCTTGAAATAGAAATTACGATTTCACTATAATTCTTCCTAAAAAATTACAGAGTAAATAGGAAACTGAAAGTGGAAATAACATTGGTAAGAAATAAAATTTGCATTCAGATTTGTATTCAACTGGTATATGTTTTCCTCTTATTTTTCAATATAGGATATAGCGATAAAAATAGTAAGACTAAATATAGGAATATTCAATACTCGGCTCCGCACAGCGCAAATGTTTATTAGTTAAAACTTTAAATTGTAGAGGAGCATATCTTAGGTAAGCTTTGAACAAAATTTCTACCAAGAGAGTAGTTATTAAAAACTTGGGAAAATTTACTGTTATGTTTTTTGATGTAACCCTGTATTAGATGAAAATTAATAGCAAAAATATTTAAGCAAATGTACTCAAAAATTGGGTTTTAATATGCGGGGTAAAATCTAAATAGCAAAGATATAATATTGATGATATACAGATTAGTTTGTACATAATGGTCTGAAAAGTTAATATTAGTCATTACAACAGTGGAGTATGATTCATCTTGTTTGGGATTAAGGTAAATATTAAGTTTTTTACAAAATACGGAATAATAATGGATCGTTTCTCCTTCAAAAATTTACACAAACCATGCCAAGTCATATGAAAATGTATTTTGTAGTTTCTGTTTTTGCTCTAGCTGAGTAAACAAGACATTTCAAGAAAAGAGAAAATTTGATCAAAATTTCAGAAACAGTTTTAAATGTTTGCAGGTGATTACAGTCTCGTCTTGATTTTCAAAACGAAACTTGAATTGTTTGTTTGGTAAAGTATACAGTTTGGCAAGCATGGCAGGATGATGAATTGCATCATTTAGGTATGGCCTATGGTGGTAAGGAGATAAGGATCAAAAAAAGATTTCTGTTTAATTGAATTGTTTTCCAATTATGAGCTGAATTTTTTTTATAAGCGATGAGGTATTGTTTGCTATAGATGCGAAAGATAGCAATGTTTGTTGGTGGTTGGTGATTCCTGAGATCTAGTTAGATTAGTATTCAGGTCGTCTTTAGGTTGTGAAATTAATGATTGAAAAAAAGCGATATTTTCATGGTATCATAGCCGAACTAGATATAGGAATTTTGACTTAATGCAATAATAAAGACAAGGGGTAGATTGTTGGGGAAGTTTCGATTGAAAAACAAATTGAATTAGGATTACAAAAAGGTGATTGTGAGGCGAATTAAAATCTGAGAGAATATGATAAGTTTTGACAATATTTTGTAGATATAGCGCATATAGATTAAATTTTTATACACAGATACAATACAAATATAAATGGCTGTAAATTTGAATACATGGAGAATTCAATAACAAAACAATTCAGACTTTATCACTGCCAAATATGCAATTAAATTCCTAAAAGAATTGCATTTTAATGAATGTGGTATCAAATAACAAAACAACATATCAAATAGAAGTAGCTTTTAGAAATTTAAACTAGGAATTACTTATGTTAGGGCCGATGATATTCAAACAATATACATATTTGTATATATAAATAAACTTATACCTGACGAGTGACATTCATTCAAACGACTTGAAGAAATCACCTATACACATGGGAGTATTCACCACAATGTCTACCAGAAAATTGTTGTGATGAAAAGCGGGAGTGAAGCAGCGAATTGTTTTTTGCGGGTGAGCAACTGTATCAACATTGGGAAGTTTTGACGTTAGAGCCAGTGTGACGCGATCAGAAAAAATCTTCTACAAATACCAGGTTTAAAAGAGAAAAAAAAAAGATTTTTTTTTTCAATTTGGATATTTACCGAGGGCTCCAATTTTGGTTGGACAATGGAGGACACCAACAGAGCAGAAAGATTAAATATAAATAGGATAGAAAAGCTTTTTGTTGGAAGACCGGAAATGAATTTCCATGAGTAGCGAAACATTATTTGGATAATAGAATTGCGAAAAATAAACATTACACTGTAAATGTACCGTGAGAGATTAGACTTAATATTCAGATTCAGGAAATTCAGTCAGAAATAGATTTTCTTGTTTATTATGTTCAAATTATATCTACATAATGTAAGATTATAAAACAGGCATAATATTTTATATCAAATTGTTTCTTCGTAATGTGAATTGTAAAAATTTATCATTCAGAAATTTATTTAAATAAAGCATCAGGAATAAGATTTAAAAATTGTTTGAACTAGCAGTATTAGTAGTTAGTTATAGAGATGAAAAAGATTATATTGTGTCTTTCACCAAACTGAAATATTTTACCATCATAACTATCAGGTGATAACAAGATCATGTCGGAATTAAACCAGAGTTATCTCAACTGAAAGATTACACTATATTGTCAGAAGCATCAATATACTGTAAATTCTTTCTTTATAAATTATCAAATCAAAAGAATTTATCCCAGAAAAGTGTTGAATTCTATGATTCTAAAATCAAATACTGAAACATAATATACCTACGGTAAGTTAGTGGTTGAAATCGAAGTTTTTATTCCAATTACACGAGGCTGTAATGTGAGGCTAATGGTCCTCAACCAAGATAAAATCAATTCACAATAGTCCAGCTGTTCAATGAGAACTAATGAACTATTCACTCAGTCATATATTGAACATTGTCTCAAGTTTGTTAAGGCTATGAGGTTATTTATATATTATATATGAGAAAGTAGCTGGATTAGGCTAAATTTGATTTCAAGTTCAAAAGGCTAGAATATCCCTGTTATAATAAATGGTATTAGACTATCACTAATTACTTTTGCTACTTTTGATGACAGATATATTAAATACAGTAAATTTCAAAAAACTAGAAACTTTGAATTGAAAACAGAGGTGAAGACGTAACGAGAATCAGACCATCAATGAAAAATGGCTGCACCACAATTTGAAGCGTACCAGGCGTCAATACACAGTGCAGAAAACATATTATTTCCATTAATATCAGGTAAGTTATAGTTTTTGGATGTTCAAAAATCCAAAAGTTTGACTTTATTGTCTTCCTTTGTATTTATTTTAATACAGGAAACAACAATCTTAATTGACCTAATTGGTGCCATTTCAGTCTCTAAAATTAGGCAGGCATGAATACACTCTCAAAATAGTAATTTTAATTAAAAAACAATAAGTTTGATCATTCTATTATAATGTAAGATTTCGTTACAAGCAAAATTTTATGAAAAACAAAAACTATATCAATGAGATACTTCCACTGAGGCTATTCTGACAGAAGTGATTTATCCACATAATGGGCTTCAAAATTAAAAAAAAATAAATTTGCTTTAATAACATGACACATTAAAATTTTGGTAATTTTACATTTAAAATTCACTTTCTTACAGTGCTTGGAATCTTGTTCAATGCCTTTGTCGTGTTGGTCATTGTAGTGACAGAAAGATCAAGATCAAATAGAACAGTTGCAAATACGTTTGTAATGAATCTTGCAATTGCTGATATTTTATTTCTCATTGCGTTGCCGTTTCATACACCTTCGTTATATGGAGATGGATATCCCTATACTGTGGAAATGTGTAAACTTTTAGAAGGTAAATCTGTATAAACTATTATAGAGGTTGCTTTTTCCATATATACCTCCCCTTGCATATTTTAAAATTTCTTATATTAATAAAGTTACACTACACCAAATACAAAGTAATATTTTCTTCCTAAAAACAACAAAATTCATAACCGCAACGATAATGTGATAACAATTTTGAAATATAATAAAATGTAACATATTGAGGTAATTAGAATTCTTATTATTAAAATACCTTTTGTAATAAAAATTCAACCTATAAATATAATTTTTCTTTTATTTGATATACAAAACTGTTGCTTATATGATGATACGCACATGCAGGTTTTGTTAATTATTGTTTTTATGATCATTGATGATAATATAATGAAAAATTGCAATCATACGATCTGCACCAATTACGTTATATGATTTAGGATTTGGCAGCAAAAACACTCCAGCTAATTTGAGCCAAACTAATTTATTTTGTATAATTTGACAAAGGCCGCCATTTTATAACAATATCAACAATTTTGAATAAACAGAAAGAAGCAGTTTTGATGACTGTCAGACTCTCGAAATGGTTTCGATGAAAGAATTTAAATTTTCTTAATTTTTCAAAACATAAAAGCCATTGTTTAACAACATAAGGAGAAAATTTTGCATGAATATTAAAGTTTTATTAACTAATTCCCTAAAATTGAGCTTTCTGTGACTTTCTAAAAACTATTATTTATTAACGATAAAAGTAATTTTGTATGAATAGAAGGCTGTTGTTTCAATTTCAAAATGGATTTCCAGACTAAGTTTTTCAAGACATCCTTAGTCACATTCTAATGGCATTTTCATTACTCAATGTCAGAAATCCTAAAATTGAATATGGAAGTAAATCAATAGAATAACAAATTGTCTCTATTTCAGCAATGAAACACGTCAGTTATCATTCCTCCATTTTATTTCTCACTGGCATGAGCGTGGATCGATATATGGCGATTGTGCATAGCTTGAGATCACTAGAATACAGGACACAGAAAAACGCCAGGTAGCCATTTTTTTCAATATTTTGAGTATTTGCATTTTTTTTTCAATATTTTGAGTTTTTGCATTTTTTTTCTCAATATTATTTTGAATATTTGCATTTTTTTTTCAATATCTTGAGTATTTGCATTTTTTTTAATATTATGAATATTTGCATTTTTTTTCAATATTTTGAGTATTTGAAATAGTGCTTTAATAGAATGCGTTGTGATACGAGACCCAACACATGAAATTTTTTTCAAAGTAGAATATGGAAGATTTTTCTAATTATTCACACATAAGAGTTGAGTGCCATTTGCCTACTTGTTATATTAGCAAGTTAATAATTAGCCTGTTTGATCAGACTTCTTCAGATACAAAATATTTCTCATTTGAATAACCTATCCTAAGAAAAAAATAGGAAATAAGAAACATCACAGAATTTAAATCTTTAAAAAGGTCGCAAGACATCATTTCCATGATATTTTGCTGTTTTTTAAGTTGTAGCAAAGTAATGATATCGAAAGAAAAACATATAATTTGCCTTATTATAACGCTAGTTCTAGTTAGGACAATTTTCATTTATGACGTAACATTGGGAAATAATAATTGATGTATATATAATATTTCATATATACACTTACTTTATAATATACAGTTTTCGTATGTCCTGAGTAATCAGAAATTGCTCAAATAGCATACACACTCAAAACAATAGAAACATTATGTTAAGTAAACGACATAATTATTTACAAACTTGAGAGTTCTGTATTTAATATACATTTTAAATGAAGGTCATATTACGCATCCGTATAATGGGAGAAAAATTTTTTGAGTGATGGAAGTCTGGTAGTTTGCTATTAATTATGTATTCTATTTACTGGTAATTGAAATGATACGTCTGCTATTTAAATTAAACGCATTGAGGTAAATGACTAATGACAACAGTTAAAAGAAAAATATTTACAGTTGTTTGTTTTCTAAACATTTGAAAAAATTAATATATTGAACTGGCATTTTGATGTTTCTAGATTTTCCAAATTCTAAAAATAGTAAATAGGTCAATGTTGAAAAAATTTGAAAATGTTTACAATAGTCAATGCCTCTTCAAAAATTTGAAAGAAATTATAAATGATTATAACATTAAACCTTCTTGCCACATCATTCAAGATAACATATATGGAGGTATAACATAATTGTATCATAGATTTTATGGCGTAAAAAGTGACATGTTTTTAAAGGAAATTATCTGGTGTACGGTACATTCAGGTTTTATGCCGGATGTTAAAAACCATGGATGTTTTGTTTGCGTTGAAAATAGTCTACTTTTAATAACTGTGATAACAAGATGCTTGAATGAAATAATGAGTAATATTGTAAAATAACACTCTTTCATTGTTATAACGAAACAATTGCTAGTGGTATCGTGAACCAAAAAATTCTGTAGGTTGAAACGTCTGTATATTCTATTCACCCATAAAACGCTGTTTTCAAATTTCAGGATAGCTTGTTTTATTCTCTGGATAGCAAGCATCATAACATCGATACCAATACTCGTGTATTCAACGTTAGAAGTATGGACCGATCAAAATTCTACTGTGACTATAGGTCATTGCATACAATTGTTTCCGGGACATGAAAACGAGAAACATTTTGCAACGGAAGAAGAATTGTTGGAAAACTTTTATACTGGTGATTTAGGTACAGAGTTTTTTTATGCGGATTACTTGTAAGTTTATTTCCTTTACAAGAAATTTTAGACGACTGGCGGTAATTTCAAGAATAAATAGAATATTTGAGTATATTTAAATTGGTTTATAAAGTCTTAAACATTTATAAATTGCAAGGGTAATATAGTTAGTTGGTCCCTACAGGTGTATTATATTAATTAAAATAAAACGGGCCTGATTAAGATATATTGAGAACTGACTTCCTAACAAAATTTAAATTGTAACAAGATTTTATGAACACCCTGTACTATTAAGAATACTTTGGAATGTTTTCATTGAAAATTTAGTACTTTTGTACATTTAATATCTGATGCACAACACAAATAACATAACCTACTAGAGAGAGAGCGAGAGAGACTAAATGCTAAGTAATACTTCTTTATTCTCTTCCTGAAAATCACAAGATTTCTACCCGGTTGGGGGACATTACTCAGATTCTAGGTCAAGAAAAGTAGCCAACAATTTATACTATATACTTCTGTACTCAGTTAACAAAAGTGCATATTTTCGCGCCACATACAAAACGTGAAAATAAATCAAAAACGACATTACCGCTCGAACAAAGAAGAGAACATCCCATCAAGAAGTAACATCCTTAATGAATTCCAATAATACACATTTTAGATTAATTTAAAAAAAAACGTCTCATTCTCATAAACAGGTGGTGCATATGATTATTCTGGCACGTATGAAGACTACGCATCAGGGAGAATGGGAGAAGAAAATATGACTTCCGAAGACTACTCCGTTTCAGCATTGGTATTGAACAAAAGTGAAAGGAGCATTGGTAAGTCGGTTTTTTCCCTATATGACATGTACCGTACTCAATCTTTTTGCTTCGCACAAAGCACTGTACAATCAGCCACAGTTATTGACGCTACAGACGTGTGTGTACCAATATGGATGTAATTAATTTTGTTCGCCTACTTTACATCAAGTTGTGTAAAGGTACTGAAACCTATGGGCAGGGGGTATATTCACTTGGCTAATACAGACAATCCCCGAACTCGTAATAGAACTAAAATAAGGAAAATCAGAATAAAATTATGGCCTAAACCAAACCTGGAACACACACTACGGGAGTACCAAGTCTTACTCAATCTTTTTACTCCGCACAAGGTACTGTACAAGCAGCCACAGACATGTATCGATATGTAAGATACTATTATTTCATGTGATTTGAAACTGAGAAGTGTAACCTTCGGTGCAAACATGGTTTAACGCTTTAATCGGGTTACAAAGATAGCTTCAAAGGGTGTAAAGGTTACTTCGGTTCAAGCTTGATTATATATGATTTAACTAAATTGTTCTGCATAATAGAAAATTAATATATAAACGGAGCATGATTTAACAGTGACAAAACTCAAGGGAATTTCTATTTGTCAAAGGTCGATATAGGAACATTGTTGCAAAGTCAGTTGAGTTGATTGAAATGGCAAGCGTGGAAATTAACAATTGAGTGGTACAATTGATTGTATACTCCATACTTTTCAAATGCATTTTAATTTCTATAATACAAATCACAACATACTGGAAAAAAAAATTTGACTAGTTTCATTTAAAGTACGCCATGTAAAAGTTCTACACTATATGTACATTTGTTTTTGTGCACATAAACAAGCATAAAGTAGTGAATGATAGACGTTGCAAACTCTGGTACATATTCTGATTGTTGGAATACAGAATTTGAGTATGGAAATATTCTTTTTTTATACAAGTCTTTTGTCATCACTACTAATAATAGGTCGTAACATTTAGTATAAATATAGATATTTCATTTAGGTATTGTAACATCCTCTATAAACAAGGTATAGCTTTAAGCTTTAGGAATAACTAGGAATTTTCAAGGTAGACATTGCAACTTGTGTGTGATCATTTTTTACTGTTCAGGGAAATATAAACTAGATTGCTGCCAGAGTACGCCCAATGTGCCCATCTGCCCACCATTCGCTTCTAAAATTCTCAATTTTTTTTTCTTATACAGAAGACATCCCAGAAAAGTTGTGCCTGGAGAGAGGATATATAAATAACAAGAATTCAACATCATTTAGGGTGTGGCAGTATTTCACATTCATCGGGTTTTTTGTTCTTCCAGCATTGATTGTAATGTTCTGTTACTTTAAAATCTGGCGTGCAACCACAATACGTAACATCAGGTCACAAAACCAACGATTAGAAGGTAAGAGAATGAGGAAATGGTGTGGAATTGACAAAAAAAATTGAATTTTTAACAAAGTGTGTTTGTGTGCGAGTGGATTTGTCGTTAACTTGCTGTTGTTGCACTGCTATCATTTTGCACAAGTCATCTGTTTATTAAAACTATTTTACTGTATGTGTATTTTTTTTTCAACGATTATCAGCTACGCAATTAGCCTTGTCTTAGCAATTATGAGAATGTGATATTTACGCCAATTTTTCTGATTGTATAATTTCAGACTTTTGAAGTGAAGCTATTACTTTCTTATGACTATTAATAATGACTAAATTTGAAACTGTACGTGGGTGAAAAGCCATGATTTTATGAAGTTAATTTATGTATCATAATAATTTTTGCACAATTCCATATATATATTAAAATTTTGAAATCAAAATTTGGATATTTCAGAATATTGGATTTAATTTATTCAAATTGATTCATGATATTTTTAATATAACTTAAATTTGAAAAGAAAAAGGCTTTAAAAATACAATTCCAAGAAAATTACTAAATTCAGATAAACATTTCTTGACGTCAACAAGAAATTTGACCGAACTTGCATAAAACCATTGCAAGAATAGTAATTCTGATTATGGGCAATAGGCATAGAGATAAGTCAAGATAAGAACACAATATAGATATAATTATCATTGGTAGAGATTTATATCAGACAAATGCTATAGCCTATAACCCATACCTCAGTAATATCTTGATACTTTTTTTTTATAAAATCGTTTGGCAATATATTAGTAGGTAAATTACAATTGAAAGTGCAATCGTTATATAGTGCAAAGACCAGACGACAAGTTGGATTTTTAATCTCATTCAAGTTTTATCGTCTTATGGTATATTTTAAAAGCACTGGCTTCGAAAAAAAAAATTTCTGCTTTACTACAACACACTATTGGCAGCAAACTTTACCTTCATTAAAAAAAACATCACTTCAAGACTTACATTGTAACATAGCTTTCGACTTTATAAACCAAATAACCATTAATTAAATAATACTGAAAACAGTGCAAATTGCTAATTTTTTTTACAGCAATGATTCCTGGATTGTCAAACCATGTTTCATAGACGAATACAATTCCTTGTCAAATCAAAATAAATTTGAACAAAATACATAATTCGAAATTATGTTAATTCGACTTAGAAGCTAAGCTAGTATTATTATCAAAAAATATATCTCAATTTTTGAACACAAAATTAGACTTTTTCTAAATTGTTTTTGGTTAACTTTTTGTTGTTGTTGTTGGGAAGAAAAAATGCTTTTCTTCACAATTGAATTTTCACTACATAAAATGAATGAAGTTGCGAGAGACCTTTAATTTTTTAAATTACCTATCAGTATTATTGGACCCATTATTTCACCCAAAATATGCTGTTTTTTTAATTACAGGTAAACATTTTTTATTTCGTCCAACTTCATTTTGCCACTGTCTCCCAAACTCAGCTCTAAAGAAGTGGTTTTCAAACAGTAGGGTGCGGGGTGCGACCCTCCATAGGGGAATAGACAATTTTCGAGGGGGGGGGACTTGTGTTATTTTTGTTATATGCTATATAACATTAGCCCGACTATATGTTATTTTCAGCTTATTGTTAGCTAGCTATTTTTGAGGTGGGGACAGATTTCAAAAAGGAGGCGTGGCTTAAAAAGTTTGAGAACCATTGCTCTAAAGCCCTGCTTTACTAGTACCGACGCAATATACGTTCCACGAATTTAAGCAATGACTGCTTTTTTTACAAAATGGAGACTATCTATTGACAAGAATACACAATATTAAAAATGAGTGCGATTAACAACTTTCAGAATCTGGTATTCCGCGAAATCAATTTCTTTATTTTTCTGATATTTAAAAATAACGGCTTAGCAAAGATAACACATTCTTTAGCAGGAGGCCATGAGCAACAGTCATTACATCCGAAACCACAATCACCAAAACAAGACTGGAAGAGTAAGTTATGCTTAGAGTTAGAAACAATAACACACGCTTCTCACAGAAAATTACCATATAATAATTAATCTTCTATAGATGGTATTGCATCACAGCATGAAGCTTTCTTTTAGTCTTATTTTTGCATGCTTTTAATTTTGTTGTGTGGCATGTTGGTGTGTGATTATGTGGTGTTAGTGTTACACTATATTATGATTTTTTTAGATCGAATAACACGGTAATATTAGTGAATTTTAATCACCTTTGTTTACTTCGTTGGTGTAAAATTTACATAGATAATTTTTGATTTTTAAAAAAGTTTGATTTAATTTTGAATGAACAGCTGAAATAATTTAAAAAGGGATTTCTACAACACGAAGATTGCATTTTGTCACAGAGAGAGCTAGCTATCAAAAAATGCAAAAAAAAAATTGAAGTACACTTTTCCACTTTTCTTGTAATCTTTTTAATTGAACATTGAATAAAAGGAGTTTAGTGAAGTGAATAAAAGGATGAAAACAATTTTTATTTCAAAATACTTAAAAATGGTATCTCTTCTTCGAAATTGAACTAAAAAATTTGGCAAATTAATTCTAGTAATCAAATTTTTGTAAAAAAGCAACAGCTATATTTATTGAAATGTCAATTTCTGAGAACTGAAGAAAATGTTATTGATACGCAACACACATACTCCTGTAATGTTAATTTGTTTTTTTTCCATCCCACAGAAATTCAATCTAAAGTTACGATCATGGTGGCGTGCCTTGTATCTGCTTTTATTCTCTGTTGGTTTCCGTTTCAATTGTGGATTATAATTACACTTCCACCAGGAGTGAAGGTAATGTTGCAGAAAACGTAATGACGATTTATAAAATTAAGCATAAAAGAGTGAAAGTATGCTTGTATAATAATAGAAAGTTAAAAAAGGCTTTCTTTTTTGTGTTTTTAATCAATATCAATCAATTTCACCAAGTATTTCCTTATGTCAGAGGTTCCCAAGGTTTTCGTTTGTACAGCACCAAATTATCAGGGAAAAAAACTCACGAACGAAAAAAAATTGCTGCCTTTACATAAATCTTAATTTTGTGATGATTAATGAGTTCTTTATGCCTTTTAAATTTGTGAACATGTCAGCCTAATGAAAAATGTCAATGTCAAATTTTCTTCCTCCATCTCTGCCTGATTTTCCTTTGAAATCACTAAAAAATCAATATGTTCGCTAAGCTCAGTTCAACAGATAAATAAACTGCAACTTGCGAAATTGCAGGAAGTGGTGTCAAACTCTTTTGTTACGTAACAATATGGACAGACACTACGTAACAGAAAGTAAACGCCAGAGAAAGTTAAAATGAATTTTTTGAATCAAATACACAGCATTTAAAACAAGAAACAATATAACATTCACACAATTCTGTTAATTTTCGGGTGCATTGGGAAATCGCCACGGCGCAATAGCGTGTCACGGACTCATGGCGTCCCATTTGGGAACTGCTGCCTTTTTTATTTTCCCAACATTTGCTAATCAGCAAAATGTCATAATATGTGAAGTGAAAAAAGAAATTTTAGCAGCCACTCGAGAAAGTTTTCCCCAGATATCCAGGCAATTTAGGTTTAAATCAAATAACTGAATGTTCATTTCATACTCTGGACATATTTACCGTAGTTAAGTTGCAGTAATCAAAAAATTAGTCATGAACTATCAGTATTCTTGGCATAAATTCCAACCAAACAATAGAATCACGCTATTCAAAAAAGTTCGAGAAATATTTGGTAAAAAAATTATTAATTTTTCTGTAAAAGAAACAATTTTTCAGTTTAGGTTCAGTACCATAGGGCGCACTTTAACTCTTTTGTTCCGTATAACTTATATATTCGTATTACCATCCTTGGTCATAATAGATATTTTCGGACTATTTTACGTTTATGTTCATGTTTTGTGAAGTATTCCGCACTAACTAAATCATTTTGAGCATCCAACTATGATCCGTGCTTGATCTGTCAACATTTTGTTTTTTTGTAAATTTTTTATTTTACTACTAAGTGAATTTTATTTGTGTAGGCATTTCAAAGCTTAGAGATACACGAAAGTATTTGTCATTACTTCAAAAATAAGTCATTTGAACGAGCGGGAAACAATTTCGCGCACATAATAAACAAACAAAGATTCCAGACATCTATCGTGGACATGCTCTCACATATCATTGATTATTTCGCGTTTCGCTTCGCTTGCGAAGCTGAGTCTGGTTTTTCTGCAAAGGTGACGTAACCCTCTTTCAGAAGAGCGCTTGGAATTTCGTTTCTTTGTAACACGTGTTCATCGAAGCGATAAGAGTGTGAAACGTTCTCTCAAAATTTTTTGAAATTTCTCTCTTCTTACACGCGTAGGGTCGAACAGTTTCGCCTACGTCATTTGGGCGCGTTTTAGTAGGAAGACGCGAAAATAAGCTTTTTAAAGAGATATTGGGGGTGTTCCTTGTACGTTTGGTTAACTGGTCATTGCATATTATAAAATGGTACATAAAGTCGATTGTATACAGCGGAAAAAAAGGGTTAAATCCTTTTTTTTCTCAAAAATTGGTTGTGTGCTGTAAAAGCCTAATGTATGGATCAGGTAGTATTTTATGCTTTATTGCGTACACTCAAAACCAGTACCGGTATTGCTTTAAAAACTGTTACGTCTCATAGCCTGGCGCGTCTTATGTGTGAATAAAAACCGATATAAACAATTTACTTGACACCTTATAAAAAGACTAATCATGATTTGCGTCAAATATCACGAATAAAAATTGCCATATACCTTGATTTTGTTCTAGGTACAATGAAATAGATTGGATAGGCAATGCCGAAGCCGCTCAAAGGGGTTTACATAAAAAATAAATGCAGTTTAATGAAGTATGTTATAGATAAACTGAAAGCAAAAAGACTAATCTATATATATATATATATATTTCAGGTATCAGCATCTTATCATTGTGACATCATTATTGTCGTTGTTACTATTCTTGCTTGGGCAAACAGTTTACTGAATCCGATATTATACTCAATAACGAGCGAAAACTTTCGGAAAAGGGCAATGACAACGCTGCTGTTTATCAGATATGGCTCCCGGAGGTAAGGTAATACAATACACAATCACAGCTAGATGTGGGCAATTGCTTCACTAATGCTGCACTAAGGTAAAGGAGCTTATTATAAAACAGCAATTTAATTTTTTCGTTCGATATGTTTCATGGCTTCACTCCAAGCAAGGCTATAGACAAGCCAAGATAATATAGAAGACTATATGTTTTCGAAATAACAGAATCTTTTCGGTACCAAAAATTGCTAATCAATTTTTAAACTCCCAGTGAGGGGTGGTGGATATTTGAACTAAAGGTCATGGAAAAACTGTTACATATTCTCAAATTAAATATTCCAATAATGCATGTTATAAAGTTATGCACTAACAATACACAATTAGCATACATCACAATCTAACAGCAAAAATATACAAAAAAAATGCCATTTACAATTATCAAGTTATTTAATTAATAACCGTTGTTTGCGATATGATACTTCCAATATGCAAAGTGAGATATATGCAACATTGCAAAAACATTATTATTACATTGTGGTCCTTAAAAAACAACATTCATGATTGAGTTATTGAGGTTTAAAAAGAATTTGATATGATTAGAATATAATATGGGCCAAAGATGAGGATGTATGAACAACCGAATACAGATGCCAGATCTCAAAACTCTACCAATATACAAAACAAATATGACATATATTTTTGTATCGTGAATTAAGATGCATTGTTCGGTACATGATAGACCAATTACGCAGTTACGGTAGTTGAAAATAACGTTATTGAATCTGCATAATTAGATTCATTAATTAACAGTACAGCACACCAAATTTTATTGAGAAATTGATAATATATGGTATAGTTTGAAGTATATTAAATGGGGCTCCCGAAGTATGCGAACCAAGATGGCGGACATCGTAATGTAATATGTGTACTAGGTTAGGGTTAGGCCATAATTTTAGGTATATATACTACGGGAGGCTCTTGGCTAGTCTTCGAACTGATAATAGGACTAAAATAAGGAAAATTGGAAAAAAATTATCGCCTAACCCTAACCTGTTACCCATGTTACGTTCCGATGTCCGCCATCTTGGTTCGCATACTTCGGGAGCACCTATTAAATTATAGTTTTCATTTTGTTACCAAATAATGAATTGCTTTGCTTATAATAACAAACTTGCAATAAACAAAAACAATGAGACCCAAAAAACATAACTTTTGATTACTTCTATAAAGATGAAGAAAAATTATTCAAAACTTGAACTTCTGTTACGTTCAAATGACCTGGGTTATATTTTTTTGGGGCGGGTCACCTTGTATAACATTAAATTTGTTTACGAACATTGGCAATTCGCCTGTTCAAAAATCATGGAAATTAGTTTAGTCATTTTGAAAGAAAGAAAAAAGTGACCTTTTTAAATTTCTTGATTTTAAAAATCATTCTGAATGTATCTACCTATTAACTAATAAGAAATGTCAAAATGGTCCTATTATATGCATTTTTTTTAATTTTAAGTTAAGTTTTTTTAATTTTAATTAAGCGCTTTGCTTATGATTCTGCTTGCATGAAATACCAGTACATTAACACATTGTTACTGTAATGTTATTAATTAAGCAACTTCATTTACAAAATAACGTATAGTAATAACGGCAAAGATGTTGAAAGGATCGGACATTTCAATGCAATAATATGAGATAAACCAATGATGAGATTTAATAATTGATATTATTATGAGTTGTTGATGGATAAAATAATTTTATGTTGCGTCACATGAAAGTTTGAAGTTTGAAAGAGCTTCAAATCAAAATGATAACACTGTTGTATCTTTGAAGTTTTATTTCAAAAAGAGCATCATAAGAAAATGAAAAAAAAAATGCAATTATTACATAGCACTTCCACATACTGAAAACCAAAATCAACCGCATTTAGATAATGATTTTAATAAGGCTCTAAGGGTAATTTAATCATATCGAAATGATAACAGATTACCCATTTTTCCTTTACTTTTTCCGCAGCAACTAACAAAAAAATTTCGAAAATTTTGTTTTCACAGAACATTGAGAATGTCCGCTACTAGGACCAGCAGAACAACTCACGGGAGAACAGAGAAAACGGATTTGATGCCGTATTCAATGGCGATCGGAACTTCTCCGAAGACTGACAGAAGAAGTACATATATTTCACAACCCACGACACCTATCGATGATGGGCCAGTCATGGCAAAATTGTGATTTAGATGCCCAATCAAAGTATGCATGGCGAATTATAAAATGAACTGAAAATTTCAAGGATGGAATGTTCAAAGAGCAATTTGAAAATCTCATGTGGAAATCTCATGTAAAATATGTATGTAAAGTTATATCAAACATGACTTATCTATATTTTTAGCAGAACAAGAATATCGTGTAAATATACTAGAACAAAAGTTTTGAATAATGAACAAAAAACACAATTTTGAAGTCCTTGCAATCTGAAAAGTTGCTTCTGCTGAACCATCTTACAATTTCATGCAGAATTTTTCAACAACAAAATTTTTTTTCCGTTATCCATGCCACATATTTGCCTAATAGCAGGAATGAAACTACCTTTAAAAGTCTGATGTCCATGACAAAGCCAGCGAAACCTCACAATCTGCATAATATTGCTCATACAAACTTGCCAAAAAAGGTATTTCCTGTATAAAGCGATAAACATTGTTTCGTAAGAAAACAGTGTAGTGATTACTCTTAATCACCAATACTGATCTTCAGTTTATATGAATATATATAATACTGTTTTATATCTTTATTATTTTTGTATTTTTTGTAATATATATAACACATGAACTTCATAGTACATAGTGATGTTTATTTTCTTATTTCAAGTTTTTGACAGGACCTTTGCATGTAAAATTAAATCTATAACTGATGTAGAAACCACAGATGGTTAGTCCATGTTATAATATAATTGCTTGATCTCTAGAATAATAATTCAATACATCTTTTTACAATGGTCCTAAATCTGCCAGAAAACATTTTTTCCTGCCTCTGTACCAGTGTTGTCTAGCTATGGAAATTTACATTAGACTCTGTCTCCTGACTAGAAATAATGACGATGAAAATTTGGACTTGAAGACTCCAGCTATGAAATCTTGAAGAAAATCAAATTTAGATATTGAAAATTTCGACAACTTGGGTATTGGAAACTAATTTAATAGACTGATATGTACGCTTGTTAACTTAGTCACTTCATTTTTTTTTTCCAGTTTTTTTAGATAAATTTTCAACTTAGATCATTATCTCCGTTGAACACCAACCAACATCATTATTAAAAGTTTGAAATTAACTAGTTTAAAATTAACTAACTAGGGAGAATGCAAAATTTTGACTATGACTATAGGAAGACTAATATACGACTCCGGCTCCTATGAGAACATGCCAAGTTCAGACTGCCAGACCTTGTCCAACACAGGCAGATTTGACACTGTGTAGTATAGGATGCTATGGAGCAAAAATATAATAGGAAAAATACTAATTAAAAACAGCCTTAAAATTTATCTGAAATTCAATACAATAAAATCCATTATAGAATTAGACAAATGACCTGTAGATAAACTATGATTCAGATCAGATATTTGTGTATGTGTGTGCTATGTGTAGTGTGAAACAGAGTATCTGAGAGCATTTTATTGAGTGTATATATACTTTTTTTCACATCACAATTTCATATCACAATATAGATGTGTGTTAGTTCCGAGTATAGTATGTGTCTAGAAAATGAAGTTGAATAATATTTCTTTAAAATTGTCCTTATTACTATTATCTAAAACAGGTAATTTAATTCTGGTGTCTAGTACTAACACAACTAGATGCACAAAATGAAGTAAAAACGGTATATAATATACAGACTTTTCGAACTACTAATGTTCGGGTCCATGGACTTTTCCGACCGCAAGGTGGCATATGACAGTTTAAATATTATTTTAAACACCTGCCATGGCTTATACTTTGCCCTCTAAGATATCGCAACCAGCGGATAAAGATGTTTCATTTTCTACCTTGATTTATTTTGTACTGGCCTACCTACAAGTTTCATGCTATTGATAAACATTTTATTCTATTACTAATAAACTAGTTTTCATTGTTGTTCTCATTTAATATTTTTGTACTTTTGCCACAATTATGTGCCATAAACATACAATCTTCAACTTCTTTATTTTTAAGTATAATGTAACATGATAAAAAATAAGTTTTTCACTTGGTGTTGAATTTTGTTCTACAAAGAGTATATACCGGTAGGCACGAGGCACCTGTTCAATGCCAGAGCATTAGGGAATTCACTTTAGGTAACCAACTTTTTTTTTCAATGGCTTATTTATGCACTTTTGCTCCAAACAAGGCACAGCACAAGCAGCCATTGCTAGGTATGAAGGTGGTATAGCTTATAAAGACTAGAATCTCTCATTGCTGGAGCCAATTATGACTTCGGGCATATGTCGATAATTGGCCACAAAAGCGCATCTTCTTACTTTGCTAGAATTTTTCTATATCGGCTGAGTTTTATATGAGAACATACACGACTTGGAAAATACTTCTTCGGTTTCTTTTTAGAACGAGTGTTATCTTAACAGCGTGCGAGAAATTTTTGACGGACAGTTAACGGTTAAACTCACTTGCTTGTATCATTTACACACTGTCCTCATTTCATTGTCTGAAGAGCTAGTTATCCTAGTACACAGACTTCCATACTATTCCCTCTATAATATAAAATCAAACTTATTTACATGCTTTTACATTACATCTTACATGTACTGTTTTTTTAAGTTTAATTAATTTAATTTAATCAATTACCGTAACAAGATAAATCACCTGAAAATCCAACTTCAAGCATCATTGCCATGTTATATTGGGCGCAGAGATGATCAGAGGATGCGGCAGATGAATATAAATCGAAAGCTTTGTTCAAATCTTTCTTCAAACTTCCTAATCCTCGTTCGTAGCAGATACCGAGATGGTATTTAGAATTTGTGTCCTACAAAAATATAATAATATCCCGGGTTCAAACTAGAGATGTACCGATGTATCGGCAATATCGGCAATTTTTTGGTATCGGTCATTGTTTAAATACACAATTTCTTTATAGATTTATTGATGTGGCCGCCTAGTATTATATGTATTATAGGTACTTCTAGTCGGTGCTGATTGATATCTTCTCATTTTGGCTGTAATTTATTGCCGCGACGATCACGATTAAACACAAAATAAAATATTTGCATATATTACATAATCTTTTAAACACGAAAAACAATATTCGAAGGTCGCAATATTAATATTAAATTGAAGTTGGACATTTCAGCATATGAGTTTTCTAATTGGACACCGAGATTACTGGCGTTAGTGTACAATGCATCCGAATCAATTAATGCATCTGGATACCAAACATCAATTTCTTATGTGATATATTCTTTTCAATCTGAAAAAATGTGTACTATGAATAACGCTCAAAGACCATCATTTCAACCCGTCTGCCCTACACAGCACACTTAATTAAGGTAACAATTACATAGTATCGGTATAGGAATATCGGCCTTTTTATAATATCGGCGTATCTGTATCGGTATCGAAGTTTTTAGCTGTTATCGGATCGGTATCGGTGACAAAAGTGGTATCGGTACATCTCTAGTTCAAACCCCATGTCCACCGACTCCTCCTCCATTGTGCAATGTGAGTGGATACAAACTGGGAAGATTATGGCCTGTTCAAAAAGTAGTAGCCTCATACATATCCTGAAGCTTTATTCGGAGCGAAGTGCTTTATATAAAAAACGTCATTAAAACTCATTGGAACAGGTTTTTCATACGCCGTGATAATATGCTATTTTCTTCAAACGAGCTACTATGATCGGAGAATCAAAATCATTATAGTTTGGCATTACCTATTTAATTTATCACACCCTGGTCGAGTTGGTGGACTTGGGATATGAACCCAAGATTCATCATAGTTTTAGGTCTAACACTTCAATCGCTGGGCCCCCACGCCCGGAGTCGGAATGAAGAAATGGCAAAGAGATCACAAATCGGTCTTAATATTAACTAGTTATAATAAGGAAAATCCAGGTTGAAGATGCTTTCATTCAAAAGGATTAATTATAATATAATTTCCAGAGTTCAACTTCATACCAATTAAATATTTTAAATATTGTGTCAAATGTCAAATTTTACCCGTATCTCTAGTTTGGTTTTCACAAATAATAAAATAAGAAAAAATCATGAACAGAGCAGTTCCCGCAAAACAACATTTATCAGAACAATGTAAAGTCAAGCTTACCCCTCCTTCAGCAGCCATCTTGAACATTTTAACAGCTTTTTTGAAATCTTGAAATTCTCCAGGCTTCGTCAAATGTGCACCAAGAAATGACTGAGCCTAATAAAAAATCAAAAAAGAAAAGTTTTGTATGCCACTTCTGCTCGGAACAAGGGCCCACACAAGCTACTACTTATATCCAACAATATTAATTGCCGGACCTCCTGAAGTATGCGCACCAAGATGGCGCACAACCTGAACTCAGGTTGTGTACCAGGTCACGGTTCAGGTTGTGCGACGTCTTGGTGCACATACTTCAGGCGTACCTAGTTGCCAACCCAATTTATTACACCCTGGGTTAGGTGTTGGGCATGGGATTTTAACCAGAGATATGTAACCTGCAAACAATGTTAACTCGGTTAAGTGTTTAAAGCTTCAACCACTAGCAGTCAATCACAAAGTTAGAACATTTAATTTTTAAATCGATAATAAGCCTAAGTTACATAACAAACCACTGACTTTTGTTCAGTTACAAGCAAGCAACCAGACCAAACCCCGCAGATACCCAAATAAGCCCAAAAAAATGTGCCGCCCTTAAGAAGTAGCAATAGTATCATTCATTCACCTGTGTGAATCCATTCAAAGCAGCCTTTTCTAGTAACCCGATAGCATGAACAACACGAGATGATCCTCCTTTATCTAGCAATCGTAAAGCAAGATTATATTGTGCTTTTGTGTGGCCTTTGAATGCTGCTTTTTCATACAATTCCATGGCCTGTTGTACAAAGTAAAAATAACAGTACAAATTTGCGTACTGACTGGAAATGCTAAAAAATATGCTTCAAAACAATATGAAGGATTTTCATTCTGAAATAAATAGATTTTAACCAGTGATTTAAACAACATATTTATAGACTGTGTGCTCTGAATACGGCTCTTCACAAGCAGCCAGAGCAAGGTAAGGAGCTGATATAGTTTGGAGAGACAAGACTCTCTCATATTGCCGACCCAGTTTATTTCAGATTCAGATATTTTATTTCGTCATGCATGAAACATTGTCAACAAATAATAATAAATTGAAATGAATCAAAAACACACAATGTTTCGCAATTGACGAGGAGTCGCGAAAGACTATTAAGTCATCGTGTCAGCGACACCTATATGCTGGATTACAGCAACAGATATAGCAAAAGAATTGGGTTTATCACGTACAATACGGTACTAAAAAGCATAGAAACAACAACAACGGATGATAAATAAAATACGGAAATATGAAGAGCCATGAGGATTTTAAGGATACGGGTACTGGTTAACGAGCGCAAGGGCGCCATCAAGCGAATGCGATATACCTCAATGAACACAATTAAACGAGAATAATGCTTATTAACATGACTAAGCACTTTGAAAACTGGATCAGACCCTGGATGAGGTGGTGGGCTTGAGAAATAAACCCAAGATAAATTAATGACATTCCTACATTAAATAGGAGCTCCTTACATATCGCTGGGTATCAGTGGCTTCTTTTACACTACCTTGTTGAAAGCGCAAAGGCATGCATGAGAGCCAAATAAAAAATTGTTCTCGCTGGAGATCTTACATGAAATCATTGTTTCCTTTCAACCTATTTCAATACAAGATGCATGTCATGCAGTGACAAAAAAACTACTCATACGCCACTATGGCAGCAGCATTAGCACTCTTCCTCTCTCTGGTTGAAGATTTCAGATCTCACTTTGAGAAAACTTACGCACAAATAAAAGAGTAAATATTCATAGTTCTCATACTTTTTCAAAATTCTTTCTTGTTCCTACACCTTTCTCATAACACAATGCAAGATTGAAATGGGATTTAGCATATCCTTCGTTGCTACCAAGTTGAAATCTTTGGAATGCTTCTTTATAATCGCCAACATGAAGACTTTGCAATGCTGGAAAAGGCAAAATAAATGTCCAAATACATATTAGAAAGGTATCAACTAGAGTAGTCTACACAGTGCTTCTTACAGTGGGAAAAATCGCCCCTAGTTGACGAAAAAGCGGCAGAAAACAAATCTACATGTGAATTAGCATTAGAACATTAGCGCATTCTCCGAAAGTCAGAAGTATCATATTATCAAAAGTCAAATTATTAGATGAAATGAAGAAGAACCATGGATTCCACTTTCATCTCATTTGATAGAAAAAGAGTGGCACTATTGTTGTAATAGAAATTGGCTATCGGCAAACAGGATTTAATAAGATTATATCTTAACAAGATGTCTTCAAATGCTAAGAAAGATTAAAGATTATCAAGCGTATCCATCTCATAAAAAATACCATGAACTATGATTAGCCTACTTATTTAATTGAAATATAGTGTTTAGAGCGTTACATTTTTTTTGCGATGAAGGTGTATAAAGTGATGTAAATGGACAACAGTAGGCCTACATGGAAGTATGAAAACCACCAGTCTAATATAATTTAACAAGATAGGATTCACATATTTATCCCGGGGGAGAGAAAAGACGATAATGGGGCTTAATAATATTGCTACTCCTGTCCGGTTACTGGTCCATTTCGAGTATAAGATGAGTTGGCCAGGCATTTGTTTTCGATGAATGAAGAAGCCGTAACCGACCAGCGGTTATGTGAACCACCCTATTGCTATAACTATCCCCACATGGGATTTGAACCTGCGAGCCCATGCAGAATAATCAGAGGGCGCCCACACTGCCCACCCTGTTATTGAAGTTGATAGACGGAATTAAAATTCACCACCCAACTACATTAGCAGATTAAAGATAAAGTACACCACAACTATATAAGGATATGAAATATAGGGTAGGCTATGTGAATGTGAACATAAACATTCTGGGCATTCAAATCCAGGAACATCCTAAATCAGAATGATTGCTTTATTATAGTGCGGAAATTTACCCCGAATGAATATTGAAAAATTGAAGATTTGTAAATAATGCTTCTACACAGAACAGGTACCACTATCTAAGGGTAATCTAACTAAAAGGGTTTATACTCGTATACCGCATGCATAAAAACTGTCATTAAATATCTAAAAAATCAATATATATATATAAATACCTAAAATGTTATATGTAGCACCAGAGCAGTCTTTCGTATCTTCAACAAAACGTTCAACAGCTTCCTCAGATACCTCACTTCTGCTATCGTCAGTGTTATTTTGAGACGAAGAAGCAGAATCATCATCAGAAGTATCCCATACATTCTCATGAAAACTAACAGATTTCTACAGGAAATAATCACAGTTTTAAATCTATGTTGAGCACAAAAGAACTATTCATGACGTTGTAAAAAATATACTGGAGAACTTGTCCTTTTCATTCATACAAGAATATTGAATTTAGAAGAGACTTTAAAACAGGAAATTCAAAATTGACAAGCATTTTATGAACTGAGTTCTGAGGTTAGGAAAAAGTGTGATATATTATACAATCGATATAATCGCCCGAATTGGTATTCAAACCAACGACAATATTCTTCAATTTTAATTTTGTGATACGCCACACTAGAGGATGAAACTTTATTTGGCGTTTTGATGTTTGAAAGTTTGGCCTCCAGCATCACCACGACTTTACTGGTTGAGCTGGAATTGATAAATTCTGTATAAATAAATTTATATACCGTAATTTTAACACAACTAAACAATGAATGATTCTGGTTAATGTGTGGATGTACGAATGTCCGACATTTTGTCATCTAGTCTAATTCCTTATCATCACTAATTTTCAGGTGGGGCTTAAAAAAATAAACAAAACTTTTCATTTTACGAATTTGAATAACCAAAATGACTTTTTGAGGCAAATGTATAAAAAAAATATTCAAAAGTGCAATTGAACATTCTAGATTCATTCTAGAACATTCTAGAAGAATTCTAGATTTTCGAATTAACCATACATGATCATCCTCAATATTACCACACAACTGTTGATGCTGGCAAGATCACTGGAGGGAATTAAACTTCTTTACCTGCTTGGGTGGTGTGTCAATCAGATCAACTTTTGGCACATTTCCTACAGCTTTTATTCTGAATGATTTCTCATTGCTTGCTTGGATATCTGTATTGGAATCCCCGCCTGCTGCAAGTATTGGATTCCGACTAAAAATAAAATGAATGTTAAAAATTCCACTCATAGAATATCAGCACAACAGAATACTGAATTCATTGGACTAAATTCTTTTGGGGAAAAATGTTTTGATATAACAAGAGAGCAATGCTCAATTAAACGGACACAAAGGGATAAATCTTTTACAGTACCGTTCGTCTGACCACCAGATCACCAAGGTGTGCAATTTGATAAAGTTTTATTTTATTTTATAATAAATCAAGCATTTCGAGTACGATCTTATATCTTGCCTGATAAACATACAACAGATTTTTTTTAACAAATACCTTATAGCTGATGGCAAAACATGCAATATCATAGGCATTCGTCTTCTTTGATGCATTTCGAGATTCGGACACTGAATTCCAAATGTTCGTAAACGATCATGAACGTTGTCTAAATATCGATATTCAAATTCTTGCCACGTAGTTATACTCTCATCAAAAGATATTTGTGATTGTGGTCGTTTACACCGGCGGTTCCAATTACTAAGGACTGCCCGCCCTAATACAAGGGCCGTCATCCAAGCAGTCCCCTGTAACGAATTAATAAAATAACAAAATTCATTATTTCGGGTAATAGTGCATCATTATTGCATGTAACTATTACAACCTGTATACAAATAGTATGTGTACCAGGTTAGGGTTTTTCAGGTTGTGTGTCATCTTGGTATGAATACTTCCGGAGCACCGTACTATCTGCTTTCACAATTACTAAGAATGAGAGTAGAGTGGATAAATATTCCATTAAGCAACTTGAAGTCATGCAATAGCAAAAGGGTCTTTTGTTTTATTTTCTTCAATAACTTTTTATCAGTATTGTTAGAGTTCACAGAAACACCATCTGGAATATTTTTTCATACATTTAAGGATGTTTTTGAATAATTGTTAATAGGGATTCCGAGATGAACCCGAGCATATCGAGAGTTTCGCAATAAAAAATATATATGCAAAACGTAGTACACCGGAACGTAGTATGTGTACCAGGTTAGAATTAGGCCATAATTTTATTCCAATTTTCCTTATTTTAGTTTTATTACGAGTTCGGGGACTGGCCAAGTGACTCCTGTAATATTTGTACCTAAAATTATGGCCTAATCTGGTACACATACTACGTTCCGGTGTAATACTTCAGCAGTACCAAAATGAGTATGAATCTTTCCTAGCAACCCAAGTATTCTTACAATGCAAATAGTTTTTTCGTTTCTAAATGTTTAGAATAACAGACAATAAGTTGTAACTCACCAATCCTACTCCATTCCAAATATGTTCTGGAATATCTCTACATTCTCCATTATTGTTTTGTCTTTGACCATTTGATGAAGCATTCTTATTCTTCCATGACGGCCCGAAGAATTCTCTCAATAGTAGATCAGCTTCACTAGGAGTGCCAAGAATCCTGTGTGAAAATATTTAGTAACGTGTAATACACAGAGTAAAAATATACATTGTTTTCCTGAATTGTTTTTGGTATAGTAAAAAATCACTTTCGGTAGTAATCTCAAATTTTTTTAAAAAACTAAAAAACTTCAGAACTTTTTGAAACTTCAGAATATAGAAATTCAAAATTTGAAGAAGAAATATAGAATATCCAGAAAGTCTTGGAATAAAAATTTCCCACTGAAATTAAAATGAGGTTTGCCTATCATGACGATTTCGAAGTAGAATATTTACTATGGGCTACGGGAGTAGTGAAATTTAAAGACCGAAAACTTCAAAGAGTGTACCATATCACTAGGGTGTTCAGGGAATCAGGGGTGTACCCGGGTTTTGTTATTCGTTGGCCATATTGCCATCACATCAAATCATCAATATTAACTGGAAATGATTTGGACTGTGTAACTTGAAATGTCATTTGGACTTGGACGTTCCTTGCATAATATACTTTGATATGGAAAAATTCTGATGTTATTGTGGGAAGCATTTTTGGTGAACTTCTTGAAATATGATCAGATTTGGTACAAGAGACATAACATATAATAACAACAACTACAACAAAATCTGAGTGGTGCCACTAGAAGTTCCAGAATTTAAGTTCTAGAAATTTAATTGCAGGATAAAAAGGTAAACCATTTGGAAAAAAGTTGTCGCGCACTGTTCTAGTATCACAGTTATCATTTGTTAAAATTAAGCTATAGAGCAACTAGAATTTAACCTCTGAGTAATCTTGGCTTCTGGTGAAATTGAATAGTCAGATAGTTGAGAGAATGGGAAAGATTGGTCTGATCTTCCATCTCTATCCTCATTATCCACTATTCTTGCTCGAGAAACATTTTCATTATCTTCCGGCAAGGAAGATGTTTGACTGGGTGGTGCAGGGGTTCTAGTCCGCAGACCTTGTGAATGAAGAAATGAAAACAATAATATTAAATTGATAGGTGAGGTATTAAGCATTTTTCTTTATTAATCCCTCAATAGCTGTTCTGAATAAATGACATATAAATGGTATACCCAAGGTGTATAACCTATAGCTATAGAACTTATGTTTTGATCACATCAGGAATTTTGCAGCTTGTTTTGACAAGTAATTAATTCAAATCAAAATTTTTCTCTGATGTCTGGAGTTTGGCCTCGTTTAATTAAAGTTTTGACAATAAAAACTTTACCATTCTCCAGACTTTTTTCATGTTAATGATTTTTGAGTTATAGAAAACTTTTGACTCATTTTAACACAAATCTGCATTACTGACACTAATGAATTCAGAATTTCTGTGTCGCCTCCGGGGAGTTTAAACATACAACTCTGTTTCCAGTCAAAATAAACTCTGAATCAACATCCTTGTTTACCACCCAATATACTTGTCATTTTAATTGGACGATACCAATTCGTTTAGATTGTGCTGCAATAATTACCAGATGTAGAGGAGTTTAGATCACAATAAAATAGACAATATTGCACAAATTTTCCAGACATCCAGACAAAGTAACACAGCAGTTTAGTTTTAGTTTAGATTCCTATATTCTTAGTCTATCTTTCTTTGTAATAAATAGCACATACCTCTTGATAAGCCATTAAATATTCTCCACATGCTTACTTAATCTTTATCTTGCAGAAGCAGCAAATATAGGTAAATAGCTTTGTTCATTTCAAGTCTCCTTCTTCCGTTGAACTGTGTTTAGTAACCTGACCAATTTTATCGGTTGCTAGAAAGCCCCGATAAATCTGTCAAGCTACTGTTATTATTGAGAGGCGTAGTGCAGTATATTCATCACTCAGTGATCCTATGTTTAGTGTTATAGCTTACTAATTGGGAGAGATATCTAAATAAAGCACATATTGTTAATTCAAAAGAGCATACCAGTTAGTCAAAAAACAAAAGAAGAAAGTCTTAAGCCTTGAACAAACAGATATAACGCTTATGATGAACTTGATAAATAAACTGAGCACTCCTATTAATTTATTTTGACAATTTTATGTCACAGAATTCGCCATTCTGAGATTTAGCACTATCAAACTGGATATAGTGAAAACAATTACCGTAATCAATAAAAGAAGAGCATTGTTCAATAGACAAGACAATTTAACCTATTACTAAATGTTGTTCATATAGAAGTATTAATAATAAAAGATTCATTAAAATTTATGGTTCAAAATTTCTTCTGAAATACCAAATGCTAAATCTCAAATTGGAGATCTGGAACAAAGAACAAAAGGAACACAAATTATCATTTCTTGAACTGAACTTTCATTGATTTGAGTGTAGTGAATGTTCTTTTATAAAGCAATCCCATCAACGGAAATGCTATTGCGAAGAAAACAAGCACTCTGAAACCATATTCCTTTCGTTTATCATGTTCTGGTTCCGCACACCAACGTAGAAATGTAGAGACATCCTTTGCTAACTGACTTTGCGTTGCAGGCGTTCCATCCTCATATTCTATAATTTCATTATACAATGCTTGGGCCATTCCGATGGCTTGCCCAGGAAAATATGGATTAAAATATTGACCTTCAGCCATTGTTACACCAGCAGGTGGATCACAATATCCAGTGAGAAGTGAATAAATATAATCTTCCCCTCCGTGTCTAGCCAATACTATATAACTCAGATCTGGAGGAAGAGCACCGTTGTTAGCTGCTCGTGCTGCTTCTTCATTTGGATAAGGATTTGGAAAGTAATCGAAGAGTTTTCCAGGCCTTTCGAACATTTCACCTTCGTCATTTGGTCCATCCGCCACCATAATTTCCTTTGCTAGTTCTTTCGCTTCATCTTCTGTGTGAGTGACATCGACTAAATTTCGGAAAGCGACATATTCGAGACTATGGCAAGCAGCACATACTTGTTTGTAAACCTCGAATCCTCGTCGAACACTAGCTGTATCTAGTGTTGTAAAAATGCCATTATGTTCCCATGGCATCGCAGGTGGATGAAGAATGAGATCAGACGCATAAACAGCTTGATGGAGTGCTGCCATCGTTGCTGCCCCACCCCCAACAAGCAAAGCAGAAGCTCCAAGTACAATCTTGTTCTTCTTTACGAATGTTGAAAAATTCTTCGTTGATGTAGAATTTTGAACTTTTAGAAGTTTGGAAGAAACTCCTCTGCAGATTAGAGTCGCCATAATTATACTTTTTGTTCAGGAATTTAACTAAGTACAGAAGTAACCGGTATTGGAGTATTCGCCCCTAATTATGGAGCAAGTCTCATTTACACAGTGGTAAGAGAAAATTAGTAGATAAACTAAGCAAACAACAAAAATGTTTAAAAACATCCTCATAAACAATAATGATTGTGGCTTCAAGTGGGTCGATGGAATTGCTTACAAGAGGTACTACCATGTGGTTGGCCCGGCTAATTTGGGTCTGAGAATATGCAAATGAGTTATATTCAGGGTATCTAGATGGGAAATTGAAACAGGGCATATTCAATTAATAAATGTGGTGGGATCGGGTTAAATATTTTTTGATATCAAGATCAGTTGGGCAAACAAAAGTTAAAATAAGGTTTACCAAAATAAAAAATCTCGACCGTTTTGGACGACCATCCACATACTTTGGTGGGCCTTATTAAGCCAATGTGGCGTAGTCAGGTGGGGATTAGGATTGACATATGCAAAAATTGTTGAGCCATGCCAACTAGTAGTGCATGTGGTACTAAACTATACCAGACCCGAAAAATGTTTCCCTATCGGGTGGAGGAAGCCGGGGTCTAGTATAGTTTAGTACCACAAGTACTTCTGGTGGGCATAGCATAACAAATTTTGCATATGCTATTCCTAACCCCCACCTGACTATGCCATCCAAAAATTACGTCACTACGACGTCACCATCACGTCATAGGGATTGCCGAAGTATAATTATGATCGCCTGAAATGACATCTGCGCCGCTGATAACGAACTTGCTAAAGCCGGCGATCTGTCTCCTATAGTAATCGTTGTGACGAGAAAACGAGAGAAATTGCTTGCTCGATTTCGGGTAATCGTCTGTGCGTTTTGGACGAGCATCCGCACACTTCGGTGGGCCTTATTACGCCACTGTGACGTCGAAATGACGTAATTTTTCGGTGACGTAGTCAGGTGGGGGTTAGGATTGACATATGCAAAAATTGTTGAGCCAGGTCAACTAGAACAGTAGAAGTACATGTGGTACTAAACTATACCAGACCCGGAAGCCGTACCGGTACCGTAACCAACCAGCGGTTACGTTACGTGAACCACCCTACGGCGGCGGGGAGTCCAGCAATTCTCTCACATACCGTAATCATCCCCGCATTGAATTCGAACACAATCAGAGGTGCGGTGGCGAGAGTATTCCTAACGCTTAGCACAGTACCGTAGCAGATGAGCCACACCGCAGCAGCAGAAATACCGGTATTGACATCACGCATCCGCATATCGTTGTTATGTGTATAGTCTATATTTAACTTTATCATACTTACTGTACTATGACAACGAGCTTTGAATATTGGCCCACTATGTCATCTTTGCCACATTCTATTACTGAAACGAACCTTCCATTCTGAAGCTGACTTCGAATCGCAGGGGTCATTCTACGACGTGACGTCACGCCATGTTTAATCGGATTCGGAACATTGTGAGTTTTTCCGTGACGTAATAAAAAATTCCCTTCTATAAACTTTAGGGAATTTATTTAGGGTTTGTTGCGAGTATCCAAAAGAACGCCTTTACGACGCAAATTCTACTGATGATTGTCTTCATTTTGATAACCTTGATTCAAAAGAAGCTGCTAATTTTGAGCATTTGAAAAAAACTTTGAACTTTATTCGTTAGTTTTCAGTTGTGTTTCGAAAACCTAAATATAAATCAGATAATTTAGTGATCACTCTGTCTTCCTATGAGTTTTAATTTAATTGCAGTAATAAAAAATTAGTGTAGAAATAGCTGCGATAGACTAGGCTGAAATTCTATACCGCTACTTTTAGAAAACAGATTGTTGTATGCGATGAATCATAATAATGGTTTGAAACACATACCCCATTTTACAGGCGCCAACTCCCAAAAGCACTCCCAAAATGGACCCGAAAGTTTTGCAATGGTAAAGTATATGAAGGATTATTCGGGGGGCAAAGGTCGGGGGAAGGTCCACGCCCTGAAAAAAAAGAAAGAAACTACGGTACACAAGGATATTGAAACAACTGACGACAGCTAGTGTACAGCAAAGTGACTTTGGTGTACAATAGTAATGTAAAACCATGGAATATAGTTCGCCCACAGCCGGTTCGATACGCATGAGTGATGCGTTACTATGTCATCAGTTTGCTATACATTATTTTGAAGCTTAATAAAAGGGATTTCCGTTTGATTATATTTGCGTATTTGGAATGGTTTTGTTGGTTGTGTGACGACCCTTGTTTTATCTTTTAAATGATGTCATGTGAAATTATTGCTATATTTTGAATTTTTAACACTGAGGGCGCTGTGACACTGTCGATCTGTCCTTCGGTATAGGATAGGATTTACATATTTATCCCGGGGGAGAGGAAAGCCGATAAGACGGCTTATCCATATGGCGAACCACGGTCTCTCGTGAACCACCCAACGACGGCGAGGAGTCCAGCAATCCTCTCGCACATAACCATCCTGCATGGGATTCGAACCTGCGAACCCCACGCAGACTAATTAGAGGTGCGGTGGCGAGCGTATCCCTAACGCTTAGCCCGTTGAGCCATACCGCCGAGCCGGTATCCTGTTGGCGTGTGGTTGGTACCGGTACAGTGTGGTTGCTTTTCGGTTGGATATTTGGTTTTGAGTGGCTGAGGGAGTGCCTCTGGTCTCCGGTGGGTGATCGGGGATGTTTGTTTGTGGTTTTGTGACTGTTGGATCGGGATTGATTGGATGTTTTGTGCTAGACCAGGGGTCACCAAACTACGGCCCGCGGGCTGGATCCGGCCCGCGGCGTCATTTTATCCGGCCCGCAATAACACGCAAAAATGGCTAAATTTTTTTCCAAGGAAGATTTCCCCGAGCATGGTCTTCCTTGTTTATCTCGTAACATTGACCAATCAGCAAGATGCAAAAAAAAACGTGACGTAATAAAAAGCCTCTTCGCATCTCAGCTCAGATAACTTTTGTCATCCTGACAGATTTCCAGTCGTGGTTGTAAACAATACTTCGTTTTTGCGACTTCGAATGCTATTCGTTAGTTTTTGATTGTGTTTTGGAAATTTAAGTATGAATCAAATAAGTCAACTATCATTTGCATCCTTAGGAGTTGTAGTTTTAATAGTAGTAATAAAAAATTAGTCTAGAAATAGCTGTGAAAAAATAGGCTAAAATTCTCTATCGGTACGCAACGTTTTCTGCGAAAGATGCACTTGTACACTCGTGGCGCGTGCTTTCGACGAAACTGTTTACGTTTCTTGAGCTAAAATAAATGTTGTATGTGCATTTTGCGCTAACAGTACTATAATCCCTCGCGTACTGCTCCAATTTCATAAGTCACACCAACTTTTGTACTGCTCAAATGCGGATATTCATGTAGTATGTTACAAAAAAAATTAAAGTTCATCCGATTCAAATAAAACCTGCGCCAGTGGATAGATCTGAGGGAAAATAGAAAACAGTACCAAGTTTATAAAAAACGGTCAAGAAATAACCGAGATATCGGAATTTTAGTACCGCCCGACAGGGCAATTATTTCCCTAAGGATTGTAATACTTTTTTGATAAAAACGGTAATAAATATGGAAAAATAACACATGTTAATCACTAATATTGAGACTATTTCGGAATTTTATTCTGGCAACGGTCATTGACACCGCCGAAAGATCGTCGCAAATAAACGCTGGAGTTGTGCATGATAGTTTAATTTGCACTACGTATAAACGGGGGGAAGCGGAATTTTTAAAAGCGTCGAAAGCTGAGAAATGTATGCGTTAATGAAAAAAATCAAATACCAGATATGTTGTTTATTTTATCTAAATTATGTCAAAATTTCATGGAACTCCAAGCTACAGCAGGCAGTCCGTAGTCGTTTTTAGCAGTAGCAGTATTCCAACACGGCGCAACAGTACTTAGCAGACGTGAAGCGTACATTATTTTGGCGCGAAATAGCCGATTTTGTAACATTCCTAATTCATGACAGCAACGTTTTGATAACAGCTAAACTCAGGATAGTCTTCTAGATATAGAAATCTTGTATATTTGTTTTCCTGGGATGTTTTTGATCTATATTCTGCGATATAGATAGAATTAAATATTCAAGTCTTCAGAAATGTAGAATATTTATTGTTAAATAAATTGGATGAATTTCCCAACTTTTGTGAATTTATTTTATTGCATCGACAAAAATATTTATCCGGCCCGTTTCAACCCAGTTTGAGTCATACCCGGCCCGCGGTCAAAAAAGTTTGGTGACCCCTGTGCTAGACAGTGGGATCATGTTGTGGTTTGAGTGCGATGCCATTGCAGATCATTTAGTGTTGTATTTTCAGTTTTATCATGGAATTAGCTACCATCAGTACTGTTCAAATGTTGTGCACATATAAAATTGTTTATCGTCTTTTAAAATATCTGTCATAAGTTAATTTTCAGCCTGTTTTGCAAATTGTAAGTAGCTAGTTTAGTGTTTTTATGGTGTATATTGCTTACTTACATTTCACTGCCTGGTATTGTTGTTTTTGTTGTGTGCTTTCCGTTTCTTTGAAGCATTTGGTTGTATTATCGTTTCATTGGAGGATAATTAATAAATAGAATAAAATAGCATAACTTGAAGTGAATATCGAGAAGAAACTTGACGTCAGACCATATTGGAAGATATTCTAAACTTGGATAATTATTTCATAGACTGCCGGTACGCTACAGTTGAAATAAAGGAAAAGATATACTGAGGCATTGGGATAAAGTGGGGAGTCGTGGCATCTGCCAGTCATCTCTGCGTCGGTACCATAGGTTATCAAAGTGGATTAGGGGCAAGGTAATTTTGCTGGTCTATGATTGCATTTATTGGATAGTAATTAAAGGGGGCTCCCGAAGTATGCGAACCAAGATGGCGGACATCGGAACGTAACATGGGTAACAGGTTAGGGTTAGGCGATAATTTTTTCCAATTATCCTTATTTTAGTCCTATTATCAGTTCGAAGACTAGCCAAGAGCTTCCCGTAGTATTTATAGCTGAAATTATGGCCTAACTCTAACCTAGTACACATATTACATTCCGCCGCACCAATTAAAGCACCAATTAAAAATTTATACCAGAATTATAGCACAAAAGTAAGAATTCAATTACTATTAGGTAAGGATGGACGAGAT